GGGCATGTGCTTAATATGAGCCGATGAGAAATAAATATAACAACACTTATTTCACTCCAAGCATCAACCACTGTTTGAGGAGCATGCTCTCACTGCCTGACAGGTGATATTCCGCCTAAACTATGTATGCCATGTGCTCTCCAACCTTGTTCCTGCAGCTACCCAGTGCTTAATTTAGGAAACCAAGTGAAATCTGTTCGGGAACATCAATAGTAACATGTTTTCGCAATGAAACATATTTCACTAAACTGTTGACAGCCCAACTGCACGCTCAAGAAAATAATAAAGGAGAGGAGATGGAAATGCATGGTGGTGAGATAGCTAAAGGTAATAATTATGAAAATATAAAAAATTCCCTATTACTAGGCTATTCAAAATCAAATACAAATTCACTAATTGTAGGCTAACCAACCGTAAGCCGCCCTGCACAATCAATGAACCAACAGCACCGCCTAGGGCTATACATTCTCTCCCAGACTCATGGATAGAAATGTTGGAGTGTAGCATAAGGTAACCAGTCCATCCAGTATGCATAATAATACAGTCCACACTCAAATGGGATGTTTAATTTTGGAGTATAGGCTAGACCAATTTTGTACCAAAGACATCTTAAATCAGGTTTGTTTGATGTTTTTCTACCATGTGTAATATGCAGTAGGCTATGTATTGTATAACAGCACAATCATCATTTTAATTCAGTTATTTTTTTCAGGAGCTTGGGCTCATAAGCCTATGCATATGCATAAACTCTAATATGCTTATTGGAGTTTTGAATGAATCATCACCTTAGAAAGCGCTGTCCATTTCGTTGTTAGTCTTTGAAACAACATCCACAACAACCATGTTTTACACCGTCTCAATCTGCTTTTGAACTTTTTTCTTCAAATTGATCATCACAGTGAGGTGAGTTTTAAAAGTAAGATATGCCTACTGTTTTGATGATAAGTGTTTGATGTGATTTAGAATTGCATTTGTATTGATGTCAGAGTGGTTAGAGGGACAATAGAGCCCTGAGTACCAGGCCATTAGGACCTGATGGTAGTTAGCAAGTTGGGTACTACCAAAGCATGTCCAGAGTGCATAAAAGGAGATTACCGTGAACGGTCATGTTGAATTTTACTGCACGGTTTGGCGGTAATATGGTCAATGCAACAGCCCTAGTCACAAGACATATCTTAATAGAGCAGCATTGCATAAAGAACTTGTATGATCTGACATTTAAATGAATAAGTGGAAGTGTGGAATGGTCATTCAAAACTCATCTTTAAAGACTCACTTAGGACTACATTGGAAAATAAACTCTGACTCAGTAGGACAAGAAAGTGTTGGCAAGCCTGCCCAACACCTCTAACAGAGAAACCATTCTAACAGAGGATTTCAAATCTGTTTTTATGCCTCCAAACTGCCCAAACCATCACCAGTTTTCAGGTTTAAAAACTGACTGTAAAAAAAGCAAATCTCTACTGGTGTTAAACTTCAAAAGATGATTGAATCCTTATATAGTTGGCATGGTAATAATGACATCAAGGCTATGAAAGCAAAACGGTCTCTGTTTCAGCATGGTGTACAGGGCATTTGGAAATTAGATTTTATTGTCTGTGAAACCCAGATGAAGTGTCCATTGAACACTCAGACTGATTCAACAGTGGTTCGGTTGACAGAGGTTGTGGGGATTCAACCACAGTGGAACTCAAATATCAAAGCATCTAAATACAGGAGTGGGAGAAGGGAGGGGGAGAGAAAGAGAAAGATACTTTTTGGAAATTAAGACATTTTGGTTATAATTTGAAAACATGATCTAGTCAGATATTCCTGAAAATTACAGCTACAGTGGGGGGAAAAAAATATTTTGTCAGCCACCAATTGTGCAAGTTCTCCCACTTAAAAAGATGAGAGAGGCCTGTAATTTTCATCATAGGTACAGTGGGGAGAACAAGTATTTGATACACTGCCGATTTTGCAGGTTTTCCTAGTTACAAAGCATGTAGAGGTCTGTAATTTTTATCATAGGTACACTTCAACTGTGAGAGACGGAATCTAAAAAATCAATAATCCAGAAAATCACATTGTATGATTTTTAAGTAATTAATTTGCATTTTATTGCATGACATAAGTATTTGATCACCTACCAACCAGTAAGAATTCCGGCTCTCACAGACCTGTTAGTTTTTCTTTAAGAAGCCCTCCTGTTCTCCACTCATTACCTGTATTAACTGCACCTGTTTGAACTCATTACATGTATAAAAGACACCTGTCCACACACTCAATCAAACAGACTCCAACCTCTCCACAATGGCCAAGACCAGAGAGCTGTGTAAGGACATCAGGGATAAAATTGTAGACCTGCACAAGGCTGGGATGGGCTACAGGACAATAGGCAAGCAGCTTGGTGAGAAGGCAAAAACTGTTGGCGCAATTATTAGAAAATGGAAGAAGTTCAAGATGACGGTCAATCACCCTCGGTCTGGGGCTCCATGCAAGATCTCACCTTGTGGGCCATCAATGATCATGAGGAAGGTGAGGGATCAGCCCAGAACTACACGGCAGGACCTGGTCAATGACCTGAAGAGAGCTGGGACCACAGTCTCAAAGAAAACCATTAGTAACACACTACGCCGTCATGGATTAAAATCCTGCAGCGCACGCAAGGTCCCCCTGCTCAAGCAAGCGCATGTCCAGGCCCGTCTGAAGTTTGCCAATGACCATCTGGATGATCCAGAGGAGGAATGGGAGAAGGTCATGTGGTCTGATGAGACAAAAATATAGCTTTTTGGTCTAAACTCCACTCACCGTGTTTGGAGGAAGAAGAAGGATGAGTACAACCCCAAGAACACCGTGAAGCATGGAGGTGGAAACATCATTCTTTGGGGATGCTTTTCTGCAAAGGGGACAGGACAACTGCACCGTATTAAGGGGAGGATGGATGGGGCCATGTATCGTGAGATCTTGGCCAACAACCTCCTTCCCTCAGTAAGAGCATTGAAGATGGGTCGTGGCTGGGTCTTCCAGCATGACAACGACCCGAAACACACAGCCAGGGCAACTAAGGAGTGGCTCCGTAAGAAGCATCTCAAGGTCCTGGAGTGGCCTAGCCAGTCTACAGACCTGAACCCAATAGAACATCTTTGGAGGGAGCTGAAAGTCCGTATTGCCCAGCGACAGCCCCGAAACCTGAAGGATCTGGAGAAAGTCTGTATGGAGGAGTGGGCCAAAATCCCTGCTGCAGTGTGTGCAAACCTGGTCAAGACCTACAGGAAACATATGATCTCTGTAAATGCAAACAAAGGTTTCTGTACCAAATATTAAGCTCTGCTTTTCTGATGTATCAAATACTTATGTCATGCAATAAAATGCAAATAAATTACTTAAAAATCATACAATGTGATTTTCTGGATTTTTGTTTAAGATTCCGTCTCTCACAGTTGAAGTGAACCTATGATAAAAATTACAGACCTCTACATGCTTTGTAAGTAGGAAAACCTGCAAAATCGGCAGTGTATCAAATACTTGTTCTCCCCACTGTACATGTCAACTATGACAGACAAAATGAGAAAAACAAATCCAGAAAATCACATTGTAGGATTTTTAATGAATTTATTTGCAAATTATGGTGGAAAATAAGTATTTGGTCAATAACAAAAGTTTCTCAATACTTTGTTATATACCCTTTGTTGGCAATGACACAGGTCAAACGTTTTCTGTAAGTCTTCACAAGGTTTTCACACACTGTTGCTGGTATTTTGGCCCATTCCTCCATGCAGATCTCCTCTAGAGCAGTGATGTTTTGGGGCTGTCGCTGGGCAACACAGACTTTCAACTCCCTCCAAAGATTTTCTATGGGGTTGAGATCTGGAGACTGGCTAGGCCACTCCAGGACCTTGAAATGCTTCTTACGAAGCTACTCCTTCGTTGCCCGGGCGGTGTGTTTGGGATCATTGTCATGCTGAAAGACCCAGCCACGTTTCATCTTCAATGCCCTTGCTGATGGAAGGAGGTTTTCACTCAAAATCTCACGATACATGGCCCCATTCATTCTTTCCTTTACACGGATCAGTCGTCCTGGTCCCTTTGCAGAAAAACAGCCCCAAAGCATGATGTTTCCACCCCCATGCTTCACAGTAGGTATGGTGTTCTTTGGATGCAACTCAGCATTCTTTGTCCTCCAAACACGACGAGTTGAGTTTTTACCAAAAAGTTATATTTTGGTTTCATCTGACCATATGACATTCTCCCAATCCTCTTCTGGATCATCCAAATGCACTCTAGCAAACTTCAGACGGGCCTGGACATGTACTGGCTTAAGCAGGGGGACACGTCTTGCACTGCAGGATTTGAGTCCCTGGCGGCGTAGTGTGTTACTGATGGTAGGCTTTGTTACTTTGGTCCCAGCTCTCTGCAGGTCATTCACTAGGTCCCCCTGTGTGGTTCTGGGATTTTTGCTCACCGTTCTTGTGATCATTTTGACCCCACGGGGTGAGATCTTGCGTGGAGCCCCAGATCGAGGGAGATTATCAGTGGTCTTGTATGTCTTCCATTTCCTAATAATTGCTCCCACAGTTGATTTATTCAAACCAAGCTGCTTACCTATTGCAGATTCAGTCTTCCCAGCCTGGTGCAGGTCTACAATTTTGTTTCTGGTGTCCTTTGACAGCTCTTTGGTCTTGGCCATAGTGGAGTTTGGAGTGTGACTGTTTGAGGTTGTGGACAGGTGTCTTTTATACTGATAACAAGTTCAAACAGGTGCCATTAATACAGGTAACGAGTGGAGGACAGAGGAGCCTCTTAAAGAAGAAGTTACAGGTCTGTGAGAGCCATAAATCTTGCTTGTTTGTAGGTGACCAAATACTTATTTTCCACCATAATTTGCAAATAAATTCATAAAAAATCATACAATGTGATTTTCTGGATTTTTTTTTCCTCAATTTGTCTGTCATAGTTGACGTGTACCTTTGATGAAAATTACAGGCCTCTCTCATCTTTTTAAGTGGGAGAACTTGCACAATTGGTGGCTGACTAAATACTTTTTTCCCCCACTGTATGTTCTGAGAAGGAAAATCAGATTTACAACAAATTAATGCATTTTCCTAGTCATGTATGCAGCCCTTTTTTTATTAATAGAAATGACTCACATAATCAGTTTTCATTATGGTGATGAGCAGATGGGCTTACTGTAACGTTCGACACAAAAATTACATAAATTAATTGCCATGAAATTCCCATTTTCAGTTTAAGGCACAACAAAACGTTTTTGAGATTGAAGTCCTCATAGAGGTCAGAAATGTCTGTTCCTTTCTGTAAACCTTTCAACAATATTAAAGAGAGCATTGCCACTGACTAGCATTCAGAGGATATCACTTTTACTTTGTCTTCTTGCTTTTTGACTTTTTGTTCTTCAATCCAGCTTTGGTTGCCTCATCCTGCAAAACAATAAAAGAAAGAACATTGAATAAAAGAGGGAAAATAGAAAAGATGAAGAGCACCACTTCATTACAAAGCTGGAAAACATACAGTAATTATCCCCAACCAGCGAGTTGTATACCTTATAAATGATAATCAGTGTATTAGATGTATACGCCTTCAGTGTAGTTGCATAGCAAATGGATACCAATGTTTCACCTTACTACGCATATTCCCCTGATCTGAATCAGGAAATGAGATGTGTAACCACCATGTTGCATTCATTATTCCACAAGAAGACCACATTGGCCAGACAACTCGCTGAACAAGGGAGAGCTCGGTTTGTTGTTTTGGAAAGTTTTTAAAGTCTTTGAAGAAGTGATCTATTGAAAGTCTCATCATGCTCTAGCGACTCCTTGTGGCAGGCCAGGCGCCTGCAAGCTGACTTCGGTCATCAGTTGGACGGTGTTTCCTCCGACACATTGGTGCGGCTGGCATCCGGGTTAAGCGAGCAGTGTGTCAAGAAGCAGTGCGGCTTGGCAGGGTCGTGTTTCGGAGGACGCATGGCTCTCGACCATCGCCTCTCCTGAGTCCGTAGGGGAGTTGCAGCGATGAGACAAGACTGTAACTACCAATTGGATACTATGAAATTGGGGAGAAAAAGGGTTAAAAATAATAATAATTAGAATAATAATAGAAAAAGAAATAAACATCAATAAAAGGTTTGGTTACTAGCTAGCTACCTTTTGAGTTTGGATCCCTGTAACCAGTGCCTGTAATCTGGTTCAGGTTATTAAATCGACCTACCAGGGTGTTTACAAACACTATAGGAACAAGATCATCCACATGTATTGATCACATTTTTACTAATACTGTAGAACTTTGTTCTAAAGCTGTATCCGTACCCATTGGATCCAGTGATCACAATATAGTGGCTATATCTAGGAGAGCCAAAGTTCCAAAAGCTGGGCCTAAAATAGTGTATAAGATTTATCTGTGACTCTTATGTGGATTATGTTTAAAATATAAGGAGCATCCAGACGCTGCACTACATGAATTTATGAAATTGCTTCTTCCAATTATTGATAAACATGCACCTGTTAAGAAACTGACTGTTAGAACTGTTAAGGCTCCATGGATTGATGAGGAATTGAAAAACTGTACGGTTGAAAGAGATGGGCCAAAAGAAGTGGCTAATAAGTCTGACTTGCTGACTTACTGCAAATTGAGAAATTAACTCAACAAAAAGAAGAACTGTATTATGAAGCCAAGATCAATGATATAAAGAATGATGAAAAACAAACTTTGCAGTACTTTAAATGACATTATGGGCAGAAAGACAAATTCAACTCCATCTTTCATCGAATCAGATGGCTTATTCGTCACAAAACCATTTGATGTTGCCAATTATTTTAATCATTACTTCATTGGCTAAGTGGGCAAAATTCAGCAAGAAATGCCAACAACGAACTGTAAGCCATCGTATTCATGCATTAATAAAACAAATTACAAAATAAAATAATTTTAAATTTTAATTTTGTAAAGTTAGTGTGGGAGAAGTGGAAAAAGTATTGTTATCGATCAATAATGACAAACCTCCTGGCATTGACAACTTAGATGGAAAGCTACTGAGGATGGTAGCTGACTCTATGGCCACTCCTATCTGTCATATCTTTAATCTGAGCCTAGAGGAAGGTGTTTGTCCTCAGGCATGGAGGGAAGCCCAAGTCATTCCCCTAACCAAGAATGGTAAAGCGGCCTTCACTTGTTTTAACAGCAGACCTATCAGCTTGCTGCCAGCTCTTAGCAAACTGTTGGAAAAAATGGTGTTTGACCAAATACAATGCTATTTTTCTGTAAACAAATTCACAACAGACTTTCAGCATGCTTATAGAGAAGGGCACGCAACATGTACTGCAGTGACACAAATGACTGATGATTGGTTGATAATAAGAAGATTGTGAGAGCTGTAATGTTCGATTTTAGTGCAGCCTTTGATATTATTGACCATAACCTGTTGTTGAGAAAACGTATGTTTTATGGCTTTTCAACCTATGCCATAGCTATCTAATAGAACTCAGAGGGTTTTCTTCAGTGGAGGCTCCTCAGCAGCACTCTTTAGGGTAGCACAATGGTGTAGCCGGAGGACAGCTAGCTTCTGTCCTCCTCTGGGTATGTTGACTTCAATACAAATCCTAGGAAGCTCATGGTTCTCACCCCCTTCCATAGACTTACACAGTAATTATGACCACTTCCGGAGGATGTCCTCCATCCTATCAGAGCTCTTGCAGCATGAACTGACATGTTGTCCACCCAATTAAAGGACCAGATAATGTACTGAAAGCTACAGCTACAGCTAGCTAGCAGTGCAGTGCATAAAATGTGGTGAGTTTTTGTTAAATTTCACTTTCACTTAGCTAGCTAATGCAGCGAGCTAGTTTAGCCTACTCAAACTCAAACACCCGGCTCAAACAGAGAGGGATGCAATGTTAGGTAGCTGGCTATGGCTATCCAACACTGGAACTCTTCCAAGTCAAGGTAAGCTTTTGGTTTTATTAATTTATTGCCACCGGGGCCCGCCGGTGTAACTGCTAAACTGGCTTTCTGACTGTACACTGTACTGCATGATTGTAGCGGGTTTACTAACGCATTAGTTCTAGTAGTTCTAGTTGACTATGACGTGACAACGATGTAGGCTGTGTGTAACGGTTAGCGGTCATGATATGAAGGTTTGGCTTGGAAAGGTTTTTTCGCCTGGTCACAGACAGCTTATGTGTTGTGTACTGAAGTGCACAAGCGAAGTGAAAAGGTGAGAGGAGGAGAGCTCGTAGTTGCGAGAAGGATTATATATACAGAAAATCACATTGTAGGATTTTTAATGAATTTGTTTGCAAATTATGGTGGAAAATAAGTATTTGGTCACCTACAAACAAGCAAGATTTCTGGCTCTCACAGACCTGTAACTTCTTCTTTAAGAGGCTCCTCTGTCCTCCACTCGTTACCTGTATTAATGGCACCTGTTTGAACTTGTTATCAGTATAAAATATACCTGTCCACAACCTCAAACAGTCACACTCCAAACTCCACTATGGCCAAGACCAAAGAGCTGTCAAAGGACACCAGAAACAAAATTGTAGACCTGCACCAGGCTGGGAAGACTGAATCTGCAATAGGTAAGCAGCTTGGTTTGAAGAAATCAACTGTGGGAGCAATTATTAGGAAATGGAAGACATACAAGACCACTGATAATCTCCCTCGATCTGGGGCTCCACGCAAGATCTCACCCCGTGGGGTCAAAATGCAAAAATTCCAGAACCACACAGGGGGACCTAGTAACAAAGCCTACCATCAGTAACACACTACGCCGCCAGGGACTCAAATCCTGCAGTGACAGACGTGTCCCCCTGCTTAAGCCAGTACATGTCCAGGCCCGTCTGAAGTTTGCTAGAGTGCATTTGGATGATCCAGAAGAGGATTGGGAGAATGTCATATGGTCAGATGAAACCAAAATATAACTTTTTGGTAAAAACTCAACTCTTCGTGTTTGGAGGACAAAGAATGCTGAGTTGCATCCAAAGAACACCATACCTACTGTGAAGCATGGGGGTGGAAACATCATGCTTTGGGGCTGTTTTTCTGCAAAGGGACCAGGACGACTGATCCGTGTAAAGGAAAGAATGAATGGGGCCATGTATCGTGAGATTTTGAGTGAAAACCTCCTTCCATCAGCAAGGGCATTGAAGATGAAACGGGCTGGGTCTTTCAGCATGACAATGATCCCAAACACACCGCCCGGGCAACGAAGGAGTGGCTTCGTAAGAAGCATTTCAAGGTCCTGGAGTGGCCTAGCCAGTCTCCAGATCTCAACCCCATAGAAAATCTTTGGAGGGAGTTGAAAGTCCGTGTTGCCCAGCGACAGCCCCAAAACATCACTGATCTAGAGGAGATCTGCATGGAGGAATGGGCCAAAATACCAGCAACAGTGTGTGAAAACCTTGTGAAGACTTACAGAAAACGTTTGACCTGTGTCATTGCCAACAAAGGGTATATAACAAAGTATTGAGAAACTTTTGTTATTGACCAAATACTTATTTTCCACCATAATTTGCAAATAAATTCTTTAAAAATCCTACAATGTGATTTTCTGGATTTTTATTCCTCATTTTGTCTGTCATAGTTGACGTGTACCTATGATGAAAATTACATGCCTCTCTCATCTTTTTAAGTGGGAGAACTTGCACAATTGGTGGCTGACTAAATACTTTTTTTCCCCACTGTATATATACAATGAGCAAAGTGATCATGCTGTTGTTATGTGTGTGGCTGCTATAAAAGTGAACTGTGTTTGCGTGTGATAAGGGGTGTATTCATTCTGCCGATTCTGTTGAAAAACATTTCTTAAACGGAAGCCAACGTAACGAAACGGGGATAAACATACCTGAATTTGTCCAATAGAAACTCTCATTTGCAACTGTTGGACTAATGATTACACCCTAGATCAGCTAGATAGATGCGGGCAAGAGTGTGCAAGGCGGTATTGAATGTGTCACTGTCTGTCACCTTGATTACTCAAGATTCTCTCGACCTGTGCACCTACGTTGTAAACTTTCATTCATAGGCTAGGTTGTAGCAACCTCAGGGAAAATTTGAAGTGTGTGCCTTTCCAAATCATGTCCAATCAATTGAATTTACCACAGGTGGACTCCAATCAAGTTGTAGAAAAATCTGAAGGATGAGCAATGGAAACAGGATGCACCTGAGCTCAATTTCAAGTCTCATAGCAAAGGGTCTGAATACTTATGTAAATAAGGTATTCCTGTTTTCTTTATTTGAAATACATTTGCAAACATTTCTAAAAACCTGTTTTTTTCGCTTTGTCATTATGGGGTATTGTGTGTAGATTGATGAGATGTATTTATTTATTTAATCAATTTTAGAATTAGGCTAATGTAACAATGTGGAAAATGTGAATACTTTCCGAAAGCACTGTATCTACTTCCCCAGAGTCAGAGCATGCTAACTGTTCCTGTAAACTTCCAGCTATTGGCTCGTGAAACTACCTCTAATGTCCTTCATACTGGATGCAGAGACATAAAAATGGTATCCACAATGGTATTATGTTACAGCTAGCGATATTCATAAAATCATTATTTTTACATAAAGAAATCCCCAAAAATATTTTTCTAAATAAAATAGATTTATTTTTAAATATACAGTACCAGTCAGAGGTTTGGACACACCTACTAATTCAAGGGTTTCTCATTATTTTTACTATTTTCTACATTGTAGAATAATAGTGAAGACATCAAAACTATGAAATAACACATATGGAATCATGTAGTAACCAAAAAAGTGTTCAACAAATCAAAATATATTTTAAATTTGAGATTCTTCAAAGTAGCCATCCTTTGCCTTGATGACAGCTTTGCACACTCTTGGCATTCTCTCAACCAGCTTCACCTGGAATGCTTTTCCAACAGTCTTGAAGGAGTTCCCACATATGCTGAACACTTGTTGGCTGCTTTTCCTTCACTCTGTGGTCCAACTCATCCCAAACCTCAGAAATTGGTTATACGGTAATTGTACCAGCCCTAAGAAGCAGTGCAATGGTTTACTCGCTACCGAAGCAATAGTGCACCCATATCTTAGCCAAAGCTGTCTATTTAGTCTGAAGCCTCATGTTTGGCTTCCTGCTAAGCTCACTCTGTACAGCTAAACTGGTGATAATTACAATGTATTGATTGTTAAATCATACAACCGCTTCACAGCAAGGCAAACGTATAAAGTTTCATTAAATCAAGCGTGAAAATTGCAATCTCGTGAACCATAAGCATACTTGGCAATTTAGCAAAACAAATTGCTGCCCAACCTAGACTTCTATTAGAAAGAGTAACAATATTGTCACATTGGACAACCTATTTGCAAGCTATAATGAGCATAGTTGTGGAAGGCACGTCCTCTTCACTTTTTTAGCAGTATGATTATTTCCCGGAACCACTTTCTGGGCCTGAATAGATCTGAAACAATGATTTATTCCCTTTTTAAGAGGTTTCAGTCAGCTCTGTCAGAACAGGTACTTAAACTTGTTTGAGACCAGTTGCTACTCCATTGAAAATGGAGCTGTTGGCACTGCACACAGTCATTTGATATTTGATGCCGTTTCATCTCATGTCAGCATGGTTTGGGATTTGGTTATTGTGTGTAGTGAATGGTAAATGGAAGTGGGACACAAACATGAAAAGCTTCCACTCCCATACTTATACTTAAAGGGATACTTTGGGATTTTGTCAATGAGGCCCTTTATCTTCTTTCGCAGAGACAGATTACTTGTGGAAACCATTTTTATGTCTCTGTGTCCAGTATGTTTAAAGTTAGAGGTAGTTTCGCGAGTCAGTGCTAACTAGCGTGCAATAACTGGAAGTCTATGGGTATCTACTAGCATTCTAGCAGATACCCGTAGACTTCCTGTCAACGCTACTTAGCATTGGCTCACAAAACTACCTCTAACTTCCTTCATACTGGACACAGAAACATAAAAATGGTATCAACTAGTTCAGGGATCCTCAACTAGATATTTATTGACCGGATGGTCAGAGGGCCGGAACATAATTACAAAAAATGTGTAGATTGCAAATTGACCGCAAGAAGCCCAAACAGATATAAATGTTTGACTAAAACAAAATCATTTCAAACATTGCTTACATTTGTATACGATCACGTGTCTCTCTATTATGCGTGGGAATACTTGTGAACAGATTTCTTAAATTAAAATCACTTGGAGCTGATTTCCTGGTGTTTTGACAGTCTTATGTACAACAATAAAACATTTTTTAAATTTTGGCTCAGAATACTTGGGGCCACCAGTTGGGGAACCCTGCACTAGTTCATCTGACTCTGGGGAAGTATATAAAGGGCCTCATTGCCAAAATCCCAAAGTATCCCTTTAAGATATTCAGTGGCACTCTGCCACTACTATAGCACATGACCTCTAGTTTGTGACTGAATGGTTCCCATCGTGCTGCACCATAAAACAATAACAGAGAAGCAGTCATTAAGGTGATTCTGGAGGATCTAAAGGGGTCATGCATAATTTCCTTCAGAGACACAAGCTAAGGGCTTTCCATATTAATAACAACAATAATGACAACAAATTGGAAAGTTGGACACCATCTTCAATTGGTTATATGCCCAAGTGTTATTGACTTATAAAAAGTAAAAAATAATAACTGTTCTGAATGAACTGATGTTTTTATTTAAGGAGATAATTAGGTAAAGACTACAGACACAGAGGAACAATAGAGTGCCAGCATCTTTTTAACCATGACAATCTTGCCACCTGTTTCAAAGACCTCATTTGCACAGAAATGAGGGGAAACAGAACATCATTCAGTTTAACTCAGAGTAGAAAATCCAATCCGCTCTGAACCAATCCCACTTTCCATAAATAACAATTGTTTCAGATAAGTAGAGGGGAAAGAACCATTAGACTTTCAGATTAGGTTCTATGTACTGTATATGCCTGCTTATGTCAAAAGCTTCCAAAAACGAGGAACGCAAAAACAATTCTGCATCAAGCTTGATTACAAACAAACATTTAAACTTAAATATAGATGTAAGATTCATTTCGCACACAGTATTCATTTTGAATTACTTCCAAGGTCTTGTTCAACATTCAGACTGAAGTCACTAAACGTACTTGTACACCTTACTAATAAGGAGAGAGGGTCTCACCGCAGAGGAAGTGTATCCCTCCTGGACCAGGATGTTTCTGGCAGAGTTGTTGATGTGTTTGAAACGGTCTGGACCCAGCAGAATCCCTCCATACCAGCGAGACACAACCACCAGCACATTCCGCACATCCAGGATCTGAGGTGTAACAACAGAGTGGTGTTGGCACAGAGAGAATGACAGTGGCACATGATAGATGTGTTAGATCCTGTATGTGTGGATGTTGATTATTGTGTGTGCTTGTGCTCTGTTAGGACAATACAGGTTTGGCATAGACCCAAAGAGGGCTGAAAAAAATTCCATCATCACATGACAGATATGAATCACAAATAATGGCTGTTTGGGGAAGGATTATAAAGCCGATGTTAAGCGTAAACAGAGGCATACAGACATGTTTTCCTCTCCCAAGATAAAGACATCAGCATACAGAGAGAATCGTTGTGGTAGGATTGTTCCCACAGCGAAATATAGATAACAGACTTAATAGCTAGCATCATCTTCCCTTAACAGATGATTTACAGTTGAAGTTGGAAGTTTACATACACTTAGGTTGGAGTCATTAAAACTCGTTTTTCAACCACTCCACACATTTCTTGTTAACAAACTATAGTTTTGGCAAGTCAGTTAGGACATCTACTTTGTGCATGACAGAAGTAATTTTTCCAACAATTGTTTACAGACAGATTATTTCACTTATAATTCACAGTGTCACAATTCCAGTGGGTAAGAAGTTTACATACACTAAGTTGACTGTGCCTTTAAACCAGGAAATGATGTTATGGCTTTAGAAGCTTTTGATAGGCTAATTGACATAATTTGAGTCAATTGGAGGTGTACCTGTGGAATGTATTTCAAGGCCTACCTTCAAACTCAGTGCCTCTTTGCTTGACATCATGGGAAAATCAAAATAAATCAGCCAAGACCTCAGAAAAAGAATTGTAGACATCCACAAGTCTGGTTCATCCTTGGGAGCAATTTTCAAACGCCTGAAGGTACCACATTCATCTGTACAAACAATAGTACGCAAGTATAAACACCATGGGACCACGCAGCCGTCACACCGCTCAGGAAGGAGACACGTTCTGTCTCCTAGAGATGAACGTACTTTGGTGCGAAAAGTGCAAATAAATCCCAGAACAACAGCAATGGACCTTGTGAAGATGCTGGAGGAAACAGGTACAAAAATATCTATATCCACAGTAAAATGAGTCCTATATCAACATAACCTGAAAGGCCGCTCAGCAAGGAAGAATCCACTGCTCCAAAAACCGCCATAAAAAAGCCAAACTACGGTTTGCAACTGCACATGGGGAAAAAGATCATGCTTTTTGGAGAAATGTCCTCTGGTCTGATGAAACAAAAATAGAACTGTTTGGCCATAATGACCCATGTTATGTTTGGAGGAAAAAGGGGGTTACTTGCAAGCCGAAGAACACCATCCCAACTGTGAAGCACGGGGGTGGCAGCATCATGCTGTGGGGGTGCTTTGCTGCAGGAGGGACTGGTGCACTTCACAAAATAGATGGCATCATGAGGAAGGAAAATTATGTGGATATATTGAAGCAACATCTCAAGACATCAGTCAGGAAGTTAAAGCTTTGTCGCAAATGGGTCTTCCAAATCGACCCCAAGCATACTTCCAAAGTTGTGGCAAAATGGCTTAAGGACAACAAAGTCAAGGTATTGGAGTGGCCATCACAAAGCCCTGACCTCAATCCTATAGAAAATGTGTGGGCAGAACTGAAAAAGCGTGTGCGAGCAAGGAGGCCTACAAACCTGACTCAGTTACACCAGCTCTGTCAGGAGGAATGGGCCAAAATTCACCCAACTTATTGTGGGAAGCTTGTGGAAGGCTACCCGAAACATTTGACCGAAGTTAAAGAATGTAAAGGCAATGCTACCAAATACTAATTGAGGGTATGTAAACTTCTGACCCACTGGGAATGTGATGAAAGAAATAAAAGCTGAAATAAATTATTCTGACATTTCACATTCTTAAAATAAAGTGGTGATCCTAACTGACCTAAGACAGGGAATTTTTACTAGGATTAAATGTCAGGAATTGTGAAAAACTGAGTTTAAATGTATTTGGCTAAGGTGTATGTAAACTTCCGACTTCAACTGTATGTCAACTCTCTCAGGGTTCCAACAACAGTGTGCTTGGAGATTTGGATGAGCAACATTCTGGTCATTGGTCCATGTACTCAAGCACCTCCTCATATCAAAGAGGATGTGATGATTAGCAAGACGATTGAAAGGCCACTGTGACAGGGGATGACTAGTGAACACCCCCTGGAAGCCTGGTTTCAGCTTTGCAGCTGACACAGGATGCATCTTAAAGAATAAACCTTTATTCAGGAAAATATCTGCCTCAGTCCCTCCGCTGTCAATCAACAGCCCTACACGCAGCAGGGGAGAATTTGGCTATGGGAGACAACGCCAATGCCATCTGTCTATTAACTGTAATAATAAACGTCTCCCTTTATTCTCCGCTCTGCACTTCACATTCGTACTGCCAAAATGAGTAAATACTAAATTCAAAACCAGGAGACGAAGAAGGGGTCTGAGAGGAAAATAGATGAGAGAAAAAGAGATTTAGAATGAGCCCTCAAAGTAAATTGCCTGTCAGTGTTGAGAGGTTCAAGTAGAACATTAATCAGAATGTTACCCAAAAGCACCTGGGTGGTAGTGGTGGGGGGTGACTGAAGGCTCTTCTCTTCACTTGTTAGGTCAGATTCAGTGACAATGGAAAGATGATGACATACAGTCAGGTCCAAAATTATTGGCACCCTTGAGAAAGATGAGCAAAAAAGACTAAAATAAATAATTCAAATACTGAGCTATATTGTATGCTCAACAAATTGGGGAAATTATATATTTTTATACTAATACAATTGCTCAGAGAAGTAATATTTTTTTTACTCAAAAAGGTAGGGGCCAAAATGATTGACACCCCGTTTTTCCAATACCTTTCAATACATTTTTCTAAAATGTTTTATGAGTTGGAGAACACATTGGGAAGGATCTTAGACCATTCCTCCATACAGAATCTTTCCAGATCCTTGATATCCTTCATCTGCGGTTATGGACTGTCCTTTTAAATTCAAACCACAAGTTTTCAAACGGGTTCAAGTCCGAAGACTGAGATGGCCATTGCAAAATGTCAATTATAAACTGGGTGGTTTGAGCACTGAATGCTGATTGGCTGAAAGCCGTGGGATATAAGACCGTATTCCATGGGTATGACAAAACATTTATTTTTACTGGTTCTAATTACATTGGTAATCAGTTTATAATAGCAATAAGGCACCTCGGGGGTTTGTGGTATATGGCCAATATACCACAGCTAAATCTAGGCACTCCGCGTTGCGTCGTGCTTAAGAACAGCCCTTAGCCGTGGGATATTGGCCATATCATCTTTGTGGATTTTGATTTGTGCTTGGGGTTATTGTCTAGCTGGAAGATCCACTTGCAGCCAAGTGTCAGCCTCCTGGCAGAGGCAACCAGGTTTCTGGCTAAAATGTCCTGGTACTTGGTAAAGTTCATGATGCCGTTGACCTTAACAAGGGCCACAGGACCAGGGGAAGCAAAATAGCCCCAGAACATCAAAGATCCACCATCATATTTTACAGTAGGTATGAGGTACTTTTCTGTATATACTTCCGTTTTTCAACACCTAACCCACCACTGGTGTTTGTGGCCAAAGAGCTCTATCTTCATGTAATTTGAATATAGCACCGTCTGGAGTTTGATAAACGGCATTGGCACTTGGATTGGAACAAGTGCTATGGTCAGTCATAAGTCGGTCTCCATTGAACCGACTGGACAAAATCATATTGTCCAGAGCATAGATTCAGGCTGAACCGTTCAGCTCAGTACAAATTCCTTTCAAGATGTCTCATCCCATTCATGGTCCATTGCTATTGATTTTGGCAAGGGGATACCATCAAAGGCAGATTCATCTGAGAAACGTGTAAACAAGACTCTGGACTCCAGCAGATAAATCCAATGATGCATTTCACAGTGGTGCACTCCCACTGTCATAGTCTGACATTTGGCATTCATGCCGGCTGATTTTGTGGATGCTGTGGGTGAATACGAATGCATGAAACAGAGGGCATGAAAACGATTTGATTGTTGGAGCCTCAGTCTGTACCCACTAGTATTGACTGGGACAGTATTGAATGCTTGCTTGAATTAGGGATGGGCATGAATACTCGAATGGACGTCAAAGCTCAACAAATTCGAAATGGACTGGTTGACTGAAGTAGGAAAATATGTTCCAACAATGCCCTGCAGTTTTGGAATAATTGCTTCCCGTCTATTTTCAGCTTATGCTACTTTGAAAACTGCTAGTGCCATTTAGAATTGGTTAGCCTAGGCTATAACCCCCCTAAACAGACAGGTTCCATCAGAATCATTGAGCATATGCCTACTCACCAAACAGATGTCATGGCCGTATTTCATCATCATGCTGTGTTCAATGTGGAATTGTTAATCCATTTGGAAAATTCCAAAGGACAGGCAGAATAAACAAATCGAACATCTGTATATCAAAAATAAAATTTTTTTTTTTTAAGACTGTAAAAATGAGTCTCTGCTTGCCATTCAGCATTAATGAACTCCCTAGAGTCGATTGATGCACCGGCAGAGCTAAAGAGGTGTTTGTCAGACTATGACATATCCTGAAAATCAGTCCTCTCACGAAAACGTCTGTAGCGTCCGAACGGTTTGACCTACAAACTATTATGGAAAGGGTGAGACTCTCACGAAGGTGTTCTCCGTTTTGCTCTATGACCCCCACAAGTATCACGGGACTCGTCTGAAGATAACCGGTACCGGTAAAAAAAGTACTGTATGAAGGTAGTTTGTGCCAACCCAATTTTTGTTATAAATGTGGGTAACAAATATATATACAGTACCAGTCAAAAGTTTGGACACACCTATTCATTCCAGGGTTTTCTTTATTTTTACTATTTTCTACATTGTAGAATTATAGTGAAGACATCAAAACTATGAAATAACACATACGGAATCATGTAGTAACCAAAAAAGTGTTAAACAAATCAAAATATATGTTATATTTGAGATTCTTCAAAGAAGCCACCCTTTGCCTTGATGACAGCTTTGCACACTCTTGTCATTCTCTCAACCAGCTTTTTTAGAAAAGCTGAAAATCTGGTTTTTAGAAATGTTTGTTTCTTATGATTGATTTTTTGACTGTATTTTTTGCCATTTATTAATGTTATTCAATGCGTTTCTCTGGGATATAGTAGTAAAGGCCAAATTCTATATTTTATCAAATCATTTTTTCATAAAATAAATGAATACCTAAAGGTTTCCTAAAATTCAAAATCAAATAGCTAAATGATCCATAGTATGACAGTCTTAAAACAATTCCATATGACTAGCGTACAGGGTGTGTACTTGTACATCAAGCTGCCTCACGCTACAGAAACAGGACATAGGCTCCTGCCAAGGCTTGTGCAAGGCTACTTACTTATCAAAGTGAATATTGAATAGGATATATTGTATATTACCTTCGACTTAACATTATATTCAAGTTATAAACAGTAGAGGGTCAGTGAACCACAGAGGGTTGGTTTGAAAACGTAAAATGGGTCCCTGAGGCATAAGGCAACTGTGTGAATACTGAATGAAGCACTAGAGGGAACGGAGCAAAGTGGACAGAGAGCAAAAGCACCTGTAGTAAGTGAAGCAATCGTCCTCCCGCTGCGGTCTCTCCATCATCCTCACAGTCCTGCAGGAAACTCTGCTTGTCTTCACAGTATATCCTACAATACAGAGAATAAAGGTTGTAGTTGGTTGAGACTTTTAGGTTGAGAATGTACGTAAACTGCATGGCTCTTCGAAGGAAACTTTCAATGCTCTAAATGTCAGCATCTCCTGTTGGGTTAATGACCACCCAGAAAGCATATCAAGCATCTCATAAAGGCTCAATGTAATTCATTAAACCTATTTTCCACCTTGTTTGTACTTGAGCTCTAAGAGCCTTAATGAGCTCTGTTGACAGAAATTACTTTTTTTTTTCTCATCATCAAATAACAAGTGATCAACTGTGTGATTAGAGAGATATACACCCACTGTGAATATTAAAACATGTTATGTATATTCAAAACTGGATGCTCTACCTGTATGCATAAATATTGTGAGTGGCACTTGCAATCTTCTTGTTTTCATACAGCTTTTCAAGAACCATTCTAACCTGAAACACAAAAACAAATCTGTTTGAATTGCCTCCTTTCCTCTAATCATACTCTCAACATTAGAAGTATGATGGGATACATCTATCCCCAAAGTACAACTTCTGCAGTAAAGACAGAAAGGTACCCCACTCTCATCTGAGAACTCCTGTGTGGTGCATAAAGATGAGGGTAATCATTTTCAACACAATGTCTGCTTGATTCCTCTTCAAACAGATTGCATATCCAACAGAAAAACTAAGATAAAACCCCAAACAGGAGCGGTTGACTCCTACTCATGACAATATATTAGATAACTTTATTTCAAAAGTTTGTATAAACAGTTTTCTTATAAAAATAGCCTACTTGTATATTGGGTGGGTAATCGTAATACTGAAAATGTACAGCATGTAAAAAGAGACGCATACAGTTGTTTAATAGTTAACTGTTGATGCTTATGGTACAATGTGCACTGTAATTACGTTCCCATCACATCTACACAGTTAATGTACTCTCCAGGAAATTACATAATCATCACTGTCTAAATTGCATATGATGGCAGGTGAGATATGTTTAAAGCAGCTCTTTCTGTTTTTCTCCTGAGAACATTTAACAGCAGGAGCACAGCCTGAGGATGTTTAGTTTTCCATATTGGAGGCACATTAGCATTGAAATGACATCCTCTCCACATGAGCTTTAACTCACAGCTTCTTCTCTCTCCCAACAGGGTAGCATTGTCTAGCATGGTTTTGAAGATTATAAGGCTTGTGATTTCCTTGCCTAACTCGTTCTGTGATGGATGTGAGAATATTCATGTAATATAGTCAGAGAGAGGAGGGAGACAGGTGAGGGCCTACACAGTACCTGTCTAGGTGTTACCACAGGGGCTAGGTGCGGTTGGAAGGTGCTGCGTCTTTCTGTTATCGTCTCCCCCAGTTTAATAGGAGGTAGTTCCTCATCTACAAAGATTTATAAACACAAAAATAAAAAGCACACGGAATAACCAATTAACACTGGATTAACATGTGGGCAGCAAGCACAATTCAGTTTATATACAAAATGTAAACTGTTACTTCATTTCAGATAAGTGTATAATTGAGGCTTAGAAATTCCACTAGTTTTTTTTATTATTTCTCTATTCAAGAATATGCAGTCAGTGCCATACCACTTGAGTGATTTTCGAAGAGGTGTGCATTCTCTGTGTTCAGCTTCAGAGCGCGGTAATCTGGCATTTCTTCATCATCCGCCACTTCCTCCTCCTCTGTTGCCATATTTCTCACCTCTGGTTGCTCCACTGTGAGAGAAGTAGAAAGATGGACAGGCTGGGAAATGAATTCAATGTGTATTTGTGATTGTATATATTTGTGTCCCATGATGTGTTTGAGTGACTTTGAAGGCCCTTTCTGCCTTGACTACAGTGAGGGAAAAAAGTATTTGATCCCCTGCTGATTTTGTACGTTTGCCCACTGACAAAGAAATTATCAGTCTATAATTTTAATGGTAGGTTTATTTGAACAGTGAGAGAACAAAAAAATCCAGAAACACGCATGTTAAAAATGTTATAAATTGATTTGCATTTTAATGAGGGAAATAAGTATTTGACCCCCTCTCAATCAGAAACATTTCTGGCTCCCAGGTGTCTTTTATACAGGTAACGAGCTGAGATTAGAAGCACACTCTTAAAGTGCTCCTAATCTCAGCTTGTTACCTGTATAAAAGACACCTGTCCACAGAAGCAATCAATCAATCAGATTCCAAACTCTCCACCATGGCCAAGACCAAAGAGCTCTCCAAGGATGTCAGGGACAAGATTGTAGACCTACACAAGGCTGGAATGGGCTACAAGACCATCGCCAAGCAGCTTGGTGAGAAGGTGACAACAGTTGGTGCGATTATTCACAAATGGAAGAAACACAAAAGACCTGTCAATTTCCCTCGGCCTGGGGCTCCATGCAAGATCTCACCTCGTGGAGTTGCAATGATCATGAGAACGGTGAGGAATCAGCCTAGAACTACACGGGAGGATCTTGTCAATGATCTCAAGGCAGCTGGGACCATAGTCACCAAGAAAACAATTGGTAACACACTACGCCGTGAAGGACTGAAATCCTGCAGTGCCCGCAAGGTCCCCCTGCTCAAGAAAGCACATATACAGGGCCGTCTGAAGTTTGCCAATGAACATCTGAATGATTCAGAGGAGAACTGGGTGAAAGTGTTGTGGTCAGATGAGACCAAAATCGAGCTCTTTGGCATCAACTCAACTCGCCGTGTTTGGAAGAGGAAGAATGCTGCCTATGACCCCAAGAACACCATCCCCACCGTCAAACATGGAGGTGGAAACATTATGCTTTGGTGGTGTTTTTCTGCTAAGGGGACAGGACAACTTCACCGCATCAAAGGGACGATGGACGGGGCCATGTACTGTCAAATCTTAGGTGAGAACCTCCTTCCCTCAGCCAGGGCATTGAAAATGGGTCGTGGATGGGAATTCCAGCATGACAATGACCCAAAACACACGGCCAAGGCAACAAAGGAGTGGCTCAAGAAGAAGCACATTAAGGTCCTGGAGTGGCCTAGCCAGTCTCCAGACCTTAATCCCATAGAAAATCTGTGGAGGGAGCTGAAGGTTTGAGTTGCCAAACGTCAGCCTCGAAACCTTAATGACTTGGAGAAAATCTGCAAAGAGGAGTGGAACAAAATCCCTCCTGAGATGTGTGCAAACCTGATGGCCAACTACAAGAAACTTCTGACCTCTGCGATTGCCAACAAGGGTTTTGCCACCAAGTACTAAGTCATGTTTTTCAGAGGGGTCAAATACTTATTTCCCTCATTAAAATGCAAATCAATTTCTAACATTTTTTACATGTGTTTTTCTGGATTTTTTTGTTGTTATTATGTCTCTCACTGTTCAAATAAACCTACCATTACAATTTTAGACTGATCATGTCTTTGTCAGTGGGCAAACATACAAAATCAGCAGGGGATCAAATACTTTTTTCCCTCACTGTATGGGGTTCTTTTCTGCTTATGCATTCTCATTTCAACGCCAAACCCACCACTGGTGTGAGTGGCCAAAGAGCTCTATTTTCATGTCATCTGACCAAAGCACCAGTTCCAATTCAAGTGCCATTGCTGTCTAGCAAACTCCAGACATTTACATTTGTTGGATGACATGAAAATAGAGCTCTTTGGCCACTCACACCAGTGGTGGGTTTGGTGTTGAAATGAGAATGAATAAGCAGAAAAGAACCCCATACCTACTGTAAAATACCGTGGTGGATACAATATAGCTCAGTATTTGAATTATTTATTTTATGCAGTCATTTTTGCTCATCTTCATCAACGGTGTCAATAATTTTGGACCCCACTGTATAGGCCTTTTCATCAAAGAATCCCAAATCACTTCTCTGACAGCTTTTAATCTAGATAACGATGCTTCCACAAGTAAAATGATTGCATTTTGAATAGTAGTTCATTAAAAAGGGGAAAACATTGCAATGAGAAGAAATGTAAATTAAGGTTCAGAGGGCATTAACACCAACCATTGCCCAAATCAGTTGCTCATTATGGAAGAGACAAGCTGTAATTTGAACAAACAGTACCATTTTCGACTTGCCTTTTATACTTTTATGAATGTGCTCCAAACGGAATTATTTCCTCTAAAGCAAGGATGCTCTGTGACCTATACCCAGCATCTAATTTTCACAGCATACACATTCTCTACTTCCCCCTATTTCAGTTGATCATAACAACTGTACAGAGAGAAAGAACATAATTACAATGATAGGACTGCATCCATATGTATGGATTCCATAGTCATTCATTGAAATAGTACTAAATTAAAGCAATGTGCTTAATTAGCTAATACAAGCTTAACGGCTTTAGAAAGTGAATAGAGTTCGAATAATATGAGATCCTGTCTTTCTTGGTATTCAAAAAGGGGAATAAAAGGCATTAAGACTCATCCATTCATAGAAAACCATTTTCAAAGACACTAAAACAAACAACCAAATGTACTTCTCTTTCCTCAGTCTCTTTTTTAAAATCTTTGACAAAGGTTTCATCACAGGCTCACAGCACTGAAAGCCATTACTCAGATACTGATCTTCATTCAGTTCAATTACAGAAACAGGAAAGAGGGCTTTTCATATACCACCCACCAAGTCGTGTTCATCTTAGCACAATGATGCATGGGAGCACATCAAAGACCTGAATGAAAGACCCCCAGATTTCTGACTGTCATCTCCAAGAAAGGAGATCGAAATCAAGCTTTCTCAAAAGTTTTTCTGTTTGAGCTCATTGGCATTGATATCTATCTATATGAGGAAGGCAATGGGGTGCACACTTTTGTAATTGGATTTCTGGAGTTGGAAAAAATAATGTATTTACTGCCCTCTAGTGTAACAATAAAGCATACTATCAATCAGACGTGACATGTGATTCTCACCTGTGTCTGTGCTTTGGGATTTCTCCAGGAGGAACTCCCGGATCTTCTCCACCCAGAGGTAGAGGATGCTCTCCCCAGTATTCTCCCTGTTAGGAAAGACACCACTGGTTAGTTTGATGTCAGTGGAGGCATATCTCCTCAGAGACATGGGTGAGACAGGGTAATGGACTGTAATCAGCAATAACGCGAGCTAACATGGCTTCACCATCAGGCAATCCATCTTTAGGTTAGCCTTATGACGGCATCCCCTCCATCTTCAGGGATAACTAGTCTGTGCTTCATGTCAGTGATTATGAAATCCACTTACACATAGAGCTCCTCAAGGCTGTTGGACAGGGTCATTCTATCAGGGCCCTCGCAACCATGCTGCACTGCAGATTCGAGAGAAGGCAGAATATGGCTCAAATGTTAGTCTTAATAATGACCTTTTTTTTTATGCCTGATGCATGTTTATCAGAGGTAGTGTAAGTGTACTGTACTGTAAAACCCGACATAAGCTTACTTTATTTGGTAGACAGGTGGCGCTGCACTCGGGTAATCATGTGGGAGAATGATCTAATTATGGAAATTAAACTCTTGAGTTATTATTGTCTTACACTGCTCTGAAACTTTTTAAACACACACACATTTTATGAAACAATTACCTGTAAACATGCTTTCAGTTTTGGATGGTCTATATCATCAGTTATTTTGATACAAAATATTCTTGCTGCTTCATCAATAACACACCATTCGTCACCGTATATGGAGGAAAGTGCCTCGACCTCTTCGATCTGATGAAGAAAATAGTGTAATATTGAGTTATAATAATAATAATATATTCATCTAAAAGCAAATTATCTGTAAACTTTCACTCGTCTGTTTTGACAGTTGAGTCAAATATATTAAAAGTATGAGTCAAAGTACAAACATATGGGTCACGCTCTCCACTCATGTGAACTTCAGTCATGCCCAGCCCTGAGTTCTGTTCAACAGTAGGGTACATACTTGAGATTGAAGATCCCCTGCATTCTCGACATCTATAATGTTTGCCATTCATTTATCCAAAGCAAGTAAGCAGACAAACACTTCAGTTCATACTTAGAAGTAGTAGTGTTACAGTAGTCTATTCGTACAGTATCAACACAAAATTAGCTCGATAAGAGGCTTGCTTGACATACTGTATCACCAACTCAGCTGTAGCTCTGACAGGACGGAACAACTTCCGGGTCAAGGTTCTTCTTTTTCTTCAGTGGGGTTTATCGGCGGTTGGCATCCAACGTTATGGTGCATTACCGCCACTTACTGTACTGGAGTGTGGGCCAGAGACGGAGAATCTAAAACCTACAGTGAGGGATTACATTTACATTTACGTCATTTAGCAGACGCTCTTATGTGCCAGAGCAGCGAACAGTTTTGACTGGGCTGAGCGGGAACTATGCTTCCGCAGAGGAAGGGGAGCCAGCAGGCCAGAGGTGGATGAACGCAATGCCCTCGTTTGGGTGTAGGGACTGATCAGAGCCTGAAGGTACGGAGGTGCCGTTCCCCTCACAGCTCCATAGGCAAGCACCATGGTCTTGTAACAGATGCGAGCTTCAACGTATTTGATCCCCTGCTGATTTTGTACGTTTGCCCACTGACAAAGAAATGATCAGTCTATAATTTTAATGGTAGGTTTATTTGAACAGTGAGAGACAGAATAACAACAACAAAATCCAGAAAAACGCATGTCAAAAATGTTATAAATTGATTTGCATTTTAATGAGGGAAATAAGTATTTGACCCCATCTCAATCAGAAAGATTTCTGGCTCCCAGGTGTCTTTTATACAGGTAACGAGCTGGGATTAGGAGCACACTCTTAAAGGGAGTGCTCCTAATCTCAGTTTGTTACCTGTATAAAAGACACCTCTCCACAGAAGCAATCAATCAATCAGATTCCAAACTCTCCACCATGGCCAACACCAAAGAGCTCTCCAAGGATGTCAGGAACAAGATTGTAGACCTACACAAGGCTGGAATGGGCTACAAGACCATCGCCAAGCAGCTTTGTGAGAAGGTGATAACAGTTGGTGCGATTATTCGCAAATGGAAGAAACACAAAAGAACTGTCAATCTCCCTCGGCCTGGGGCTCCATGCAAGATCTCACCTTGTGGAGTTGCAATGATCATGAGAACGGTGAGGAATCAGCCCAGAACTACACGGGAGGATCTTGTCAATGATCTCAAGGCAGCTGGGACCATAGTCACCAAGGAAACAATTGGTAACACACTACGCCGTGAAGGACTGAAATCCTGCAGCACCCGCAAGGTCCCCCTGCTCAAGAAAGCACATATACAGGGCCGTCTGAAGTTTGCCAATGAACATCTGAATGATTCAGAGGAGAACTGGGTGAAAGTGTTGTGGTCAGATGAGACCAAAATCGAGCTCTTTGCCATCAACTCAACTCGCCATGTTTGGAGGAGGAGGAATGCTGCCTATGACCCCAAGAACACCATCCCCACCGTCAAACATGGAGGTGGAAACATTATGCTTTGGGGGTGTTTTTCTGCTAAGGGGACAGGACAACTTCACCGCATCAAAGGGACAATGGACGGGGCCATGTACCATCAAATCTTGGGTGAGAACCTCCTTCCCTCAGCCAGGGCATTGAAAATGGGTCGTAAATGGGTATTCCAGCATGACAATGACCCAAAACACACGGCCAAGGCAACAAAGGAGTCGCTCAAGAAGAAGCACATTAAGGTCCTGGAGTGGCCTAGCCAGTCTCCAGACCTTAATCCCATAGAAAATCTGTGGAGTGAGCTGAAGGTTCGAGGTGCCAAACATCAGCCTCAAAACCTTAATGACTTGGAGAAGATCTGCAAAGAAGAGTGGAACAAAATCCCTCCTGAGATGTTTTGACATGGGTTTTTCTGGATTTTTTTGTTGTTATTCTGTCTCTCACTGTTCAAATAAACATACCATTAATATTATAGACTGATCATGTCTTTGTCAGTGGGCAAACATACAAAATTAGCAGGGGATCAAATACTTTTTTCCCTCACTGTACCTATCAGCCCCGTTGCTCTTAAAAGAGATAACAAAATATTTGAGACAATATCTAATGACGTTCTACTCAATATACTCTTCAAACTAATTTCCTGTATCCCCTTCTCCCTCATACTAGATCTCATCCTCTCTCTTTCCCTCTGATACTGCCCACACCGTAGCAATACATACTCCACGGACTCTGTTTCCTGACAATAATCACACTTTCCTGTTGGATGCTTTCCTATCACATTTAATGTCTTATTCAACTGGCTGTGTACCACCTCAATCTTGTAAAATAGCCTAATCTCTTCTGTCCCTTCCTGCCGTTCTCCCCTCCCCGACTTTCCTCTGTACTTTTTATTATATTTATTTTTTATTAAATGTTTTAGTTATTTAGCAGAAATAAATGCCTTCCCTTATTATCTCTATTCCACTGCTCCTGCCATCTCTGCACCATCACTGCCTCTGCCTTCCTCATTGAAACTTCAACGTCAACATCCCCACTACTAAGTGCTTGTTTAGCCAGTACATCTTCTCGGGTCAAGGTTTTCACATACTACCAAAATAAGAGTCCTTATTTGAAACCAATGATATATACATACATTTACATTTTAGTCATTTAGCAGACGCTCTTATCCAGAGCGACTTACAGTTAGTGAGTGCATACATTATTTTTTTTATTTTTTTTCATACTGGCCCCCCGTGGGAATCGAACCCACAACCCTGGCGTTGCAAACGCCATGCTCTACCAACTGAGCTACATCCCTCATTGTTTGAAACACATGGTGCAAAAAGTGGATGAATTAGCAAAACAAATATTATAGCAATCATTGCTAATTTTCATTTCAGCAAAATGTAAATCAATGTACAATTCCATATAAATCACTTTCCCCCTACCATTTCATCTCTTGAACAAGGACTTTTTTCACATTTTGACACGGAAATGGTAGTTTAAATCAGAAACGCTCGGCGTAAAGTACGAAAGGGCTAGATGTTTTAATACTTTGTGGAATTGTCGCAACGTTAGCAACCCGTGGCCACAGCATATAGATCCTATTAAAGTATTAATATAGGTTGTTCTAATTCATAATTATATGGGCCACACCCAATGATTTATATATACACACCACACCCAATGGTGTATATAAAGGCCACACCACAGTTGGCAATATTAGGACTTCCGTTTTAGGCTTTCAAAATAAAAGCCCGTAGGAAAACGCTATGCGTATGATACGAATCAATATTTGTTAGCAGTTTTGCATAGTGCATAATTGTATGTTTTTATTGTCACATACACCGGATAGTTGTAGTGAAATGTGTTGTTTTACAGGGTCAGCCATAATGTGTGCATTATAATGTGTGCATTATAGTCATAGTGCATTGTGATACAAAAATATAACTACATCTGGGACAAAGATAAACTAAAGAGTATTCCTACTTTTTATTAGATGAAGAATATTATAATGTGGAGCACATTGATAAATGGTCGGAGCCTAAGTATATGAATGTAATGAACATAAAAATATTACAAATATATATAAATCATTATTTGGAAGGATGCAATTTTGAAATGTAATGTCTTACTGTATTTATGTTGTATTGCACAAATGTGGACTTTAGAAAATAATATCGATTGTGTGTGTGTCCCTTTACAACTGGGACGCTGTGGTGTGAATCGGTGCTGCTACGTCGACAGGAGAGCCACAGAGCTGTAAACGGATCGCTCGAGCATCGCAGAGAGGGATGTAGCTGGGTAGGAAGCGGACAGTACACAAGACAGACTTCGTAATTTAGCTCTCAGAATATAGCTCAGCGTGTCAGTCACAGCAGAAATATTACTTCACGTCATGGGAGAGATCATATGTAATCACATAATAACACAGCCTGGATGTTTTTTCTAACGGACACAAGAAGACGTGCCTGTAAAAGGAACTATTTATGGTTTGGGAAGGTTTTATGGGAGTAGTTAGCTAGCCAGCTAGCAACCTTGCTGGCTCGTTGGAGGAAATTTTGCAAGGATGCTACGGTGGATAAGGCAACAGCTGGTAAGTTAGCCTCTTTGCTAACTAACTAGCTATATTTGCTCGCAAGTGTACTTTGCTATTGAGAAAGACGTTGATGCACATGAAACAATATGGTGGGGTTGTTTTGAAGAGTTGAACATCCAACCAGAACTGGCTGCTATTAGCTAAGTTCGCTTAGTAGGTAACGTTAGCTAGTGAGCAAGTTATCTAGCTAGCTAGCTCGTTTGTTTACCAAACATTGGCGTGGCTAGCAACTAACTACTAGTAGGTACATGAAGCCATCCAGGCCCACTTATACATTCTACTCAAACTTATTTTGGCTAGCAAGTTTGTTAGCTGTTGTGCCTGATGATCTAGCTAGTAGCTAAGCTTTTTTGACAGTAATAGTTATGCTAAAAACTAACTAGCCAGCTACTGTAGCTAGCTATAATTGGCATTGGACAGTTTAGCCACAGATATGTAACGAGTCGGTGTCAATGGTTAGCTTGCTACCATCTAGCTAACTAGCAAGCCACTTACTTTAGCCGCTGCATTGAAAAGCCAGACATGCAGGCAGATGTATAGAACTAGCTCAGCACTGCCGTTGTATAACAGTTTGCCTAAATCTTAGCTACAACGCCTAGCTACCTAGTTAGCTACAGCAGCATTAGCTAACTAATTCAGATTCTAGAAGGCTATGGCTAGCTAGAACAATTACTATTTCCTCTCAATGAATCAGGGTTAAGATCCAATTCAAGATCCATTTAAATCAGTTCAGGAGATTAATTGAAATGTGTATTAATGTGGCACTAGCCTAGTCTTCAATTAGCATTTTTCAGTTCATTAATTTAATTTCAATTAACTTCCTGAATTGACCCTAAACTCAATTTTGTTAGCTACATAGCTAGTATGCAGATACAATACTGCTGCAGAAACAATCAAAATCAACTCTCCCCTTTTTGTCATGAATAATTAATGAATGCTCTTTTTAGTTGTGGACAGTACACAAGACATGAGGTGTGGTGCTAAAAAAAACACATGAGGTGTGGTGCTTAAAAAAACAGCCTACTTGATGACCTAGCCCTAATAGTTACTCATTGACTAACATATTGTTTCTGTTGAAGGTCAGGATTTTGAGTAATGCATATGGTTCGCTGTCTGCCAGTGGAATTCAGCCAACTGCTTAGCCTACAGTTCTTCATGAATACTTGCATACAGAATTTGAGAAGTTTATAATGCAAGTGACTGCGCAGTGACCTTGACCTTGATCTCATGTGAAAGGTTGCTTCAGGAAAAACAAGCAGTCAAGGGGAGTAGTTTATCTGAGTCATTTCATTGATATAATAGTGTTTCCCAACTCCAGTCCTTAAGTACCTCCAACAGTACACATTTTTTTGTAGTCCTGGACAAACATACCTCATTCAACTCATCAAGGGCTTGATGATTAGTTGACAAGTTGAATCAGGTGTGCTTGTCCAAGGTTACAGTAAAAATGTATACTGTTGGGGGTACTCGAGGACCAGGGTTGGGGAACGCTGATTTAATGCACCACGGAACATTGTTTTTCATAGAATGGGCTGAATGTTATTATAGAATGCTCAGGCTACACACAGTAACTGTCACTATCACCGACCAGCCTAATCCACTGTAAATCAGAATAATACGACATGAGGTCAATTTCTTGCTAAATGGGATCATGGCAGCAGGTGAATGATGATAGGGACTGCCCAGCCTGAGCTGACCTTTTGTAGATGGGGATAGTACGGCCAGGGAGGGAGGGGGATGGCCAATCCTATCCCAGCTGCTGTTACCTGCACCACACTCATTCCCAGTCCTCACTTCATTAACTTCACACTGATGCGGTGCCACTCACAGCTGTGCCTTCAGACTGAGCTCCCGAATGTGAAATAATTTTTTTATCAGAAGGCTGTTCTTCATCATGAGAGCCATCCACAAGTTAGGGTATAATGATGAATAATGGTAGTGCAGAGAGCACAAGTAGCCATTTCAAGTGTTATATTCCCCAGGACCTACAAACTAGGGGTACTGCTGTGTGAGGGATTTGTTTTTACTTTAGAAAATATTTATTTATTTGAGATTGTAACCTGTGTCTCAGATTTGAAAGGTGTTCAAATTCAAATGCAGGAACAAATTATCTGCTTTGTTTTAGTGTCAACAGAACTAAAACCGTCAGTGATGATGGCAATGCTACCATAGCAGTGTCGGTTTGCTGACTGCTCACTCACAGAATATCCTGAAATGGGCAAAGGAAACAGTATCTTACAACACTGTGTGAAACAACCTGTGGTTTACATTAGTTTCAAGGCAGCCTTGAGCATTGCAGAGGGGGAGAGAGAGAGCCATTTGGAATCCTATTTATTTGCCATTAGTTTTTAATGAGCTTCTTCATGTTGTGGTTTGTTTTGATTTATTACAGCTCCTCATTCATTATCCCCTCCATGTAGCTGGGCTCTGGGTTTCCCTCATGATGGTAGTTGCAGGCTTTGTTAGAGCATTAATTAACTTGACAGTTCTAGGCATAGGAGGGTCATGTCAGACCAGGTGACAAAAGCAATTTCATCCAAGTTGTAGCTTGTCAGACAGGTAGTAGGCCAAACCTAACTATATATATTTTTTTTTCTCTCAGAACAACGAGTTACCGTATGCAGATGTCTATCAAATAATTAGCTGTGTTGATGAGTCAGTCATTCCCTGGCACAGATGGCCATATTGACACTTGTCTCTCAGAATACTGCTTAGTGGTTACACAAGAATTTCCAGAAACTCTCTCAACATGCCTGCCTGGTGAAAATATAACTCTCTGTGACATCGTCAGCTCAACCCCTCTAAAATTCCAGACAGCAGCACATACTGTATACATCACCTATGATAAACTAGTGATAACAGATTATGTTTGATCACCAAGGAGGACAAAGACTGTACTTTTAAATGTGCTTGGGGGCTTAACAGCACAGGCAGATCATGAGATGAGAGATTTTGCCTGGGTTCAGTGAACATGGCCAAGATGGTCAGAGCTGTGTGTGTGTAAGAGTGTTGTGCAAACACATAAGTCCCATTGAGGAGGGCGGGCTGTGACAGTAATTGAATGCATGTGTTGCTGTCTGGCCTCAGTGACATGGCCAACTCATTCTCACTACAGTGCAGGAGAGGAGTCAGAGTCAGCACTAGCCTATAGGCCCACCTTATGAATATGATGCAATGGACAGACAAACTGTCTTTGTTATTACCCATCATGTGGCCCAGATTAATTTACTATCTTTTGAACATTGTGTACATAAATGTTAATTTAAGATAGGGCCACCTTATAGCATTCTAATATTGTTCTTCTTTAGTTCCATGCAATAAGGAAGTTATTGACCAGCCCACTAGTGTAGTTGTTCAGTACAGTGCTTGGTCACTGGCTGCAGGCTAGAAGTGTTTTTCTGACAGATAATCAGGGTGCAAAATAGTGTTAGTAATCAATGAGTTAGGCTATTTAAATATAGACTAGGGTGTTTTCACATAAAGTCCTCTTTAAAGTGTACTCTGGGGTAAAAATAAAAGCAGAAATATGTATTCACTCTTTGTATTCACACTGCCCTTGCCTTTGAATGAGGACTCAACTCTTTTGCCAATTCACTTCACATATTTTGTGGTATGAGTCCTCTTTTCATTCACATTGCCATATTTAGAAAGGAACCAAGATCTTTTTCCAACATTCACTCCATGCGCTCTGGGTTTTTCCATCAGAATGTGTTATTGGACAGCTAGATATACCTACTTACATTTTGGAAGATAATAGATTGCATTTAGTTAAAGATGCACCATCGCTCTGCCATTTCCTGCTTGCTAAAATTCTAATAGTTCGCCTAATTTCAGATTGTGACAAAACAAGCAAGTATAGTGTAGATAATCATTGTACCATCTAAACCGCTGTGAAATATCTTTCCCATAACCAAAAATATTGTATTTTCAGCCCGGGACGCATAGAAATAGCGCACATAGAGCAGATCTACTGCTCCTTAGACTTGTTTTCAATGAGAATGACAGATCTAAAACTTACATTTCTATGTGAATTTGGTCAGGTCACCCAAAAAGTTACATATTGCAGCTTTAAAAGATGAGCCATAATAATTGTAAATATTATTGGTAACAGAATAAATAGCAGAAGAATAACTGCAGATTAAATAATGCTGTAATTGAAAATTGTACACCCAATGTAGGCTACTGCCCCTTTAAGAGCTAGAATAGCTTTTGTACCCTATGTTGCGATTCTCACCAAATATGTTGGCATCTTCTCACACTATTCAAACCCCACAATCAAATAAAAGGCTTATGAAGCTCCTCTTCGCCCATAGATCACATATTGCAAACAAATAATCTGAATTAAAAAACTCTATACATATTTTGGAATTTCTGTGCATCCTTGACAATCGCTAATCAATAGGCCTACCCAAAAACAGCAACAACAAAAAAATCCAGGAACCAGCACATCATCTTCTCTCTTTTGTGGCACCAATGTGAGAGTTTTTGGCAGGGGAAACAGTGTGTGGTATGGGAATAATGACAATGGAACCTAGGGAGCTTTGTGTTCACATTGCCCTAAAAAAGGGAAACGGACCGCAAAATTCAAGCGAACCGAAGTGACCACATCTCGAGATGGTCTCAGTTCGGTTCGCTTTGGGGGGCTCTTTTTAGGGGTCTGAGTTCCTTTTAGTGTTCACACTGCACAAAAAATTAAGCGAACCGCACTGAGTTCACAAAAATTGGCTGAAAGGGACCAAGTTTGAACACCCTAACTATTGAAAAACATTTTGTACTTTTTCTGACAAGTCTCTAGATAAAAGTTGCCCATATTGGTTCTGGGTGAGTGGTAGAAGTTTGACCTGTTCCTTACCCCCTCCTCTCTCTCTCCTCCAGGGCTTTGACCCTCCCCATCAAAGTGACACCAGAACGGTTTACATCGCAAACCGCTTCCCTCAACATGGCCATTATGTCCCTCAGCGGTTTGCAGACAACAGAATCATATCATCCAAGGTAAGGCAGAGGTGTTGAACCCCTAGGTTTTGTGTCAAAAGCAACAACAAATGTTCAAATTACTCAACCATTTTATTTCAGTATCAAACAACTCACACTTTGATGTTCCTGTCCCCCCCCCCCCCCCCTTTTAGTACACCGTTTGGAATTTTGTTCCCAAGAATCTGTTTGAACAGTTCAGAAGAATAGCCAATTTTTATTTTCTCATCATATTCCTGGTCCAGGTAAGGGCTTGCCTCAGCACACAGTCTACCATGATTCAAACTGTTGCTGGCCTAAATATTATACTATTACTAAATATTGTGCTATTCAGTGGCCAGTGAACAATAATTGCTGTGTGCTCTTGAGCATACTGTGCTCAAGTATGCATCTGGCTACTCTTAGAGGCCACACTTTGATTTGTGCTTTCTGTGGCCGCCACTGTGTCCAATTCTAAATCTATTGCTTCGTTATACATAGTACAATATTCATGATGCATTTTCTGCAATAAGGATGGCTTCAGCTTACGAATGGCCAGTGTGCTTTTAGGTTAAATGAAGAAACGACACTATTGCCAACTATTGTCTCCTTTGACATCATCTCTTTATTTTGCAGCTAATGATAGACACCCCCACTTCCCCTGTCACCAGCGGACTTCCTCTGTTCTTTGTCATCACAGTAACTGCCATCAAACAGGTGAGAACAGCAACATGTTTACTTCCTATTTTTTTCTTCAACATCAACAGTAGATCCAATAAATTGAATGTGGCTGCTTATCATACATACTGTACTTTGTCTAAATGTCAGAATGTCTAGATGGTTAAATCTCATCCCTTCCCTTCCCCCACCACTCAGGGCTATGAGGACTGGCTGAGGCACAAGGCGGACAACGAGGTGAACGGGGCGCCTGTGTTTGTGGTGCGCAGTGGCAGCCTCGTGCAGACCCGCTCAAAGAACATCCGAGTGAGTCACCTCACTGTCATAATGAGTCCTGCCTTGTACAGCACACCGTCCTAACACTTAGCATACCCTACACCCACATTTCAGACAAACAGCTACATGTCATATAACTCCCACTTTTGGCTGGTGCTTTGTACCACTGTGTTAAAGATTTGTCCGAAAACCAATTGGCCAGGCCAGGAATGTAAAACCAAGGTACCACCCACAGTCTCAGGCATTACATTCTTTGCTTAAATGTTGGTACTCACTAGCCCGTGTTAAATGTCTTCACCAGGTAGTTATTGAATAAGAGGATTTGTTCCCAATTTAACAAAGGTTAGCCAGATGTAGCTAGCCGATGTTAAAAATCAGCACTCTTCATTCGTGTACTCTAATAATCCACAAGGTAGAATAAATCATACATTAAAGATGGAATCCGCAGTAGGGGAAACACCCCCCACCACCACCATTATTGTTTTTATTGCAGAGCTGAGGAGTGCCATGGTAAAAAAAAAAATGCAGGACATATTGTGCTCTTCTATCGCATGTGCAATGATGTCGGAGGGGAACAAATTGTTTGTTTGCAGTAACTTCTTTGTTTTTGTAATATTGCAAACGGATGTGGCTGTTTCACCATTAAGGATTCAAGCTTTAAACTGCCAGAAGAATAAGTGTATTCAAGTGCTATTTTAGTTTGTTGTTCTTCCACAGTTCTGCAGATGGAATGCAGCAGTTTTCACATGGAAAAAGTTTTGCTATTTTTAAAACAGTGCATGGTGGCGTTCACTATTGTCTGTCCAGTCTTCAGAAAATATTGGATTCTGAGGTCGTGGATATCATGGAGGGAGATTTGCTCCTCATTCATCTGTTGTGACGTGTCTGTCTGTGCTGTCTGCTCAGGTGGGGGACATAGTCCGGGTGGCCAAAGATGAGACGTTCCCAGTGGACCTGGTCCTCTTATCATCGGACCGAGCTGAGGGGACATGTCACATCACCACCACCAGCCTGGACGGAGAGACTAATCTCAAGGTTGGGCTTTTAATCTTCCATCCCCGCTCTCTCTTTCTCTCTCTAAGCACCTAAATGAGTTAGCTTTCCCCTCTCACAAGGGGAGGAAAAACGGCTATTTCCTTTCATTTCCATGATAGTACTTGTGCAGTCTGTCGAGAGATCATGTTTTTGCCAGAGGCAACATATCTAATTATCTGCTTCTAATCAAAATGCTTGTGCCATATAACAGTTTATTTTTTTATTTATTTTTTCGTGAAATTTATTTTTTGTCAGTTTTTTCTTGTGCAATCTCAGGGGTGCAGCCTCTGTCATCAGCCTTCTGTTCCAGCTACTTGTCTTTTATGGCTGTTTGTTGCAGTAATGACATTACAATCCATTGGGGGATGGAATCGCTTTCTCACTGAGGGGGTTTGAGCACCAGATTGGATTTTGCCTCTCAAGCAGTCAAGGAGTGATTCAGTTAAATTATAAATGTAAACCTAACAAGCCTTGTGGCCTCTTTAACCTTTCAAAGTGTATTTATATTCTATAAAAGTGCTATCTTTGTCCCTCTCTGTGGTCCTGTAGACTCACTACTCTGTGCCGGAGACATTGGTGTCTCAGTCGGTGTCCAGGCTGGAAGCCCTACATGCTGTGGTGGAGTGTCAGCAGCCAGATGCAGATCTGTACAGGTACGCTACAGTCACCCTGCACTCACTGGCCAGTCAGGACGCTGAGCTCTCCTTTCAATGTCCCCGGAACTGAACATTATTATTTCTCACATTCACATTTCTACTGGCCAGAATGGAGGTATTTTTTTTAGGGTTGAATGACAGGACTGTTGGTGTTGCGGTTTCTCTGTTACTCTGTTACTCTCCCCATTCAGCAGAAATGTTTCTACTTTCAGGTTTGTCGGACGAATAACGGTAACACAACAAGGAGAAGAAATTGTAAGGTGAAATTGCCAAATGTGCTAATTCTAGTTTTTATCTGTGTTGCATGGATGGAGTGGCAGAAATTGTTTCCATTTGCTGGTGAAAGAAAAGTTATTATGTGGTATCATTCGCTATTTGTCGCTGCCTCCTTAGACCCCTTGGACCAGAGAACCTACTGCTTCGAGGAGCAAGATTAAAAAATACCAAAGAAATTTTTGGTAAGTGGCTTCTGGCTCTCACTGTTGCTATCCACATTGTTTTCTGTCCTCAGTTATCCTCTCAGTTCAACTCAGTTGCCCAGTTGGTTGTTGTCTATGCAGGGTTCAGTAAAGTTCCACTCTTGATTTGCAGGTGTGGCAGTTTACACTGGGATGGAGTCCAAGATGGCCCTGAACTACAAGTGCAAATCCCAGAAGCGCTCTGCAGTGGAGAAGTGCGCATTAGGACATTCTGCAACTCTGAACACTTCTGAGTTTCCTCTTCTCATGTTTCAGGTTCATCTCTATGTACTGTACATCAGACTGTGTGTATCTGTGCTGTTTTTCTCTCAGGTCCATGAACACCTTCCTGCTCATCTACCTGGGCATCCTGCTGTTTGAGGCCATCCTCAGCACTATCCTGAAGTACGCCTGGCAGGCTGAGAACAAATGGGACGAGCCCTTCTACAACCAGAAGACGGAGCAGGAGAGAAACAGCAGCCAGGTCAGTCACTGTCTGAAACACTTTATTCACACTGATACATCATGGTCTAAAACAGAGGATCTTAGATTTCATAGGATTCTTGGATACTTATTCTTTGCAAATAGTTTGTGGTTTTGGGGGATAATGTGGTGAGTGAGTGAAGGAGGTGGAAAGATGTATTATTTTTTCAACAACTCTTGGTGTGGCTTCCCACGCAGTAGCAGTTGGTATGACTCAACGTATTGTGACGGCATAAGAGAAAGTAGCGCTCACCCTGACAATTCCCATCAGTCAATAAGAAAGGTGCTCTCCTAAAACCTCCATTCACTTTCCAATGAGGTCTCAAGCCATTTGCTGTGTGTCCCTCTCCTCCTCCCACCCACTTCCTTGTTGACAGATCCTGAAGTTCATCTCTGATTTCCTGGCGTTTCTGGTCCTGTACAACTTCATCATCCCCATCTCGCTCTACGTCACCGTGGAGATGCAGAAGTTCTTGGGCTCGTTTTTCATTGGCTGGGACTTGGACCTCTATCACGAGGAGAGCGACCAGATGGCTCAGGTCAACACGTCCGATCTGAACGAGGAGCTGGGACAGGTACGGACACCAAGCACTTCATGATTAGTCTCAACGTCATAGCTGAGTTAGTTTGTGTGAGTGTGTAATGATCAGCCTCTGTTTATTTCTGTTCTAGGTGGAATATGTATTCACGGATAAAACCGGCACCCTGACGGAGAACGAGATGCTGTTCCGTGAATGTTCAATCAACGGTATCAAATACCAGGAAATCAATGGAAAGCTTGTACCTGAGGGGATGACGGATGACTCGCTTGACGGATCTGTGCCTGATCTGGTAAATACCATTAAAACCTCACATATATAATATAATATGCCATTTAGCAGACGCTTTTATCCAAAGCGACTTACAGTCATGCGTGCATACATTTTTGTGTATGGGTGGTCCCGGGGATCGAACCCACTACCTTGGCGTTACAAGCGCCGTGCTCTTCCAGCTGAGCTACAGAGGACCACGATATATCGCCCAAGTGACTTGTGACCAGTATTTATCCATTCACTGTCTGTCTGTCCATTCATGAAATATACATGGTTTGTCTGCATTTCCACCCATGTGTTATACTTGTGTTCATTGACTGTCCTCATGGCTTTGGACCGTCAGTGGTTTGATGACTCTAGGTACTGTACTCATGTCTGTCTGTCTCTCTCTCTGTCTGTCTGCCACCTCTCAGAGTCGGGAGGAGTTGCTGTTCCTGAAGGCAGTGTCGCTGTGTCACACAGTGCAGATCAGCTACGAGCAGCCAGGCGACGGCCCGGGGGATCCCTTCTCCCACGCTAACGGCTTCTCCTCCCAGATGGAGTACTATGCCTCCTCGCCGGACGAGAAAGCACTGGTGGAAGCCACGAAAAGGTACCCAGGAGGATAGCTGTCGTGTCATGCTGTTCAACCCATGTGTACTGTTGTTGGTTAATAAAATCAATATCTATAGCTATATGACCAGTGCTGGTACTACAGGTATTTTTGGACATACAAGCACTCAAACAAATGAACATTTATTGAGACAAATGGTTTTCGAGGTTCAGCACATTCCAGACCACGGTCTGAATATTACAGTTATGGTCATGTGGGTTATGTATGGGAAACAGTCTGCATGTTACAGTATTTATGGTCAGCAATGTCACATTATCAAATTTAATTGCAGGATGGGGGTAACCTTCATTGGTAGCCATGGAGAAACTATGGAAATAAAAACATTTGGAAAGTCAGAAAAGTAAGTATAATTGTGTATGATTGAAAATTCCATGGCATTTTATGTAGATGAGAACCTGTACTGTGCATAACAAGTAATGTAATACCTGTAATTCCCTTGTTCCACAGGTTTAAACTACTCCATGTACTTGAGTTTGATGCAAACAGAAGGAGAATGAGTGTCATATTACAGACACCACCAGGTACAGTGATTTCTCTCCATATTAGACTTGAATGGCTCATTCATAAATATTGTATTAGCATTTCATTACATGAGGTCCTCTGTAGCTCAGTTGGTAGAACATGATTCTTGCAACGTCAGGATAGTGGGTTTGATTCCCGGACCACCCATACGTAAAAAAATGTATGCACTTATGACTGTAAGTCGCTTTGGAATAAAAGCATCTGCTAAAATGGCATATATTAGATAGATAGATGGATAGATGATGTTACCCACCTTTTGATTTAGTCCTGTAACGTGGTTCAGTCCATTTCCCTGTATTTCATATCGGGCCAAGACTGACTATGACAACTCATTTGCGATATATTTTGTCTATTGCTGTAGGGGAAAAAGTACTATTTACAAAGGGAGCTGAGTCCGCCATTCTTCCCTTTACTACAAGTGGAGAAATCGACAAAACCAAAGTACATGTAGATGAATTTGCCTTGGTGAGTAAAACCACATCACATCATATTAGACAAGGCACTATGTCCATCCCTTATGTGCAGCAGGTTCTTGCTACGCTGAATGCTATCTTTTATTATCTGTGCTGAAGAGCACACCAGAGCAGTTGGGACACTTCCTGTCTGAAATGAACACATGGGTACTTGGATGCTCACGTGCACATGGACACCCTCACATACCACATTTTAATTCCACAAGATTGGAGATAAACTTCACACGCTATATTGAAATGCCACTTGTCTGAAAAAAGTCCCCACATTTTTCCATGCGTATTGCAATGTAAAGATTACTTTTGGTCCTTCCCCCTAGAATCCCCTATCAAAAGCAATAAATCCAATTTATCCAGACATCAGGATCTACCGAGAGATAGTTTTTGATAGGATATACCGAGAGATAGTTTTTGATTTGTGACTAGCAGGTGTGTGGTTATTTGATATAGACCCAGTCCCTGACAGCTTCTCATTTCTCTCTCTTTCCCCTCTTTCTTCCCCCTCTCCAGAAGGGCCTGCGGACGTTGGTGGTGGCCTGCAGACACTTCAGTGTGGAGGAGTATGAGGTGGTGGACCGGCGGCTCCACGAGGCCCGCACGGCCCTGCAGCAGAGGGAGGAGAGGCTGGCCGAAGTCTTCAGCTTCATAGAGAAGGACCTGGAGCTGCTGGGAGCCACTGGTGTGGAAGACAAGTATGTCAACAACACTGTGGCGCATGTCTGGTCACGGGTTAGCTCATTATGAAACCAAGCAATGTTATCTGAAAGGGTTGGGCTATTTGAACAATCGATCAGTAGAGTTTGTTAACATATACAGTGCCTTCATACCCCTTGACTTATTCCACATTTTGTTGTTACAGCCTGAATTCAAAATAGCTTAAATCGTTGTTTTCTCATCCATCTACACACAATACCCCATAATGACAAACTGAAAACATGTTTTTAGATTTTTTTGCAAATGTATTGAAAATGAAATACAGAAAAATCTAATTTACTTAAGTATTCACACCCCTGTGTCAATACATGTTAGAATCACCTTTGGCAGTGATTACAGCTTTGAGTCTTTCTGGGTAAGTCTCAAAGCGCTTTGCATACCTGGGGCCTAATTTATCAATATTGCGTAGAAACTATTCTTAAATACTACTTTCGAACGGAATTTAGAATGTTCATACGCGTAGAAAAAGTAATACGCACACCGGTAGGAGATAACCATTGATAAATACCAATTGTTCTTAACCTCAGTGCTCATGCAGGACCTTGGCTATTTGCATTTCTAAACGCCCCTAATTAACCATATTGTTCAAAATCATCCCTGTGTGTAATATACAATGCCGTACCATGAAATACATTGCAAGCAAAATAAAAACAAATCGGCAAGCACCCGCTGAAAAGTGCCAGTTGCCAAAAACACGAGGGTGGATGGCACTTGGATGTGCACAGGAATGGCATGTTTGCCGTTTTAAAGTAGGTCTTAAATCCTCGCAAAAATCCTATGAGATTGGTTTTGGAAAACGATATCTGATGAGAAAAGAAAAAGTCCCACCTGTCTCTAAAAACGCGCTCTCTGCAAAATGCAGCGTGTGCCAAGTCTTCCAACAGAGCAAGATCAACCTCTCATTCAATTTCACATTATTTCAGTCTTTTATAGTATTTCAACAATGGTTTTACTTTCACACGTGCCTCTAATTTAACAAATTACTGTACTTTATATGGATTATTATCGTAACAAATGCACTGATGTGGTCAAATTATATGCCTGTCAAGATATGTTGCATGAATTCACAATGTAAATACAATGAAATCGAAAAATGATTTACCGTGGCACTAGAGGCACATGGCTTCCTCCTCTGTTCCTTGTCAACAGATTGTTTACCTTGACAGATCATTGTGACTCATCACCTCTGTGCAGCAGCAGCCTCCCTAGGCCGGGGGCGGGGCTCAGCCCTCCTGAGCCTAATGCACTTAGCCAATCAAACATGACTCATGCCTTTCTGCATGCAGCCCTGCTACATCTCATACATCAGTCACCAAGTGTGCTGTCCTCTGTAGCTCAGCTGGTAGAGCACGGCGCTTGTAACGCCAAGGTAGTGGGTTCGATCCCCGGGACCACCCATACACAAAAATGTATGCACGCATGACTGTAAGTCGCTTTGGATAAAAGCGTCTGCTAAATGGCATATTATTATTATTATTATTATTATGCTGCTGGAATGAGATGGTGCTCTGAATTTTGGAATATAGGCTCTGTTAACACTGGTTAGAGGGGTTTCAAGGCATGCCTTTAGAAAGGATCAGTATGGAAAAGGTATGCACTCACTAACTGTAAGTCCCTCTAGATAAGAGCGTCTGCTAAATGACTAAAATGTAAAATCAGGATCCAACATTCAAGCTCGTTTTGTGTGACTGTGTTGTTGAGAGGCCTGTCATAAAATGTAATGGGGCATACGCATGCTCCATTACAACAATAATGTAACAAAGGCTCAACTGCCATCATCTGCATCTGGGTTGGTTTTGAGTGCATCTTAAGGCAACTATTCATGTCTAAGCTGATTACAACATTTATTACATGGAATGCCTCAGACTGACTCCCTGTCAGTCACGCATGCTGAATAGAGTGGCCATGGAGACACTGAAAATCAAATTTGTCACATGCATGTGTAAACCTTACTGTGAAATGCTTACTCACAAGCCCTTAACCAACAATTTAGTTCAAGAAATAGAGTTAAGAAAATATTTACTAAATAAAATAAAGTACTTTTTAAAAATAAAAAGCAACACAATAAAATAATAATAACAAGGCTATATACAGGGGGTACCGGTACCGAGTCAATGTGCGGGGGTACAGGTTAGTCAAGGTAATTTGTACATGTAGGTAGGGGTAAAGTCACTATGCATAGATAATAAACAGCGAGTAGCAGCAGTGTAAAAAAAGGTGGCCATTTGATTAATTGTTCAGCAGTCTCATGGCTTGGGGGTAAAGCTGTTAAGGAGCCTTTTGGACCTAGACTTGGCGCTCCAGTACCGCTTGCCGTGCGGTAGCAGAGAGAACAGTCTATGACTTGGGTGACTGGAGTCTTTGACAATTATTTTGGGCCTTCCTCTGACAACTCCTAGTATATAGGTCATGGATGGCAGGAAGCTTGGCCCCTGTGATGTACTGGGCCGTACACACTACCATCTGTAGCGCCTTACGGTCAGATGCCGAGCAGTTGCCATACCAGGCGGTGATGCAACCGGTCAGGATGCTCTCGATGGTGCAGCTGTAGAACGTTTTGAGGATCTTTTCAGTCTCCTGAGGGGAAAAGGTGTTGTTGTGCCCTCTTCATGACTGTCTTTGTGTGTTTGGACCATGATAGTTTGTTGGTGATGTGGACTCCAAGGAACTTGAAACTCTCGACCCACTCCACTAAAGCCCCGTCGATGTGAATGAGGGCGTGTTCGGCCCTCCTTTTCCTGTAGTCCACGATCAGTTCCTTTGTCTTGTTCACGTTGAGGGAGATGTTGTTGTCCTGGCACAACACTGCCAAGTCTCTGACCTCCTCCCTATAGGCTGTCATCGTTGTCGGTGAAGCAGAGGCACTGGATTTGGCCACTAGTCAGTGGCAATCCAGGAGAGACACTGTTGTCGTTGACGTTTGAGTGTGTGTCTGTGTGCTTGCTCTGCAGTGAGACCCAGACAGACCACACCATCTGCCTGTGACGCAGCCCAGTCTCCTCTCTCTTTCTCTCTCTTTTCTAATTAATTCTCCCTCCGGCGAACACTGTGCTTATAGAACTTCTTGCTCAGAGGATGCTGCTCTGCTCACCCCCCACAAAAGGAACGAGCCTCTACATTATTGAGGATATAATTAATCTTAAGCACCCTCTCTTTAGCCTCTTAATCAGTATGGCTTTCACCACCTAACTTTAACATTTCTATCTCAACATCATCTCTGTATTCATACTGCAGTGCCGCTTGTGAACAACATGCTTAGTATGGCTGTAACAATACCAGTGTTGTAGACGTGGATAGTATCGACTATCCACCTCTACGCTGATTACTACATTTATTACATGGAATGCCTCAGCTAGGGCTGTGACGATACAAGGATTGCAATATTTTTTTCCATGACAAAAATGAAAACGCGAAGCAAACTCTTTGAAATTTGACGTCTGACTTGTTGGAAAGGTATCATCCTATGACGGTGCCACGTTGAAAGTCACTGAGCTCTTCAGTACGGACATTCTACTGCCAATGTTTGTCAATGGAGATTGCATGGCTGTGTGCTCGATTTTATAAACCTGTCAGCAACGGGTGTGGCTGAAATAGCCAAATCCACTTATCTGAAGGGGTGTCCACATACCATGTAGTGTACATACACGTTTACTTCAGGAGGATGGTCTCAACACACTCCAATGGAATATGGATGCGTGCAAATTTGCTACAGCAGCATTGAGGCTAATCAGACAGGTTATGTTAATTGTGCAAATACAAGCTGTACGTTTTTTGCCTCCTGTGGTGGAAGGATGAAAATTGAGGTTGAAACAGACACACAAACAAACTTTGTTCCTTGTACTGCAATCAGTGTGCGGTACACTCACAGAAACCCTCCCTACTGTTTAACAGAAATGAACCACCTCTGGTTCTACCTTTTTCGGTCTTCATTCGGCACAGAGGCTAACGTGTTATGTCTGTGTCCCCAGGCTGCAGGAGAAGGTCCAGGAAACCATTGAGGCGCTGCGTCTGGCCGGGATCAAGGTGTGGGTGCTAACCGGGGACAAGCACGAGACGGCGGTCAGTGTCAGCCTCTCCTGCGGCCACTTCCACCGCACCATGAACATCCTGGAGCTGGTGCAGCAGAAGTCTGACAACGAGTGTGCCGAGCAGCTCCGACAACTGGCAAGGAGGTAGGACACTGTCACTCACATCTACCACCATGTTTCCCAATGCTCTTCATGTCACTCACTCACTATGTCTATGATCCATGTGTCCTGGGTTGACTAGTCTACATGCCCTCATCAGCAGGTTGTTGTATTCAGGGTGCAATAATGAAGTATAGAAGGCAGAGATTAACGTCATATTTATCGTTCATGATCAATGATGAGTGTTAAGGACAGTGCTCTCCAATGAAGAGAATCACTGTGTAGTGTGAACATGTCAGAATGTTGTCAGAGCAGCTCTGGGAACCTTCTGTTCTGTATCACCACTGATACAGTCCCTTTTTCAATGGTCCTTGGCTTATTAATGGTGAAGGAGGAGTCTCGGTGCAGGTCCCCTGGGGGGAGACTATCATTAGGCACGATGCGCCGCGGATGACTCAGTTTGGAAAGCGGAGAAGAGTTGCCATAGCACTCTAACTGAATTTGGAAGATTATTATTTTTTTGTAGAGGTAGTCACGACACTAATCCTCCCACATACCACCCGTGCTGCGTGACAAATTATGGAAATGGTTATGAGAAATCATGACCATTAATATGTTTTTATTAAATTCCATTTAAAATAAGTTGATTATATTCGGAGATTATGCATAACCCTTCCAGTGATGGCCCATTTGTGAGATGCACTGTAGTCTCCTGTAGTTCAGTTGGTAGAGCATGGCGCTTGCTACGCCAGGGTTGTGGGTTCGTTTCCCACGGGGGGCCAGTATGAAAATGTATGCACTCACTAACTGTAAGTCACTCTGGATAAGAGCGTCTGCTAAATGACTAAAATGTAAATGTAAAATGTAGTGTGTGTGTGTACGTCCTGTGCCGTGAGGACCTCTATGCTAAGGCTGTATAGTTATACCTGCTCTCCTCTGTGTTCGTGTTTGTGTGTGTGTGTGTGTAGGATCAAAGAGGACCATGTGATCCAACATGGCTTGGTGGTGGATGGGGCCAGCCTGTCTCTGGCGCTGCGGGGGCACGAGAAGCTCTTCATGGAGGTGTGCAAGAACTGCTCTGCCGTGCTGTGCTGCCGGATGGCGCCCCTGCAGAAGGCTAAGGCAAGTTACCTTACTGTCACTGCTTCACCTCACTACCAGCCTATTAGGGCTTTCCTTTATGAATAGAGCCAGTGAACAGCGCTATTCGGATTTCTCTCATGCTCTGTCAAGAATTAAGAACAAATGTATTGTTAATGTAAAGATGATTGTCTACTGACAGGCTACATACTTACATCCTAGTAGAATGAACATACTGTATGATTGAAATAGAGGTTACAACAGATTAAAACAGTGCACTCTTACAACTCACTCACAACCAATGTTGGGGAACATTAGTTTTAAAACGCTACGCTACAACGTTAGTCGTTACATTACTTTTTTGTTACCAAAAACAGAAAACCCTCTGAAGATGTGTTGGTCATTCTTATGCGCAGTAGCGGTAGCACACTACCTTTTGAATGGCTTATAACCTACGTCCATATCACTCTGTGCTATACTAACTCATGTAACAATGACCGATGCAATATCTCCTTTACAATACTTAAATACATATGTAAAACCAACTAGGCACAGTAAAAGGAGAGCTCAAATAGCTTACAAGAACAACTGGCTACCAATCTGTTGTACAGATACGAACTGGGCAGCGAGATTATATGTAAAACTAGGCCTATACGATCACATTGTGCGCTTTTAGTACCCTTTTTAACGTTAGCTAGCTAGCTACATCATATCAAAGCTGTTGTCTGGTTTGCTTGGTTAGCTAGCTAGCTAATAGCCAATGCCATGGCAAGGAAGGTTGGAATTAAGATAGCCTGTTATGCTAGCGACGATGCTAACCGTTTAGCTATCTAGCTAACGTTAGCAAGCTAAATACATGGATCGAAGTCTGGCTGGCACTGGCAGGTGTAAGGGGTAACGTTACTTACAGCATGGTGAATTAAATTCAACATCTTGCTAGCTAGCTAGCTAGCAACAATAGCCAGCTGCAGAGTCACATATTGGCTACCTAGCAACATGACATCATTTCTAATTTCTGGAGGAGGTGGAAACTCAATTCGAGCTAGCCCACCAAGGCCAACCCGGGTTCACTTCAAAGTGCCAATGGAAAACGGGGCTTTAGTGCCCTTTCCTTTATAGCGAAGAGAGAGCTGGAGAAATGTCAATTCTTATTAACTGAGCTTAACTTGTTCACCAACGTTGTTTGCTATTAAATAAACAGGGCACTCGCCTGAACCCGATGATCCGCGTGAATCCTGCGAGTAGCGTCAGTCAAGATTCGAGGGGTAACATCTGTTCTTTTCTTCTACCAATTCAAAATAGTTCCACAATGTATTCTCTGGCATCTCGCTAGTTATCTCGCTACTAGCCAGCTACCCACGACAACGTTCGTGCAGAAACAGAAAGAGTGCGAACCAGAGTGAACACAGCCTAGGGGGAGGGATTTTCATTTTTTATTTGCACCAACAAAGAAAAAGCTAAATAATATTGTAAAAGTAACTGATTACTTAAATTGAAAAACGAACACCTTGTTACCACAAAAAGTAATCTGAGTACTCTAACCCGTTACTTTGTAACGCATTACCCCCGACACTGCTCACAACAGTGCACTCTTACAACTCACTCACAACAGTGCACTCTTGCAACTCACTCACAGCAGTGCACTCGTACAACTCACTCACAGCAGTGCACTCTTACAACTCACTCACAGCAGTGCACTCGTACAACTCACTCACAGCAGTGCATTCGTACAACTCACTCACAGCAGTGCATTCGTACAACTCACAACAGTGTACTATTACAAATCACTCACAACAGTGCACTCTTGCAACTCACTCACAGCAGTGCACTCGTACAACTCACCACAGCAGTGCACTCGTACAAATCACTCACAGCAGTGCACTCGTACAACTCACTCACAGCAGTGCACTCGTACAACTCACAACAGTGCGTTATTGCTACTCACTCACAAATCACTCACACCAGTTAATTCTTGCAACTCACTCACAACAGTGCACTCTTGCAACTCACCCACAACAGTGCACTCTTGCAACCACTCACAACAGTGCACTCTTGCAACTCACTCACAACAGTGCACTCTTGCAACTCACTCACAAACAGTGCCACTCTTGCAACTCACTCACAACAGTGCACTCTTGCAACTCACTCACACAGTGCACTCTTGCAACTCACTCACAACAGTGCACTCTTGCACTCACTCACAACGTGCACTCTTGCAACTCACTCACAACAGTGCACTCTTGCAACTCACTCACAACAGTGCACTCTTGCAACTCACTCACAACATGCACTACTTGAAACTCACTCACAACAGTGCACTCTTGCAACTCACTCACAACAGTGCACTCTTGCAACTCACTCACCAACAGTGCACTCTTGCAACTCACTCACAACAGTGCACTCATGCAACTCACTCACAACAGTGCACTCTTGCAACTCACTCACAACAGTGCACTCTTGCAACTCATCACAACAGTGCACTCTTGCAACTCACTCACAACAGTGCACTCTTGCAACTCACAACAGTGCACTCTTGCAACTCACTCACAACAGTGCACTCTTGCAACTCACTCACAACAGTGCACTCTTGCAACTCACTCACAACAGTGCACTCTTGCAACTCACTCACAACAGTGCACTCTTGCAACTCACTCACAACAGTGCACTCTTGCAACTCACTCACAACAGTGCACTCTTACAACTCACTCACAACAGTGCACTTGCATGACATGCACAAATTGTCTTAACTTCCTTAAAATGGATAGCTATTTCAGTTTAATCTTTTGGTTTCTCTGAGTTTTGTATTAGTGGTCAATGCAGTGGAGAGTAGAGTATCTGGCCAGTGCTGTGGTTTTATCTGCAGTGTTACATTAAAGGTTAATTGCTGTGGACATGCTCCTGGTCTCATTTGGACTGCTTCTTAATGAGGATTTTATGCTGCTTGGCAGGTGGTGAGATTGCTGAAAACATCTCCAGAGAAACCCATCACTTTAGCCATTGGGGATGGAGCCAATGATGTCAGCATGATTCAAGAAGCCCATGTTGGCATAGGTAAGTCCTCCACCCCATCAAATTACAGTAGGGTCGTGCCACCTCAAAGCACAAGAAAGAGGATTTCGACACCCACCATCTCAGATTGTTCTGAAATCGTTTCTGTTGTTAGATAAGATTAGCATTCCTCCAACATTATATTGTTGAAATATAATTTGATCTCTGACAAAATAAGCTGCACCCAAATTGGCCATTTTTAATTTATAGGATTAATATAATATTCAAGAAATAGAGTACCTAGCATCCGATTTGGACCAAACTTTTTTCTAACAATGAATTAGACATGAGGAATCCAAAGAAATGGTCGTAAGCCACCCACAGTCCTACCCACGCCAAATATAATATATGAGTATATAGTAAGTATTAGTTGTCTAATAGCAGGAACAGCACCAACTAGTGGTCAGAACTTGGTAATATCAGGATGTAGGATGGGACATAAACCCAACAACTTCAATGACAAATTTCTCTGAACAGGAAAAAAATAACATCACAAAATTCACTGAGAATACATTGCATAGGATGAAGAAACAATACTCAGAGCCGCAGCTCCATACTACTTGTCAAACATGGAGAACTGATACTATTGACTCGTTGTTGGGGTGGGGTGTAGGGGGTTCTGTGGATGGCTTTTGACCACTTCTTTGGATTCCTCATGTCTTACTCATTAATAGAAAAAAGTTTGGTCCAAATCGGACGTTAGGTACTACAATGATTGAATATTATATGAATCCTATAAATTAAAATGGACAATTTGGGTGCAATCAATTAGCTTAATTTCTCAGAGATCTAATTTTATTTCAACAAAATAATGTTTCCGGAATGCTTATCTTATCTGTTTCTAACTACAGAAACGATTTCAGAACAATTCAAGATGGTGGGTGTCATGGCTTGCTGAAATGGCATGGAACGACCCAATAACCAATTACTCAATACTGTATTTTTTTTGTAGTTTCAGTACAAAGTGGCTAATAACAGACTTCATTTTTTCAGGAATCATGGGCAAGGAGGGAAGACAAGCAGTACGAAACAGTGACTATGCAATAGCAAGGTTTAAATTCCTTTCCAAATTGCTGCTTGTCCATGGCCACTTCTACTACATTAGAATAGCAACCCTTGTACAGTACTTTTTTTACAAGGTGAGTTCAGTGTTTAAGGATGCTTTGCAGTGTCCTATACAATGAAAACCAATACAGGAGCTAGATGTGATTGTCTCGGGTCTAAATCACTTTTTGTCTTCTTTTAGAATGTGTGCTTTATTACGCCCCAGTTTTTATACCAGTTCTTCTGTCTGTTTTCACAACAAGTAAGTGTCTTTCAATGTCTCATTAGTTCTATTTGTTCATTTTTTGTGGTCCCTTATTACTGTTGCTTTGTGAGTGTTGTATCAGTGTACTGTGTTCTGTGTGATCAACATCCCTGTTGTTCTGAAGGTACCACGTGTAGCTTTATCTCCCCTGTGGGATCAACAACTCTAACTGTCCAGGTTTGGATCAACAACATATAAATTAGCCAAATGTAGGACCTAGTTGATGGTGGATAAAGAACGGAAGTGATTTTCTTGGCAGGTGTGTGTGCTGTGTTGTACATGGCCCGGGGTTATGTGGCAACTTTGGCCTACCTCGTTGTTGTGTCCCTGTTTCTCCAGACTCTGTATGACAGCGTCTACCTGACGCTCTACAACATCTGTTTCACCTCCCTGCCCATACTGGTGTACAGCCTGTTTGAGCAACTGGTCCATCCGCATGTGCTGCAGAGCAAGCCAGTGCTCTACAGGTAGGACATGGTGTTCTATTTTACATATTTTTTTTTTCAATACAGAATGAGGCTGTACCTCCATTAGATGCATTTACATGAAAACATGACAAGTATTTGCTAACGGACAGTACTATCCCTTTTTATCCCTCCACACCAACAGAGACATCAGCAAGAACTGCCTCCTCTCCTTCAAGACCTTTTTGTACTGGACACTGCTGGGCTTCTGCCACTCATTTGTCTTCTTCTTTGGTTCCTACATCCTGATGGGGGAGGACACATCTCTCATGGGGAATGGACAGGTGAGGGTGGCTGGGCCAGGCTAGGGCTGCATGTACTGTACCATCTGCTCTACCTCTGGTAGTGGTCCTGTTGGGGGAGAGGGGGCCAGATATCCACCCCCCCACCTGGCTTGGCCTGACGGTGGGAACCTGACTTTGAACCTGATTGTACCTGACTTTGAACCTGATTGTGAATTTTATGTGCAGATCTCTGGGAATATTGATTGGGTGTTTTACCTAGACACAGTAATATGAAATATTGATCTTTCAGTTTAAGTTAGGCAGTGTGATGGCAGTAATTTCTAGACTGTTCCAGGAGGCTGCCTGTGTTGTGATGGTTCTATTCATGCTGCAGCCCTCTTTCTCTCTCTATTCTGTCTGTCTGTGTCAGTCTTTCTACTAGATCAGGGGTGGGAACGGACTCAATATACTTTAAAATGACTAAAACCAAATCGAAACGGTGAAGAAAGGATAATGGACCTACATTCATACAGTTTCTTGACTGTGTCCAGCTTGCTAATAATCACCTAAATGAAAGCTAGACAGTCAGGGAGCATCAAATTCCCCAAATGATGGATAGAGGACTATTTCTTTGCCAGTTTTGACGGTGAGGAAATATATCAAATTTTCCTTGCGGCCCTCCAGACCTCGTTGAAGACCGAATGCGGCCCCCAGGGCAAAATGAGTTTGACACCCCTGTACTAGATTGATGTGAGGTGTTGTTGAAAAAGCACTCACCATGTTGCTCTTTTTCGCTTGTCGTTCTTTCTTTTGTTTATTTTCTTCTTCTTCTCCCTCTTTTCATGCTCTGCATGTCGTCAGATTTTGAGAGCTAACAGACAACTGGTAAGAGTTGACTGAATTACAGTGGATGCATGCCCGTCATAGTTACTACCCTGACATCTGTTGCTATAATTGGTCCATTCTATATCAGCATCCTGCTTGGTTATGCTTTTGATGATGTGCCATGTTTCTCAGTGTGAGTGATGATGGCTAGTTGGAGACACTCACTTCAATAGCTTTCAGAGAATCAGTAACTTCCAGTGTCTCCACAAGTTTGTCATCAATTTAGCTTACAAGGCTTAGGCCTAGTCTTCTGGAAAGCTGTGTCTAATACACTGAGTGTATAAAACATTAAGAACACCTGCTCTTTCCATGACCAGGTGAATCCAGGTGAAAGCTATGATCTCTTATTGATGTCACTTGTTAAATCCACTTCAATCAGTGTATATGAAGGGGAAGAGACAGGTTAAAGAAGGATTTTTAAGCCTTAAGACTATTAAGACATGGATTGTGTATGTGTGCATTTGAATGGGTATGGTAGTAGGTGCCAGGCGCACCGGTTTGTGTCAAGAACTGCAATGCTGCTTGTTTATTCACGCTCAACAGTTTCCCGTGTGTATCAAGAATGGTCCACCACTCTAAGGACATCCAGCCAACTTGACACAACTGTGGAAAGCATTGGAGTCAACATGGGCCAGCATCCCTGTGGAATGCTTTTGACACCTTGTAGAGTCCATGCCCCGACGAATTGAGGCTGTTCTGAGGGATAAAGGGGGGGGGTCAACTCAATATTAGGAAGGTGTTCCTAATGTTTGGTATACTCGGTGTACATCCCTATTAAAGCATTATTCCTATGATAGATGTTATGCCATTGTATTGTCTATGTGAACATTTTTAAATGTTTTATTTTATTTGTCTTGTAGATGTTTGGAAACTGGACCTTTGGCACTTTGGTATTCACAGTAATGTTCATCACTGTTACACTGAAGGTAAATAATGTTATTTCAGTTTTTGCAATTGTTTGATTTATAAATAATTCTAAAAGCAATCCCACATGAAATCTATCACTGTTTGATATTGTTGTCACGGTCACCTCACTCCTCTGTGCTCTCCTATGGCCTTTCACATGCTGTTCTGACCAAACTACATGTTGTTTCTCCTCGCTGTCAACAGCTGGCCTTGGAGACCCACTTCTGGACGTGGATGAATCACTTTGTTACCTGGGGCTCCATCGCCTTCTACTTCGTCTTCTCCCTGTTTTATGGGGGAATCATCTGGTAAGCTGAGCTGCCATCTTTTTCCCACACAACCTGTGGATGTCTTGTACACATGGCACTCCAGTGTATATATAGTATGTGATAAGACCAACAAGTGTAATTGTACTGCATGTGGCATACAATTTCACCTGTTTTACAGTGGCTAGCATCGCTATCTCTATTGTCTTCTCAGACAGTCAAAAAGCTTCAAGTTTCATTCCAGGCTCTACTCACAGGGTTAGTTGAGCCTCAACAGATGTTGGCTGGCTAACAGTGTAATTCTCTGTGACCTTTGCCCCCCTCCAGGCCTTTCCTCCACACCCAGGACATGTACTTTGTCTTCGTCCAGCTGCTGTCCAGCGGCTCTGCCTGGTTCGCAATCATCATCATCATAATCACCTGCCTTTTCCCTGACATCATCAAGAAGGTGTTCTACAGGCACCTCCAGCCCACCAGCACCCAGAGGTCTCAGGTAGGACACCCAGGGACAGGGGAGGGGGGGAAGGGGTGGGCGGCTTGTTGCTAACCCACAGGACACCCTCACAGCAACGTTGTGGTAACGGACTATACACTGACAGGAAACGCATGACAATTGCACCACAGCGTGGCTTCTCACCTCACAGACAACACAAGAACAACAATTCACTGTGCAACTGACAAAGGCATGCTCAAAACAACGGCGGCATCTCTGTTCCAGCTCTAAACCTACCGTGTCTGCTAGGTGGGAGAGCTTGACGGTAGATGCCAGATGGTAGGAGCATATTAATCAACATGAACACCATTGTTTTTTGAAAACAGCCTCTTCAAGCAGCCTTTTCAACAGTTGTGTTTTTGTGGTCGCAATTTCCTCTTTGCTTAAAAGGTTGACATTGATACGCCCAGTTTTTTCGTTTGTTTATACTTATTGGCCTTACTTATTGGCCTTTTTTGCATCAAATAGTTGTTCAGTCAGCAATTCTAACATCCCCACTCTGTAATGGAGAAAGTTGACTGTTAAAGTGCTGCTCAGCGGTTCTTAGAAGATGAAAGAGAATTTCTTCCTTTCTCAGGCTGGTGTGTGTGTGTGTGTGTGTGTGTGTGTGTGTGTGTGTGTGTGTGTGTGCGCACGCGCACATGTGTATGTTTGAGTGTGTTATAATCAGCCTCTGTTTGTGTCTTACTACTGTGTCTACCATGTATGTGTCTTCTTCCCTCCTAACTGACCGTCTGTGTGTTCCGCCCTTCCCTCCTCCCTCTGCTCTGTAGATGTACTCCAACCGAGTCGCTATAAGTGATGACTTCATCGCTCTGCAGCCTCTCTCCAGAGCCAAGAATCAGCTGGGCAAAATTAGGTAGAGTAGGAGGGCCGTGCTGCCTAATAAGTCTTGTCTGCATGCAGAGGACAAACTAACTAACCAGCATTCTAGGGAAAAGAGGAAAAGGGAATGGGGGTAAAAAAAGGAGAGGAAAGGAAAAGTCTAAGGCACTTTGTTATGCACCCCTGCATGTTGGCCCTAGGAAAGCCTCTATCAACTGCATGCCACTTCAGGTTAGCATAGAAGTCCCAGTGCTCTCTGCATTGGGCAGAGCAGCCCCTCACTGCAGCATGGTGCAGCAGCCATAATATAAAGCTCCAGCCATAACGGCACGTGGAGCACAGCTTGAGTCTGTTTAATGTATGCTGCTAATTAGTAACTCTGAGGCCCAAAATTATAGTTAGCAAAAGCTTCAAAGCTGCTAGCTGGTGAATGCTATTTCCATAGGAGTTTATTCATTGTATCTCAAGATCATAGTCTGGACAGCATGCTCTTAAACAGTAGCATTACTTTCTTAAGATATGCACAATGAGCAGAGAAAATGAAGACCACTCCATTCAAAAGCAAGTGATCAATTTCCTAATTGGATTGACTTGTTTACAGAATAATTGCTAAGCCAAATTATACATGAATTCCTCAGTCATCCAGTTACAGTTGATCACTTTACATAATTGAGAGTGCACTGAAATTACTTAACTGGCTCATTGGTTCTTTGGAACATCTTTGTGCCCATTCTCCTAGTTAAAATGTTAGTGTACACTAATTGTTTTGGACACAAATTGATAAGTGGCTGCTATGCGGCTATCCTATATTACCTCCTATGGATGTGGGAGTAGTTTTTGTGCTCATTCATCTTGTTCTCTCCTGTTTCCTTCTGTCCGGGAGACCTAATGGGTTGTTTTGTGCTTCTAGATGGAAGAGGATAAGAGTTCAGTCAGCTCAGAATATGACTCTGCTGAAAGCTGGAGCCGAGGGGAGGACAATTGGCAACAGCTAGCTGCTTCTCCTCCCCCCGCCCAAGGCCCAGCCCTATGCTCCCCTAGGTAGTAGTCCTACTCCTTCCCTGGCCCAGCCAGGCCAGGCCTTTCAGTGTGTGTGGGTCCTCCCCTGGACTGCCATCGTCCACCCATCCCCATATAGCCCTGTCCCGCCCTCCGTCCTGTCCCGCCACATTGACCAGAGCCACCCCCCCTAGAGACTTTAGCTGGGATCCTATCAGGGCCTGATCACCCTGGGTGGTGGGAGAGTGCTGGCACGTTTGTTTAACTGTCCTCTCGATGTTGTCACCCTTCGTTCTCATGTCTGTCTGGATACTACAGCATTCTGCCCTACGTGATCACAAAACCCAACCTCACTTAATCATGATTTGTGTCATTGTTCACCTTTCTGTCTGTGTATGTAAGCAATAATGTGTATGCATGTTTTATTAGCCTAAATGCCTTTACACAAGCAAAAGACTGAAGCTCATTGTATCAAACAAACCATATTTTTCTACATATTTTTCATTTCAATATATGATAACCCTACCAGCATATGGCAAATTGATTGTGCTGTAATTTTTCTTTGGCTTGGTCTTTAGATTAAATGCCTTTTTGTAAGCCATTTTTTCTTTTTGGTGTTCCCCATCATTTAACTTCATATACCTCATCCCTGACTTCATTTAATCAAATCAATGGAAAGGTTACTATTTCACCTCATTAATAACAAAGATTATGATTGTTAATAGATCTAATGTATCTCAACTTAGTCGAACTCATATGTATTCCTGATTTTGTATTTTTTGGTGGGTTGTAGATGTTCTTGGGTTCTTGATGTTCTTGATGGCTTCTATGTTGTTGATGGGTCTAGCTAGTTGACAATTGTGTAGTTCGGTGTGACTGGTGTGAGTTTCCTGTTTGTGCCAACACATGCTATCCAAGGTGTTAATTTACAGGGGTGGTAAATCATGTAGGAAATGATCAGAGGGGGAGGCTGAATTAAAGTAACTGTCTGGTGGAAATGTTACTTTTAAAAGCTCATCTGTTAACTCATACCCAAATAATGTTGTTGACTCGTCCTATACTCGTATTTGTGGCCAAATTTGAGATAAAAAAAAAAAAAAAACACTTCAAAAACCCCACCTCTTTACTTGTATCTCAAACAGACTCTTAAAAAAATGCTTGCTATTTCCTCATAGAGGATGATGACATGTTTTTGGCCAAGATGTCTCATTGGCTCAGTGGCTGAGCTGGCCAATCAGCGGTTTACTTGTCATGAATATTTGTATTGACCGGTATACGCCCACACCATTCTGTTGTTGGCGTATACCCACACCATTCAAACACAGAAAAGTTGCTTTTGTAACATGCTTAATTCCCATTTTTGGAAGGAAAACTATTTAATTCATATTGTAATTAATTATAAGTCATATTTCATAGACATCTGGAATCACTGGACAGCTACTTTAACTGTCAATTATCACCACCACCTCCAACCATTTTAGAAGGATTCCCTAGCGACAGGTCAAGGTGGAAACATGAAGGATTTTTGTGTAATCAGTCTTACATTTACATTTACGTCATTTAGCAGACGCTCTTATCCAGAGCGACTTACAGTTAGTGAATACATATATATATATATATATATATCTTTTTATATTTTTTTTTTCATACTGGCCCCCCGTGGGAATCAAACCCACAACCCTGGCATTACAAACGCCATGCTCTATCAACTGAGCTACATCCCTGCCGGCCATTCCCTCCCCTACCCTGGACGACGCTGGGCCAATTGTGCGCCGCCCATGAGTCTCCCGGTCGCGGCCGGCTGCGACAGAGCCTGGATTCGAACCAGGATCTCTAGTGGCACAGCTAGCACTGCGCCACTCAGGAGACTTGTCTTGAACAGTGTTGATGAGAATAATATCACCTGAAAACTTGCTTGCCAGTTTTTCATACAGTATGATTTGGAGGACAGTGTGTAAGGCAGGATACAGTAGAATGATACATTCATGACAGTGTAGCCTAATTCCTATTTGGTTCAGTCTTCTTACCACTGTTTCTGCTGTTGTTGCAAATATGCAGTAGTTTCTGAGTGGTGGGGAGAGGGGGGAAATGAGCGTTGTAACCCCAAACCAGTGTCGATAGTTTTGGGTTGTGTTCAGGGCTGCCGCTGCAGCAGTGCTCTCCTGAGTGCTTACTCAGGAAAATGAAGAATTGCCTGTAAGCAATCAGAGCCGTCGATGAATCGACTTTCCTTCACTTAATGCTATGCATTTTATATTCGCAAAATTCTTTGCCTTCGCCATTCATTTGCAGCCGTAGATTGTCTTTGTTTGCGAGTGAATTGCCATTTATATATCGTTATGTGGAACTGAGCTGACTGATTTTAAGCACATGTTAGACTGACATGGCAACTGCCTGTAACTACTGTGTGATTTGATTACATGGCTTGGCCAGGCCAGGCCAGGGACAAGGACAGACTTGCCTTGTCAAATATTGCATCATTTATCACTTTTGAAAAATTATTGATATGAGTCTTTATTTGATTGATTTTCATCTCCCCAGCTTTGCCGTGTACATTTGTGTCTGACACCTTGTACATCATTACCCACCCCTTGCTGTTGTGAAGAGCTCATAATCCCCAACACCCCCTCCTTGCTTCCTGGACAGTCACTGTGCTGTTTCCTTGTGGATAGTGGGGTGACCTGTGTGTGCTGATTGTAATATTCTCTTGTGCTCTGCCACCCTTCCGTCTCTCTGTTTCTCTCCTCTCTCTCTCTCTCTCTGCAGCTTATTGAGACCAACTACCAGGGCATCAGCTGCGTGGACTCCATGTGCTGCTACTCGGAGGGGGAGAACGGGTGCACCCGGCTGGGCCGGATGGTGGAGCAAGTGATGGGCCGCTGCGACCCTGCCCGCGCCAACAGGTGTGACCCCATGCTCTGTGGCCTCGGCTGCTGCAGGCGCTTCTCCTACAAGCTGGAGTAGGACGAGCCCACTACTCCCCAGGAGTAACCAAATAGAGAGAGGTCCTAGCCTAGTAGAGCGAGAGAGAGAGAGAGGTAGACTAGACTACGGTCTTACTGGTAGGACAGGCACCCCAGTGACAGCCAAAGGTTTGTAGGGAGGGAGACTAGTATCAGGATCGTAGATCCTGAATCTTAAATGGCCTTTAATGGAGACGTTTATCTTGTATGCTATGATCAGCTTCATGGGGTCCTTATAGTCTATTTTTCTTCTATATTCAGTGGGACAACATGCTCACCAATGTAGCCATGTGTCTATGTAATCCGATCTGTCCTTCCAAGTCTGTACTCTTATGCATTTATTTTAAGTCTTCTTTCACCCGTGGGCTTTTTGTAACCTGTCTTTGTGGCTGATCAACCTTGTCTTCTTCTGAAGTTTTGTGCTTCTTTTAACTTTTCCAAAGCCTGCCGAGTCAGTGTGTTGCACAGTGAAGGCTAAGCCCAGGTTCAGAGTCCAAGTCTCTATTGATCTATGACAATGTATTTATGCTGAAAGATCTTTTCAAGAGAATGCTACCCGAGGTATATTTATTTAATAATTATTAAAGATGTAGCATTCTTGTTCTGCATTTTACTTGTACTCCTGGTCTTGGACTTGCCAAAGTCTGTTATACTGTATGTGTTTATCTATGGAGAATGAACGCATGATGAAAGTGTGATGCTTTCTCAGACCCTCCCTTGTCTGCCCAAACATTGTACTCCACACCCTCACTGTCCCAAAACTGTGAGGTGAGGCGAGCACTGGGAAAGAAAATGATCAAAGTTAGACTGAGACTTGTTCCGGCCTTAATGCTAAGATACTGCCACTGCAAAGGGGCAGAGAGAGACCCTGCCATGGGAGGTATACATCAGCCCTACTTTACCTTACCCTGTACTGTTACTGAGTGATGATGCTTGTGTTTTGACATGCTGCAGTGTTTTGACATGCTGCAGTGTTTGGTGTCTGTGTGCCACAGCTGAAACACTGGGATTACACTCCCTGACAGAGTGATACTGGAACACTGTAGTCTCAAAAGGAGAATAGGAGAGTGTTTTTGCTATTTATTTTATACAGTGAAGTACTTGAAGCCTTATAGGTGCTTTTGAGAGGAGGAGAACTCTGTCTTGTTGCATGGGACTGCCTTTGGTATTTTGTATGCTGAGTAACCAGACGTCGTTGTGTGTTAATGTATGTCCCCTGACCTTTTCTATAACGTTACTCCTCCTCTTGCTTTGCTGCACTTTGTCTGCACTTCTCGTCGTTGCCGCTCTGTGTCTAAAATCTAGATAATATTCAACTTCCCCCATCTAAGTTATTCATATGCAGCTGTTATATCACCTTGACGTCACTATTCAATCTAATATTCTGCTGCTTGCCTTGTTCTCTGTTCTGTTAGATGGCCATAGACAATGGACTAATAGCTTGATATCAAGTGGGAGTGCCACTAGACTAGACAATTCACACCAACATTTTAGAAGTTACACAGCACCATGTACATTCAAGATCTTAAAACGGTTGTCTTTGTCTGAAAGACGTAATCCACATGGCACATATAGGGTATTGTTGATACTTTTGATCCAAAGATAAAATAATGAGTATAGTTTTATGATGAACGAGATTATGAGATTCTACAGGAGTCTGAATATGGTTGAGAAGTGGTGAGTCTCTACTATGTTCCCTGGTGACGGTGTTGGCTTATACAGGCTATGAAAGATGGGGGGCCTTGGGCCTTTCCTGAAGGTAAGAGTTGAGCCCTCTTTTCAAGGGCTCTTAGATATTAGATAAATATTATAATGTTTTTTTACTATAGATATGCATATACATATATGTATACATACATACATACATACATACATACATACATACAGCTCTGGAAAAAAATAAGAGACCACTGCAAAATTATCAGTTTCTCTGGTTTTACTATTTATAGGTATGTGTTTGGGTAAAAATAACATTTTTGTTTTATTGTATAAACTACTGACAACATTTCTCCCAAATTCCAAATAAAAATATTGTCATTTAGAGCATTTATTTGCAGAAAATGACAACTGGTCAAAATAACAAAAAATATGCAGTCTTGTCAGACCTCGAATAATGCAAAGAAAATAAGTTAATGTTCATTTTTAAACAACACAATACTAATGTTTTAACTTAGGAAGAGTTCAGAAATCAATATTTGGTGGAATAACCCTGATTTTCAATCACAGCTTTCATGCGTCTTGGCATGCTCTCCACCAGTCTTCCACATTGATGTTGGGTGACTTTATGCCACTCCTGGCGCAAAAATTCAAGCAGCTCGGCTTTGTTTGATGGCTTGTGACCATCCATCTTCCTCTTGATCACATTCCAGAAGTTTTCAATGGGGTTCAGGTCTGGAGATTGGGCTGGCCATAACAGGGTCTTGATCTGGTGGTCCTCCATCCACACCTTGATTGACCTGGCTGTGTGGCATGGCGCATTGTCCTGCTGGAAAAACCATGTCAGAGCAAAAGGAAGCAAGTTTTCTTCCAGGACAACCTTGTACGTGGCTTGATTCATGCGTCCTTCACAAAGAGAAATCTGCCCGGTTCCAGCCTTGCTGAAGCACCCCCAGATCATCACCGATCCTCCACCAAATTTCACAGTGTGTGCGAGACACTGTGGCTTGTAGGCCTCTCCAGGTCTCCGTCTAACCATTAGACGACCAGGTGTTGGGCAAAGCTGAAAATTGGACTCATCAGAGAAGATTACCTTACTCCAGTCCTCTACGGTCCAATCCTTATGGTCTTTTGCAAACCTCAGCCTGGCTCTTCTTTGCTTCTCATTGATGAAGGGCTTTTTTCTAGCTTTGCACGACTTCAGCCCTGCCCATAGGAGCCTGTTTCGAACCGTCCTCGCCGTGCACTTCACCCCAGCTGCCGTTTGCCATTATTTTTGTAGGTCACTTGATGTCATCCTACGGTTGTTGAGTGACATTCGAATGAGTTGGCGGTCATCCCGGTCAGTAGAGAGTCGTTTTCGCCCTCTACCGGTCTGTAACTTTGTTTTCCCCAATGTCTGCTGCTTGACCTTGTTCTTATGAACCGCCGTCTTTTACATTTTAAGGATGGAAGCAACCTGACGCTTACTGTAACCCTCTGCCAGTAAAGCCAGAATTGAACCCTTCTTTTCTTCACTCAAAACTTTCCTTTTCAACTCTTTTGGCATGGTCAATAGTTATTTTTTGATTAATATTACTTTTGAGGTACTATTAGGCCTGTTTTTGCCATCCAGCTGGTCCTATTGCAAGAGGATAGTGATGACCACAGCAGTGGTTTTTATACTTTTCCTCGTTAAATAAGATTTGGTTCAGGTGATCACCTAATCAGTCCCTAATTCAGTAGAATGAGGTGTGCCTGTGTTGGAATTCAACAGACACTGGAATGGAATGGCTGTCATACATGTAGAGATGCTGATTTAAGAAAAATTTGCAGTGGTCTCTTAATTTTTTCCAGAGCTGTACAGTGAGGGAAAAAATAATTTGATCCCCTGCTGATTTTGTACGTTTGCCCAGTGACAAAGAAATTAGCCGTCTATAATTTTAATGGTAGGTTTATTTGAACAATGAGAGACAGAATAACAACAACAAAATCCAGAAAAACGCATGTCAAAAATGTTATATTGATTTGCATTTTAATGAGGAAAATAAGTATTTGACCCCCTCTCAATCAGAAAGATTTCTGGCTCCCAGGTGTCTTTTATACAGGTAACGAGCTGAGATTAGGAGCACACTCTTAAAGGGAGTGCTCCTAATCTCAGTTTGTTACCTGTATATAAAAGACACATGTCCACAGAAGCAATCAATCAATCAGATTCCAAACTCTCCACCATGGCCAAGACCAAATAGCTCTCCAAGGATGTCAGGGACAAGATTGTAGACCTACACAAGGCTGGAATGGGCTACAAGACCATCGCCAAGCAGCTTGGTGAGAAGGTGACAACAGTTGGTGCGATTATTCGCAAATGGAAGAAACACAAAATACCTGTCAATCTCCCTCGGCCTGGGGCTCCATGCAAGATCTCACCTCGTGGAGTTGCAATGATCATGAGAACGGTGAGGAATCAGCCCAGAACTACATGGGAGGATCTTGTCAATGATCTCAAGGCAGCTGGGACCATAGTCACCAAGAAAACAATTGGTAACAGACTACGCCGTGAAGGACTGACATCCTGCAGTGCCCGCAAGGTCCCCCTGCTCAAGAAAGCACATATACAGGCCCGTCTGAAGTTTGCCAATGAACATCTGAATGATTCAGAGGAGAACTGGGTGAAAGTGTTGTGGTCAGATGAGACCAAAATCGAGCTCTTTGGCATCAACTCAACTCGCCGTGTTTGGAGGAGGAGGAATGCTGCCTATGACCCCAAGAACACCATCCCCACCGTCAAACATGGAGGTGGAAACATTATGCTTTGGGGGTGTTTTTCTGCTAAGGGGACAGGACAACTTCACTGCATCAAAGGGACGATGGACGGGGCCATGTACCATCAAATCTTGGGTGAGAACCTCCTTCCCTCAGCCAGGGCATTGAAAATGGGTCGTGGATGGGTATTCCAGCATGACAATGACCCAAAACACACGGCCAAGGCAACAAAGGAGTGGCTCAAGAAGAAGCATATTAAGGTCCTGGAGTGGCCTAGCCAGTCTCCAGACCTTAATCCCATAGAAAATCTGTGGAGGGAGCTGAAGGTTCGAGTTGCCAAACGTCAGCCTCAAAACCTTAATGACTTGGAGAAGATCTGCAAAGAGGAGTGGGACATTTTTGACATGCGTTTTTCTGGATTTTTGTTGTTATTCTGTCTCTCACTGTTCAAATAAACCTACCATTAAAATTATAGACCGATCATGTCTTTGTCAGTGGGCAAACATACAAAATCAGCAGGGGATCAAATACTTTTTTTCCCTCACTGTATGTATGTATATATATATTTAAGATGTCTTAGATATTATACCTATTTTTGTATTAGCAGTTTATATTCAGTCTAAATTAGTTCATATATAGTACAGACAAGAACTGAGCTTCATATTATTCAAATAAAATGTAGTATACCTGGTTATGCATAGAAGGATGTATTATTCATATAATGACATTATGCAGATAGAGAAGGGAGACGTTGACTGTTTGTGTTCAAGTCATCCATGTTAAATCATCCTGTACTAACCCTCACTGTACCCACTTTATTCTCTCTCCTCCTTTTGAGTTTGACTCTGTTTGCTTGTGCTACTCCCCCTGTAGGTTGAAGTGTAGGGCAGGAAATGAGTCAGGAGACAGGGTTGGGAGGCAGTGGAAGATGAGCAGGATGACAGGGCTTCAGTTCCAAGGCAGGGCATCCTCATATCAATACAGATAAGGTCTTCAACCACTCCTATGCCATGACATCCCCTTACTGTACCATGCTATGGCAAGATGGCCATCCCATCCAACAGTAAATGAAGAGTCTTTAGGCAGGTCAGAGACAGATGGATAGAAGCACTCCAGAGGCAGGTTTTCAGCTTAGTCCTCCTCTACCACCGCCACCCCTCACTCCTCTGTCGTTGATGCTTTTAGATCGAGGAGCAACTCGGACCCCTTCTATTCCAACGACCGGAGCATCTTGACGCTCTCACCCATGGAGGCCACTCATTGCTAAGGTAGCAGAGCGCAGTAGTCCCGCCAGGCGCCCTGTCCTGCCCTGCCCCATGGCCACAGAGGGACTACTCACCGCAAGGCCCAGGGCTGACCACCTCAGTGGACAGTCAGACTATATCTCAAGAGAAGAATGTTGAAAGCCAGGAGAGGCTCTGCACCACCATTTTGAGAGAGATGCTGCATTGGCCTCTCTGTTCTGTTCCTGTAAATAATAAAAGGGAATAAGACCAAAGAAGGATTTGGTAGACTTAAGTGAAAAAGAACATGGTCTACTACTTTGCGCCTGTAGGTTAGTGCTGCTGCTGCTGCTTCACCACCTGACTATCTGAAAGGTCTGCCATCTTTCCTGAGGAAATTAGGTGGGCCTTTTTAAAGCCATACCCTCCATTTTTACTACCTGATTTTTCAAGGTATGAAAACGTGAAAGCAGTTAGGTCAGGTCTCAAGTCAGTTGCTTTTTTTGGAAACTGTCCCTGAAATGCCTTTTCTGCACAGATTGTTAGCGTTGCGTTTGTTCCGAAATGTCGACAGGAGAATGTTCCTATAATAGCTTCCAATGAGAGATGGGTGGTTCCACCAATACGGTACCTTTTGAGAAGTGTAACTTGGTCCCCAAAAAATGGTCACCTAATTTTAACATTCTGTCATAAAGAGCACTTCTTCGACTTAATAAAAAAAGCACATTTTCCACATCTCAAGAGGTTAAATAAAGAAATGACTATAGTAAGTGCCAAATAAAGTATCGGGGGGGGGGGGGGGGGGGGGGGATTTTTTTAAAATCACTGGTAACATAAAATAAATAATCTTCAGAAATGACTTTGTCAAAGCAACTAAATAAGTAGGGCTTTACAATGATGGTAAAACTTGGAGAAATATTCTGGTTAAGTGGGTTAAAATCATCCTAGAGGATGCAGAGGGACATGTCAAAATGCTGAATATTGGCACTTTAGCAAGTCTTTATTCAAAATAAAATCTGATTTATTGAATTATCCATGTGGTCTATATTAAAGGGCACTTCATTTAATATAACAGGCTTTAAAATGCAATATTGGTGCACAATTTCTACTTATATCAAAGGGACACAAAAGGCACTCTTTTCGTGGAACAACCCAGATATGAAATAATAGCTGTCAACTAGACATAAAATAATACAGCTTGCACATCTAGTTCTGTTTTCAAATCCCGCAAATTGTTTTTGTTTGCTTTTCTCTAATCATTGCCTAACACCATTGATATAATTTGAATCATGTTTTAGTTTTTTTGTTACCCTATGTCTTTTCCCCCTCTGTTACTAACCACTTGTTCATGTTTGTTTGTGTATTTATTTCCATCATATTACTGGTAATAGGGCAGGGGAGATGGCCTCGCTGACTGAACTCAACAGCTTTAGCTCTCTCTGTATCCTCTTTAGCTTTTGGGGCCTTTGGCCCACAATAATGGAAATGCCTGAGTTGAGAGGGTCATTGAGACAACCGTTTTAAACTTGCTATCAATGACACAGTGACTTATTATGCACATAAGAATACATATTTATTAGAATATGGCCAAGATACATAATCATGGGATTTTATATGGTTACTATTTGTAGCTGTTACATAGTTCTCAGTAGCTTGAAATGGGAGACACTTTGATATGTCCAAGTAGTCAGTGGAGCGTGATATTTATTTGCATGGTACCAATATTTGTAAGCAAATCTGGCACTACTATTGATCATGGTCAGCATTGGTCACTCTGGCATATCTGATGAAGTATACTTTGATTGTACTTGTTTGCTATGGTTGTCATGCTCAGTTTTTATATAAATGCAGAATCTAGTTCAGATTGTCACATTTGGCCTCAAGTCAGTTTCTTTCTTCACCAATAGCTTCTTATAATGCCACTCATTAGGTCAACAAGAAGAGGTGACTGTGCAAAATATTTGACTCAATTCATGAAGGCAATAAGGATCCATCTGTACTTGGAACACTGATGTGAAGTCAGCTGATGTTTATTTCTCTTGATCATGTTCATTGAAAAAAATGTCTTATTGTACTCTCCTGTCAGTGAAATGGCTCATTGCTGATGTTTAAAGCAAATTCTATTTACGGAATAAATATGTTTTTTAAAAGCATGTACCTTTTTGTTGTCCTTTCCAGCAGACTGTGTATGCAACGAATGTACACACACACACTACTGTGACCATTCGATAGAACCAGTATGAAAATGTATGCACTCACTAACTGTAAGTCGCTCTGGATAAGAGCGTCTGCTAAATGACTAAAATGTAACTAGCATAGTAATATACAGCTATATAGCTACAAAATAAATGTCAGGACATTGAGTTTCTCGATATGAAATGGTATTTTAGAAAAACGTAATTTGACAACACTCAGCTAATTACAAATCAATAAAGGGAACACGTCAACAATTAGGCACACTATTGAATGGATGACAGCACACGTTAGTAGACATTCATAATAACTTACCCCAAACAATTTGTCAGGAGTGGGTGCTTGGGGGGATTCAACACTTTATAACCCTGACAGATTTCAACACCTATAAAAACACAGGTGTGCACCACCCTTCTCTAAAATTAGTTATTTGATGGTCAATTGATTTTGTAGGTCACATGATATGTGAGAAGTGTTTAATGATGAGTTCAGATGAAAGACCATCTCTTCCATTGTAATAGTTTGGACTAAAGTAACTAGACTCTGGTCATTAATCACTACAAGGGAGGCAGTTATCAGTCAATAGCCCTTACTGTAATTTCACAGCCTGGAGTGAATCTGAATCGTATGAGATGTAGCTAGTCTCCCTAGACAGACTGGTTGGCTCCCACAATGTTGCCCTAGGTCTGGGATTTCCAAGACTAAGATGTAGCCTGAGTGCCAGTCTGTTTGTGATATCATGCCAAGTCGTTGTCAAAAACATGTTTGTGCTCTTGCCAACTCATTGTCAAGCCAAACAGATCTGGGACCAGGCTATAGGAGATGTGGCAGCATGCACAAAACTGAAGCTAGAAGCCACGTCATGCCCACGGACGTTAGTTTCTGGATCTGAGAAACTCCCCGATGATTTCTAGAATGGAAATCCATTCTAGACCATCTGATTGGTCCCAGAAACCGATAGGTTGGGCCAGAGTCACACCACACGTGATAAAGTGGCGTTTTGAGCAAATATACCAGTGTTGTTGAAAATCTACAATTTTTTACCACAAAACATGACGGCAATTTTCTGGCATCTCATAGGCAACTGTACAGTGTGATCCACATGGACCTGTAGTGTGTTCCCATAGGATTGTACAGCAGTTTGCTACTCCTATAGAAAATGTGTCAACCCTTCCGGTTGAATTGTAAATAAGAATTTGTTAACTGACTTGCCTAGTTAAATAAAGGTAAAATAAAAATTCTAAATGCCTCTTTCCTATGATTTCTACAGTAACTTTTACAGTCTCAAAGTTCACAAATAGATTTTCACACAGATGAGGATTAGATTGAGATTATTCTTCCTCAGTGGCCTCCGCTTCCTCCTCAAACTCCACCAGGGCTGCGTGTCGGTTGGCCTGGGAGCCCTCCTTAAAAAACACCTTCTTGATGACTCCAGCTTTGGGTGCTCGGATGGTGTGCTGCAGAAAGAGAGAACAGTCTGAGTACCCATAGTTCATTTAGAGCCCAATGTGAGTGATACGTGGGTGGCTACAGGGTTAGAAAAGTAAATGTGGGTGAGTGAATGTGTGTAGTATTGGGAGTGGACTCCTCACAGTGCCGGAAATTATGTAAACTCACCTCCATTTTCATGGCATTCATCACCATCAAGGCGTCTCCCATCTGCACTGTGTCTCCTGCCTTCACCAGCACCTGGAAGAAGAGAGGAGATCATATTAAGGATCTTACCTATCGATTCGAAATGGCCCTGCTCGTGTTAGGACAGGAGTCTTGAAGTTTTTCCATGGCAACTGACATTTATTAATTGGCACGTCTGAACAATTCACACCATGTCATCAACAGGAGGTATAGATTAAATAATTTGCCAACATTAGCCGCTAAGTGAGCTAATGAGAGATATGCCATGAATCAGCATGCCTGACCATCTGGCAGGAAATTATATCTCTGAGCAACATATTAAAGATCAGTCAGAGTGGCTGGGTCACCTTTTCTAGACAGATCAATTATGGTGGTGAGAGAGAGCAGGGAGAAAAAGGGATAATCCGTAATTTATTACCTTCTCAATGGTCCCGGTCATGGGTGCCACAGCTCCTCCCTGTGCTCCTGTGCTCACACCAGCCAGGAACTTGGGCACTGGAACGCTCACCTCCGCGCTGCCCTCCTGATGGGGAGGAGAGGGTGGGTTAGAGGGCCTAAGGTACCCTGATGTGGAGAACGTGTGTTTCAGAGGAGGGGACTCACCATAGAGAAGAGGTGTACTGTGTTATCCAGGATGACCAGTTTGGGCCGGGACTTCACCCCATTCACAGAGCAGTGCAGGAATGATGTCTGTCCCTCTGTCTCCACCTCCCCTGACACCTGGAACACTTCCCCTCCAATCTGAGGAAGGGGACAAAACCCATCAGTTGCAGGAAATCATGTTCAGGTATGTTCAACCTTTTCCATTGGCAATTTTTACAACACTCCTGCAGAACATGTACCTCCATAGAGTAGGTCCCATCTGAATTGTATGTAACCTTTAATTCCACTTCTGCACAGAAAAAAACATTGTTAAAGTTCTGTGAAGTCTTTTTCCTCTGCCACTTGATTCATGGAAGATTTGCCTCCATAAAAAATTCATATGATGGGTCCTGTTCAAAGTACTTTTTGTGTATGACATAAAATATGAATAACTTTTGACATAAATTCCATGTGACAAGTAAACAAAGAGCAGATTAAAAGTACTTAAAGGACAAATAAAGTACTTTTTTCTCTGTATTCAATAAATATTCTCAGCAACAGTGAAACATGAGGATGAGATGGTATTAAGATGGGCTCACTTATAGTCTGGGCGGAATCAGACACACTAATCAATGTCATTAGTGCACTAATTATTTAAACAGTCATTAGTGAGGTCCAGGAGAAAAACTGAAGGGAAAAAAATTATGAGGTCTAGGAGGCTGGCTAAGCTCCTCATCAACGTAAGACTGATTGAGGAGCATTTCAATCAAACCAAGGTCTACTGGCTGCTTCCTCTATGAGCTATTGAAGAAGGTTTGGACTCACTAGTTTCACCCAGCTGGAGCGTCATATTCCTACTGTATAGAATGTTCACCCTCCTGCCGTTACTGGAGGCAAAAGGAGAGAAGGGATCTGCGACAGGAGAAAAGGACAGTTTAAGGTCTCCTCCAACCGACAACAGTACTTTCTCAGACAGTTGTTGTATAGTTCTCAGCGACCTGTAGAGACAGGCCTGTGTTGTTGTTCCTCACCGTTGGACTGGTCTCTGAAGGTCTGGGTGCTGGCCCTCTCTCTGAGCAGCAGGCCCAGGGCAGCCTGACACAGTGTGGCCCTGGAGGGAGGGCTGGGCTTGGGGAACAGCTGCTCATAGTGCTGGGGGATGAAGCTGGTGGTCACATTCCCCGCCTCAAACTCTGGGTGGCCAGACAGACTCAGCAGGAAGTCAATGTTGGTGTTGAGGCCTACGATCTGCCGGGATCAGTGGTCAAAGGTCAATCAATCAAACAAAACAGAAACACGCAGTGGGATGTGTCCAGTATGTGTATAACATTTTAATGTTCTTACATTGTACTGGCGTAAGCAGTATCTGAGCTTCTTCAGAGCAGCAGATCGGTCCTCTCCCCACACCACCAGTTTAGCGATCATGGGGTCGTAGTGGGCTGACACTTCATCTCCTGAGAACACAGACAGGTACATAATCATGTGGTTATATCAACAGTTCTGTCTGACAGTCGTGTTAAAAAGGTGCAAGTAGGTCGAGGTGCGCTGGGTGTACTGTACCTTCCCTGACGCCCGTCTCGATGCGTGTGCACTCGTCTGCCAGGGGTGTAGACAGATGAAGGAGGGGTCCTGCCCCAGGGAGGAAGTCGTTGTTGGGGTCCTCAGCGTATATCCTGGCCTCAAACGAATGGCCCATCAGTTCTATCTCATCCTGCAGGAGGGGCAGCCTCTCACCTGCAGCCACCTGAGTGACAAGTAAGAGGAGTACACAAACATCAGGGTGGTGCTATTAAAAATTGTTAATCAAATCTATATTCAGATTGAAATCCTGCTATCTCTAGGATTATGTGAGATAATGAGGCCCTCTAAAAGAGCTCAGAAATACACTCAACGTATTACAACACATTGATGTCCCCAACCCCCTCTTTCTGATGGCAATCCTCTCCCTCTTTCTGTCTTACCCTGAGCTGCCACTCCACCAGGTCAGTACCAGTGATCATCTCAGACACAGGGTGCTCCACTTGCAGACGTGTGTTCATCTCCATGAAGTAGAAGTTGTGCTGTGCATCCATGATGAATTCCACAGTGCCTGCATAGAGACAGGGACATAAGTGTGGTTGTTACACCAGTGCACAGGATAGTGCAAAGCAACAGCTGTTACAACAACAGAATATTTGTGGATGAGTGTTCAATGCCCCCCCCCAAAAAAAATCAACAAGCAATCAAAGGCAATGGAAATTGAGGACACTGCATCCCAGCATGCAAATATGAATTATTTGTGTAAGGTTTGAGGTCCATTCTCTGCTCACCTGCTCCCACATAGTTGACGGCTTTGGCTGCTCTCACGGCTGCCTCACCCAGTTTCCGCCTCACCTCCTCGCTAATTCCAGGCTGCAAGCATGGGTGCAAACACAAAAACACAAATAATCATTAGCACATATACACTCGCACAGCCTAGGGAGTGCAAAACACAGTGCATCAAGCCTCATATCCAGCAGACAGCCATTCACACAGGAAACCAAGACATGTTGTAGTGCTGAGAGTAAAACGAAGGAGGTAGCTGTATCATCGCACTCACCCCTGGTGCTTCCTCAATTATCTTCTGGTGCCTTCTCTGTACGCTGCAGTCCCTCTCAAACAGGTAGACAGCATTTCCATGCTGGTCCCCAAAGACCTGGACCTCCACATGTCTGGTGAGGGAAGGAAGATTTGTCACAACATCTAAACAGGGGTGTAGTCTGAACCTCCAACACAAATAGATACAGAGAGTGTCTTCTACATACCTGGGGTCCTCTACAAATTTCTCCACTAGCATGACGTCATCATTGAAGGACTTGCGCGCCTCTCGTCTCGCAGACTCAAGCTGCTCATGGAAGTCTTCAGCGGTGTGTGCAATGCGCATTCCCTAGATAAACCAATCACAACCATAGGAGCCTTGAGACACAAACAACAACACTATCATTCCATGAAACAATCCTTTCTGTGTGTGCATCTTACTTACTTTACCACCCCCGCCACGCACAGCCTTTATCATCACTGGGTAGCCAATCCTGACCGTCTCAGCTTGGAGCTTCTCATCCGATTGGTCCTCTCCGTGGTAACCCTCGATGATAGGAACACCCGCAGCTGACATTATGTATTTTGATGTACTAGGAAAAAGAAAAGGAGTAGATTTCTAAGATTTAACTTTTGAATAACCCTTATTAAAATCAGACTTACAACATACAAGACTGAAGAGTGACTTGAAAAGAGAAAAATCATTCATTGGCCACGCCCACTACACCCCCCTCACTAACTTTGCAACCACTGCAAAAAAAAATCCTAGGGGACACACTGTCATTTAAAGGTAGACTCAGCAAAATGACGTTGCCACAAGCAGCCCTGCAGATTGAGATGAGCGAGATGCAACACTTCGCTCTCACACAGCATCTGCGCATGTGCACGGGTTCGCTTCACACTGTTACAGCGTGGTAGCCAGGGCACCAACACAGCAGAGAAGTTGAGCCTCGCGCTTCAACACTCTTAGTTGTTGCGGAAATTGACCCACTATGCTTTTTACTTTCTGCATCTATGTCATATCGCTGAGTCTACCTTTAACTATACCTTTTGATACCCATGTCTCTGATAGCAGATGATGGAGGACCAATGAAGATTATACCCTCCTGTTTGCAAGCCTCAGCAAACTCTGTGTTCTCTGACAGGAAGCCATATCCTGGGTGGACAGCCTATAACAAAAACACAATTTATAAACATAAATGTATTCTGCAGATATAGTCTGTATTGCGACTTTGAGAAAAAGGGGATTGCCGTAATGAATGAGAATGAGAAATATTACAAATACAATACTGTACTTGACATACATGTGATCCAGATCTCTTGGCAACCTCCAAGACTTTCTCCATGGACAAGTAACTCTGCTGGGATGCGGCTGGCCCAATGTTATAGGCCTCATCTGCCTAAGAAACATGAGAGAAACCCCATAAATACAGCTGCATCTACAAACATATACTGACAGAGGGGTCAAAGTTTCGACCTTTAGCCTTGACATACCATGGCCACATGCATGGAATGACGGTCTGCATCACTGTATACTGCCACAGAGCGCACTCCCATCTTCTTTGCTGTTCGCATCACACGGCAGGCGATTTCTCCTCTGTTGGCAATGAGGACTTTTTCTATCCTGCCTTGCCCTAGAGGAAAAGAGACCTGAACTATGAGTGATGATGTAATGCATACTAATCCAGACAACTACAATGCTTCCTCTGCAGTTCAATCTACATGGAGATGAATAACTTGGAAAAAGAGACAATATTCACAGAAGTGCTGACATTCAATATTGCCCCATGTTACTTACCAACTGAGGCAAACCGCACAGATCCTTTGGTCCATATCAATGTCCTAAGATGAGATAATAAAAGAACATTGCAGGACACAGACCTTGATGGTTGGACAGGTCATGTAAAGAGAGCACCTAAACTCAGCAAAAAAAAGAAACGTCCCTTTTTTAGGACCCTGTCTTTCAAAGATAATTTGTAAAAATCTAAATAACTTCACAGATCTTCATTGTAAAGGGTATAAACACTGTTTCCCATGCTTGTTCAATGAACAATTAATGAACACGCACCTGTGGAATGGTTGTTAAGACACTAACAGCTTACAGACGGTAGGCAATTAAGGTCACAGTTATGAAATTTTAGGACACTAAACAGGCCTTTCTACTGACTCTGGAAAACACCAAAAGAAAGATGCCCAGGGTCCCTGCTCATCTGCGTGAACGTGCCTTAGTCATGCTGCAAGGAGGCATGAGGACTGCAGATGTGGCCAGGGAAATAAATTGCAATGTCCGTACTGTGAGACGCCTAAGACAGCGCTACAGGGAGACAGGACGAACAGCTGATCGTCCTCGCAGTGGCAGACCACGTGTAACAACACCTGTACAGGATCGGTACATCCGAACATCACACCTGCGGGACAGGTACAGGATGGCAATAACCTCCATCAGTGCTCAGACTGTCCGCAATAGGCTGAGAGAGGCTGGACTGAGTGCTTGTAGGTCTGTTGTAAGGCAGGTCCTCACCAGACATCACCGACATCAACATCGCCTATGGGCACAAACCCACCGTCGCTGGACCAGACAGGACTGGCAAAAAGTGCTCTTCACTGACGAGTCGCGGTTTTGTCTCACCAGGGGTGATGGTCAGATTCGCGTTTATCGTCGAAGGAATGAGCGTTACACCGAGGCCTGTACTCTGGAGCGGGATCGATTTGGAGGTGGAGGGTCCGTCATGGTCTGGGGCGGTGTGTCACAGCATCATCGGACTGAGCTTGTTGTCATTGCAGGCAATCTCAACGCTGTGCATTACAGGGAAGACATCCTCCTCCCTCATTGTGGTACCCTTCCTGCAGGCTCATCCTGACATGACCCTCCAGCATGACAATGCCACCAGCCATACTGCTCGTTCTGTGCGTGATTTCCTGCAAGACAGGAATGTCAGTGTTCTGCCATGGCCAGCGAAGAGCCCGGATCTCAATCCCATTGAGCACGTCTGGGACCTGTTGGATCGGAGGGTGAGGGCTTGGGCCATTCCCCCCAGAAATGTCTGGGAACTTGCAGGTGCCTTGGTGGAAGAGTGGGGTAACGTCTAACAGCAAGAACTGGCAAATCTGGTGCGGTCCATGAGGAGGAGATGCACTGCAGTACTTAATGCAGCTGGTGGCCACACCAGATACTGACTGTTACTTTTGATTTTGACCCCCCCTTTGTTCAGGGACACATTATTCAATTCATGTTAGTCACATGTCTGTGGAACTTGTTCAGTTTATGTCTGTTGTTGAATCTTATGTTCATACAAATACTTACACATGTTAAATTTGCTGAAAATAAACGCAGTTGACAGTGAGAGGACGTTTCTTTTTTTTGCTGAGTTTAGTTACATCTGTTTACATCAATGAATGGCTTTTCACAGTGCAGTTTGCTTCATCACAGCTGGCTAATACTCGAATGCATAATGATCATTGCTCAAATATGATAACTAGTTGATATAGAGCTGAATGCATTAAATGAACTGCACATCGCTTTGGAAACAAAACATTTCACCATTATGCTGGTTATGCTAAGTTAGCCAGCTAGCTACCTTTATTTAACCTTGCACAGAATCGGTGCATAGTAAAAAGTAAGACTATCTAGCAATGTCGACACACACAAAATATAATGGCTTAATCGTTTTGGTTAACATGTACTAAGGTTGTTTAACCATGTTAACTAGCGTCAAGAAGCGAGCTAGCTACAATCTTGCGCGTTCGGCTAGCTGGTTGACTAGCTTGCTAGTTAGCTAGCCAACTGTCTAGACAGAAAGCTATCGACGTCTTCTTAGCAGTTTATTTATTCAAAATAGATCAAGTGCAGTGATAGTAAACATAACACAACATATGACAAGCATTATCGACTTACTGATGAAATATTCTTAAACCCTGTAGGGTTTGAACTTTCATGACATAAGCCATGTATACCGTGTGAAGTTAGCAGTCTACGGTAGTTGACTAACGTTAGCTGAATAATAAAATAGTCGTTTGCCTTTAAAATCTCTTATTTCGATTTACCATTTAAGCTTTAGCTAGTTACGATACTGCATTTTACAATACGTATTATCAACTACAGTTGATCGGTGGAAATAGTATAATATGAAACTATAAGCTGAAACATGTTCTTAGTTTGGTGAAAATAACAATAAATAGCTACAGAATGACGTTAACGATTAAGTTAAATTTGCTATGTATGTCTCTCTTGTGGACCCGTAGGATGATCAACCAGTAGAAAAAGTCGAGACAGAGAGGAAGGAAGCAAGACGTTTTTCCACAGATAAAAACGATTTGGTTTTACTCAGCCAAAAACATGTCCACGACAAATAAGCACACGAAATGAGGAATGTTTGTATGGAGGTCAATGAGTGTCGAAAATGGTCAACAAAATGTTTTTATTGCAAATTTGCTACGTGTGGCTTATTTTATATAATAGAAGTTTCGTAATGGTTAGGTTGTTACTGTTAGAAATTGCGTAATTCAAATCTGGTATTGGAATAAGAGAAAACATAATCAAGAGATATTCAATCCAAGCTACATTTATTATATGCAAAATGTATGTATGATAAGTATGTTGGTTCGTATACGGGCACAATGAAATACCACGCAGGGCAGACAGAGAACTAAACCATTGTTTACAGGTTCTTTCTCAAATACTCTGACAGAGAGTTCCCACCTCTTCTGTTGGCCAATCAGAGTAAAGGACTGAGTGTGGTTTAGACTTTACTCAGCCAATCCGTTGGCGCATGGGTTAGTCCCAACCCCTTGGCGCTCCACCCCTTGGCGCTCCACCGTTCCCAGGCATAAGTTGCTATCATAATAACCTGTAGAGTCAGCACCCAAAAGACACCCTTCCAATCTGTACTCTATGTACCTACGTTCAAGGACGGTTTCACAGACAACAAAGAGAGAGTGTTCGTATCTGTGAGAAATACAAGTCTTATCTATAAGAAATGCAAGTTTTATCTCATCCTAGCCCCTAACGTTCCTCACATGAATCACAGCCTGTTATGTGAAACAATTTATATCAGTATAGTTCAAACCTATGCTCCTCATTAATGCATTGTTGAACTCGAGGTGATTTAGTCCTCCAACCACTAGAGAGTGTCCGAAGTTAGGGGGTGTCCGATGTTGGGGGAAAATTAGCTATAATGGCACAGATTCAAAGATGAGTCTTCCTTCTCTTGTCTGTTGGTCACACGCATATCTGCCCTCTCATTGGCTAGAAATGTCCCACCTGATCTAGCCTCCTCCTGCTTGTCTTCCATCTTCGAGGACATGTATTTTTCCATCCTTAGAGAGGTCAATCGGCTATCTTGTCATTATAATAGCTCATCTTTGGAAAGGGTGAATCCATAAGGAGAGGTCACAGTGTTGACACTTTGGAGGTACATTTTTTGAGAGGTTCCAGACATAATTTACACCATCTTGCAGAACTGCCACTTAGGTAGGGGCCTGGGCCCACCCACTGGGGAGCCAGGCCCACCCAATCAGATTGAGCAAAAAAATTATATATATATAAGTCACGAATATGACTGCATTGAGGCATATGTCACTGTGCTTCTATGGCTATATGCACCATGCCACTGCCTACTTCATTTGTTCATTTAGCAAACAAGACAGCACATAGTCCTGTGTATCTCAGTTGGTAGAGCATGGCGCTTGCAACGCCAGGGGTGTGGGTTCGATTCCCACGGGGGGCCAGTATGAAAAATTTATGCACTCACTAACTGTAAGTCGCTCTGGATAAGTGTGTCTGCTAAATGACTAAAATGTAATAATCCAGTGCCTTTATCACAGTATATTTTAGATTTAAAAATGCTAAATGTTTATCTCGACCTCATTGCAAAATGTGTAGAATAGCATGAGATTAGCTATGAAACTGCACATTTTCCTCTCTACTCCATGGTAAAATGTGTAGAATTGCAGTAAATCAGCTTTAAAATGGCAACATTTTCTTTCAGCCTCATGGCAAAATGTGTAGAATACCATGAGATTAGCTATAAAACTGCACATTTTTCTCTTTGCCCCATGGGAAAATGTGTAGAATTGCAGGAAGTTAGCTCATTAAAAAATTATTATTATTATATATTTATTTTTTTGCAGGCCCACCCTCCAACGGATTTCTGGCAATGCTTCTGTTACAGAATTATATGTTTTTGGACAGTGTGTTTTTATAATAAGGCATGCAAGAAATCTATACTTAAATGTGAACTTGAAGATAATGAATTTCAATCCTGCTCGATAAAGCCACACTTTTAATAAGGTAATATTGGCACTCTTTAAACAAAATATAATTTCCCCCAAAAAACATAACAAGATTCAAATTGCTGACCATATTGGCTGATTATGATTGTAAACTTACACAGTGCTTTCCTAGAAGTATTAACCACATTCACATATTTTTTACTGTAATAATATTATTTCAATTTTCTTTGCAAACAGAATTAAATATTAAAAAACACAACTATAAAAAGGTAATATTGAGTAATGGATAAAAATACTAAAAAGCATCTAGGAAATACAAAACGTGGCTATAAAAAGCATTAATTTTATGTTTACATGAAGTCTTCTCAGATCCTGTCATAGCCAGCTCTACGGCGGTTCCAGATGATCAGGAAGGTCAGGACAGCAATCAGGAGGAGTGCCACAGCCGTGGCACCAATAATGATGGGGATGATCCTCTTGTTGAAGTCAGCCCAGCACTCAACCTCTGAAATGCCATAGGGGGGACAATAAAAAACAAAATTTTGTTTATGGAACTTGAAAGGAATTTCTATAATAAATTCATGCAATTTCAACAACTCAAAGACCAGCATGAGCTTCCTGAAACTAGCTTCTTAAATACTGGTTAAAAGAAAAGACAAAATACAATTTCCCTAATACTCCAAAGGAATCACTACTCGAAAATCGTATTCATAGTACTAGGTCAACTTGATGTATAATACACTGAATAATAATGTACCTCATTATAATAACCTAACATACAAATGGGACAGAGAGAGACCTAGGCTGTAACTATGACCCAGTAGACTGGGATGACTTGCTTGAAACCTTTCAGAGCTTCTTGATGGCAACCAAACATAGACAGATGCAATTCAATTTATTGCACAGGACATAATTTACTCCACATAGACTGCATTTACTTGATAATAAGATAACTGACAAATGTCCTAGTTGTAAGATAAATACTGGAGATTTACTGCATATGTTATGGAGTTTTCCCTACCTACATAATAAAAAATATATATATCAGCAAAATTGCATCAGCGGTATTAGAGCCAGAACTTCAAAATGACCCCAGGATGTGTTTGTAAAGTAAATGTAATGTAAAAATTGAAGAGCAATATCGATTTTGTTTTGACTGATTCTGTTACCTTGTACAAGAAGAAAAATTATAAATAATAATATTTCATCTGGATCTTTGGATAATTGATTTTGAGGGGCCGAAAGGGCAAAACCTTACCTTTACAATGTTACATTTAAAAGAGCATTAAACCATATACAGTGAGGGAAAAAAGTATTTGATCCCCTGCTGATTTTGTACGTTTGCCCACTGACAAAGAAATGGTCAGTCTATAATTTTAATGGTAGGTTTATTTGAACAGTGAGAGACAGAATAACAACACAAAAATCCAGAAAAACGCATGTCAAAAATGTTATAAATTGATTTGCATTTTAATGAGGGAAATAAGTATTTGACCCCCTCTCAATCAGAAAGATTTCTGGCTCCCAGTCGAGGTATACCAAACCTTTTTTGATATACTAAGAGGACCGTTATTAGCATGTTTTAACCACTCCTATGTAAATGGTAGATTATCTGACACTCAAGAAGAAGGTCTGATCTCATTATTACTGAAACAGGATACATGTGGAAAATATAAAGATCCAGTCCATTTACAAAATTGGAGGCCCCTTACACTTCAGTGTTGTGATGCAAAAATTCTAGCAAAATGTATAGCGCATAGAATTAAAAAGGTATTGTCGGATATTATTCATTCTAATCAGACAGGTTTTTTACATGGAAGATACATTGGAGATAATATAAGGCAAGTATTGGAAACAATAGAACACTATGGAAATTAACTCCAAGTAGGGAAAGGATGGCGGGGTTGAAAAGTAATAAAGGGGAGTATACAGTGGGGGGAAAAAGTATTTAGTCAGCCACCAATTGTGCAAGTTCTCCCACTTAAAAAGATGAGAGAGGCCTGTAATTTTCATCATAGGTACACGTCAACTATGACAGACGAATTGAGGAAAAAAAATCCAGAAAATCACATTGTAGGATTTGTAATGAATTTATTTGCAAATTATGGTGGAAAATAAGTATTTGGTCACCTACAAACAAGCAGGATTTCACTGCTCTAGAGGAGATCTGCATGGAGGAATGGGCCAAAATACCAGCAACAGTGTGTGAAAACCTTGTGAAGACTTACAGAAAACGTTTGACCTGTGTCATTGCCAACAAAGGGTATATAACAAAGTATTGAGAAACTTTTGTTATTGACCAAATACTTATTTTCCACCATAATTTGCAAATAAATTCATAAAAAATCCTACAATGTGATTTTCTGGATTTTTTTCCTCATTTTGTCTGTCATAGTTGACGTGTACCTATGATGAAAATTACAGGCCTCTCTCATCTTTTTAAGTGGGAGAACTTGCACAACTGTATATATCACAAACATGGGGATGGAAGTGATGCAGACAATTACATTGATAGAAGATACAATCTATCTGCAATATTAAGCTGATCCCCCCCCCCCCCCCAAAAAAAGAAGATTTCTGGCTCCCAGGTGTCTTTTATACAGGTAACGAGCGGATATTAGGAGCACACTCTTAAAGGGAGTGTTCCTAATCTCAGCTTGTTACCTGTATAAAAGACACCTGTCCACAGAAGCAATTAATCAATCAGATTCCAAACTCTCCACCATGGCCAAGACCAAAGAGCTCTCCAAGGATGTCAGGGACAAGATTGTAGACCTACACAAGGCTGGAATGGGCTACAAGACCATCGCCAAGCAGCTTGGTGAGAAGGTGACAACAGTTGGCGCGATTATTCGCAAATGGAAGAAAAACAAAATAACTGTCAATCTCCCTCGGCCTGGGGCTCCATGCAAGATCTCACCTCGTGGAGTTGCAAGGATCATAAGAACGGTGAGGAATCAGCCCAGAACTACACGGGAGGATCTTGTCAATGATCTCAAGGCAGCTGGGACCATAGTCACCAAGAAAACAATTGGTAACACACTACGCCGTGAAGGACTGAAATCCTGCAGCGCCCGCAAGGTCCCCCTGTTCAAGAAAGCACATATACAGGCTCGTCTGAAGTTTGCCAAAAAAACATCTGAATGATTCAGAGGAGAACTGGGTGAAAGTGTTTGTGGTCAGATGAGACCAAAATTGAGCTCTTTGGCATCAACCCAACTCGCCGTTTTTTGGAAGAGGAGGAATGCTGCTATGACCCCAAGAACACCATCCCCACGTCAAAAACATGGAGGGTGGAAAACATTATGCTTTGGCAGTTTTTTTTCTGTAAGGGGACAGACAACTTCACCGCATCAAAGGGAGTGGACGGGGCCATGTACCGTCAAATGTTGGGTGAGAACCTCCTTCCCTCAGCCGGGGGCATTGAAAAGGGTCAGGGGAGGGGTATTCCAGCATGACAATGACCAAAACACAGGGCCAAGGCAACAAAGGAGTGGCTCAAGAAGAAGCACATTAAGGCCCTGGAGTGGCCTAGCCAGTCTCCAGACCTTAATTCCCATAGAAATCTGTGAGGGAGCTGAGTTTGAGCTGCCAAGCATCAGCCCTGAAAACATTTTAAAGACTTGTAGTAGATCTGCAAAGAGGAGGGGAACAAAATCCCTCCCGAGAGGTGTGCAAACCCGGTGGGGCCCAAATACAAGGAAACGTCTGACATCTGTGATTGCCCAAAAAGGGTTTTGCCACCAAGTACTAAGTCATGTTTTGCAGAGGGTTTAAATACTTATTTTCCTCATTAAAATGCAAATAAATTTATAACATTTTTGACATATGTTTTTTTGGATTTTGTTGTTGTTATTCTGTCTCTCACTGTTCAAATAAACTACCATTAAAAGTATAGACTGATCAGGTCTTTGTCAGTGGGCAAAAACTTTTTAGAGCCACCCTTTGCAGCAATTTACAGATGCAAACTCTTGTGGGGTATGGTCTCATAAGGTTGGACAATCATCCCCTGGGATTTTTGCCCATTCTTAAGGCAAAAATCTCAGCTCCTTCAAGTTTGGGTGGGTTCCACTGGTGGGACAGCAATCTTAAGTCATACAAAAGATCTCATGGAATTAAGGTCTGGGGCTTTGGGACTAGCCATTCCAAGGAAAATTTAAATGTTCCTCTTAAACACCTCGAGGTGCTTTAGCATTGTTTAGGGTCATTGTCCTTGGAAGGTGAACTCCGTCCCAGTTTCAAATTATGGAGACTGAAACAGGTTCCTCAAGAATGTCCTGATTTAGACCCTCCATCATTTCCCTCAATCTGACCAGTTTCCCAGTCCTACCGATGGAAAATAAATCCCACAGCATGATGCTCCCACCAACCAGCTTCAACTTTGGGGATGTGGGGTTCTCGGGGTGAGAGATTGGTGTTGGGGGGTTTGGCCAGACATAGCGTTTTCTTGATGGCCAAAAAAGCTCAATGTTAGTTCATCGAACCAGAGTACCTTTTTCCTATGTTTGGGGAGTTCCCACATGCCCTTTTGGCGAACATGAATGTGGTTTGCATTTTTCTTTGCATTTTTTGGCTTTGAAACCCCCCTTTTTGGGGGGGGTAAGTGGTTATGGACCGAACCCTTTTTCCCCGTAAAAGGGGGAAAAAAGGGTTTTTTTGGGGGTGGGGGCAGGGCCTTTTTTTTTGGGCGGGGCCCTTTTTTAAGTCTAAACCCTTTTTTGGGAAAGAACTTTTACGGCCCCAGATTAGAAGATATGGCATATAGAAGCAAAACCGATGGACATCATGAAATATCGAGAGGTGAGATAAAAGTCGCAAATAATATATATATATATATATAATATTATATACTATATATTATATATATATTAGAATTATTGTAAAATTAACTGTGTCCATAAGGTGTAGATAGTAAGTAAAGACCGGAAGTAGAGGCCTGGGCATTGTTGTTCACTAATTAACTCCAAGTAGGGAAAGGATGGCGGGGTTGAAAAGTAATAAAGGGGAGTATACAGTGGGGGGAAAAAGTATTTAGTCAGCCACCAATTGTGCAAGTTCTCCCACTTAAAAAGATGAGAGAGGCCTGTAATTTTCATCATAGGTACACGTCAACTATGACAGACGAATTGAGGAAAAAAAATCCAGAAAATCACATTGTAGGATTTGTAATGAATTTATTTGCAAATTATGGTGGAAAATAAGTATTTGGTCACCTACAAACAAGCAGGATTTCTGGCTCTCACAGACCTGTAACTTCTTCTTTAAGAGGCTCCTCTGTCCTCCACTCGTTACCTGTATTAATGGCACCTGTTTGAACTTGTTATCAGTATAAAAGACACCTGTCCACAACCTCAAACAGTCACACTCCAAACTCCACTATGGCCAAGACCAAAGAGCTGTCAAAGGACACCAGAAACAAAATTGTAGACCTGCACTAGGCTGGGAAGATTGAATCTGCAATAGGTAAGCAGCTTGGTTTGAAGAAATCAACTGTGGGAGCAATTATTAGGAAATGGAAGACATACAAGACCACTGATAATCTCCCTCGATCTGGGGCTCCACGCAAGATCTCACCCCGTGGGGTCAAAATGATCACAAGAACGGTGAGCAAAAATCCCAGAACCACACGGGGGGACCTAGTGAATGACCTGCAGAGAGCTGGGACCAAAGTAACAAAGCCTACCATCAGTAACACACTACGCCGCCAGGGACTCAAATCCTGCAGTGCAAGACGTGTCCCCCTGCTTAAGCCAGTACATGTCCAGGCCCGTCTGAAGTTTGCTAGAGTGCATTTGGATGATCCAGAAGAGGATTGGGAGAATGTCATATGGTCAGATGAAACCAAAATAGAACTTTTTGGTAAAAACTCAACTCGTCTGTTGGAGGACAAAGAATGCCCAAAAACACCTACCTACTGTGAGCATGGGGGTGGAAACACATGCTTTGGGGCTGTTTTTCTCAAGGACAGGACGACTGATCCGTGTAAGGAGAAATGGTCATGTATCGTGAGTTTGAAAACCTCCCCATCAGCAGGGCATTAAGATGAACGTGGCTGGTCTTTCAGCATGAAATGATCCAAACAAGAAGTGGTCGTAAAAATTTCAAGGTCCGGATGCCTAGCCATCTCCAGATTCACCCCTAGAAATCTTTGAGGGAGTGAAGTCGTGTTGCCCAGTACAGCCCCAAAACATCACTGCTCTAGAGGAGATCTGCATGGAGGAATGGGCCAAAATACCAGCACCAGTGTGTGAAAACCTTGTGAAGACTTACAGAAAACGTTTGACCTGTGTCATTGCCAACAAAGGGTATATAACAAAGTATTGAGAAACTTTTGTTATTGACCAAATACTTATTTTCCACCATAATTTGCAAATAAATTCATAAAAAATCCTACAATGTGATTTTCTGGATTTGTTTTCCTCATTTTGTCTGTCATAGTTGACGTGTACCTATGATGAAAATTACAGGCCTCTCTCATCTTTTTAAGTGGGAGAACTTGCACAACTGTATATATCACAAACATGGGGATGGAAGTGATGCAGACAATTACATTGATAGAAGATACAATCTATCTGCAATATTAAGCTGATCCACCCCCCCCCCCCCCCCCCCCCCCCCCCCCAAAAAAAAAGAAGATTTCTGGCTCCCAGGTGTCTTTTATACAGGTAACGAGCGGATATTAGGAGCACACTCTTAAAGGGAGTGTTCCTAATCTCAGCTTGTTACCTGTATAAAAGACACCTGTCCACAGAAGCAATTAATCAATCAGATTCCAAACTCTCCACCATGGCCAAGACCAAAGAGCTCTCCAAGGATGTCAGGGACAAGATTGTAGACCTACACAAGGCTGGAATGGGCTACAAGACCATCGCCAAGCAGCTTGGTGAGAAGGTGACAACAGTTGGCGCGATTATTCGCAAATGGAAGAAAAACAAAATAACTGTCAATCTCCCTCGGCCTGGGGCTCCATGCAAGATCTCACCTCGTGGAGTTGCAAGGATCATAAGAACGGTGAGGAATCAGCCCAGAACTACACGGGAGGATCTTGTCAATGATCTCAAGGCAGCTGGGACCATAGTCACCAAGAAAACAATTGGTAACACACTACGCCGTGAAGGACTGAAATCCTGCAGCGCCCGCAAGGTCCCCCTGTTCAAGAAAGCACATATACAGGCTCGTCTGAAGTTTGCCAATGAACATCTGAATGATTCAGAGGAGAACTGGGTGAAAGTGTTGTGGTCAGATGAGACCAAAATTGAGCTCTTTGGCATCAACTCAACTCGCCGTGTTTGGAAGAGGAGGAATGCTGCCTATGACCCCAAGAACACCATCCCCACCGTCAAAAACATGGAGGTGGAAACATTATGCTTTGGCAGTGTTTTTCTGCTAAGGGGACAGGACAACTTCACCGCATCAAAGGGACGATGGACGGGGCCATGTACCGTCAAATGTTGGGTGAGAACCTCCTTCCCTCAGCCAGGGCATTGAAAATGGGTCATGGATGGGTATTCCAGCATGACAATGACCCAAAACACACGGCCAAGGCAACAAAGGAGTGGCTCAAGAAGAAGCACATTAAGGTCCTGGAGTGGCCTAGCCAGTCTCCAGACCTTAATCCCATAGAAAATCTGTGGAGGGAGCTGAAGGTTTGAGCTGCCAAGCATCAGCCCTCGAAACATTAATGACTTGTAGTAGATCTGCAAAGAGGAGTGGAACAAAATCCCTCCTGAGAGGTGTGCAAACCTGGTGGCCAACTACAAGAAACGTCTGACATCTGTGATTGCCAATAAGGGTTTTGCCACCAAGTACTAAGTCATGTTTTGCAGAGGGGTCAAATACTTATTTTCCTCATTAAAATGCAAATAGATTTATAACATTTTTGACATATGTTTTTCTGGATTTTGTTGTTGTTATTCTGTCTCTCACTGTTCAAATAAACCTACCATTAAAATTATAGACTGATCAGGTCTTTGTCAGTGGGCAATACTTTGTAGAGCCACCCTTTGCAGCAATTACAGCTGCAAGTCTCTTGTGGGTATGTCTCTATAAGCTTGGCACATCTATCCACTGGGATTTTTGCCCATTCTTCAAGGCAAAACTGCTCCAGCTCCTTCAAGTTGGATGGGTTCCACTGGTGTACAGCAATCTTTAAGTCATACAACAGATTCTCAATTGGATTAAGGTCTGGGCTTTGACTAGGCCATTCCAAGACATTTAAATGTTTCCTCTTAAACCACTCGAGTGTTGCTTTAGCAGTGTGCTTAGGGTCATTGTCCTGCTGGAAGGTGAACCTCCGTCCCAGTCTCAAATCTCTGGAAGACTGAAACAGGTTTCCCTCAAGAATGTCCTTGTATTTAGACCCATCCATCATTCCGTCAATTCTGACCAGTTTCCCAGTCCCTACCGATGAAATACATCCCTACAGCATGATGCTCCCACCACCATGCTTCACTTTGGGGATGGTGTTCTCGGGGTGATGAGAGGTGTTGGGTTTGCGCCAGACATAGCGTTTTCCTTGATGGCCAAAAAGCTCAATGTTAGTCTCATCTGACCAGAGTACCTTCTTCCATATGTTTGGGGAGTCTCCCACATGCCTTTTGGCGAACACTGAATGTGTTTGCTTATTTTTTTCTTTAAGCAATGACTTTTTTCTGGCCACTTCTGTAAAGCCCAGCTCTGTGGAGTGTACGGCTTAAAGTGGTCCTATGGACCGATACTCTTTGTCCCCATGTGCAGTTGCAAACCGTAGTCTGGCTTTTTTATGGCGGTTTTGGAGCAGTGGCTTCTTCCTTGCTGAGCGGCCTTTCAGGTTATGTCAATATAGGACTCGTTTTACTGTGGATATAGATACTTTTGTACCTGTTTCCTCTAGCATCTTCACAAGGTCCTTTGCTGTTGTTCTGGGATTGATTTGCACTTTTGGCACCAAAGTACGTTCATCTCTAGGAGACAGAACGTGTCTCCTTCCTGAGCGGTATGACGGCTGCGTGGTCCCATGGTGTTTATATTTGTGTACTTTTGTTTGTACAGATGAACGTGGTAGCTTCAGGCGTTTGGAAATTGCTCCCAAGGATGAACCAGACTTGTGGAGGTCTGCAATTGTTTTTCTGAGGTCTTGGCTGATTTCTTTCTGATTTTCCCAGGATGTCAGGCAAAGAGGCACTGAGTTGAAGGTAGGCCTTGAAATACATCCACAGGCACACCTCCAATTGACTCAAATGATGTCAATTAGCCTATCAGAAGCTTCTAAAGCCATAACATAATTTTCTGGAATTTTCCAAGCTGTTTAAAGGCACAGTCAACTAAGTCTATGTAGACTTCTGACCCACTGGAATTGTGATACAGTGAATTATAAGTGAAATAATCTGTCTGTTAACAATTGTTGGAAAAATTACTTGTGTCATGCACAAAGTAGATGTCCTAACCGACTTGCCAAAACTATAGTTTGTTAACAAGAAATGTGTGGAGTGGTTGAAAAACAAGTTTTAATGACTCCAACCTAAGTGTATGTAAACTTCCGACTTCAACTGTATACTGAGATCATGTGACAGATCATGTGACACTTAGATTGCACACAGGTGGACTTTATTTAAATAATTATGTGACTTCTGAAGGTAATTGGTTGCACCAGATCTTATTTAGGGGCTTCATAGCAAAGGGGGTGAATACATATTCACGCACCACTTTTCCATTATTTACTTTTTTGAATTTTTTGAAACAAGTTATTTTTTTCATTTCAATTCACCAATTTGGACTATTTTGTGTATGTCCATTACATGAAATCCATATAAAAAAATCAATATAAATTACAGGTTGTAATGCAACAAAATAGGAAAAACGCCAAGGGGGATGAATACTTTTGCAAGGCGCTGTATAACCCTACAGTAAAATAATAAACAGAATGCTTTCGTAAATCATAAACGGAATGGTCCCTAAAATTGTAAAATTGACATACCCTCTCCAAACTTCCCATTGGTGAGTTTGAAAGCTTGGAACTGAAGAGGCACAAGCTTCACTCGAAGGTTTTCAGCCAGATGAAACTTGGTCTGAGAATTACACTTGAAGCTGCGGCCAGCGGCAGTTGGGAACAGCTTTTCATGTTCTATCACCCCAGGATAGTTCTTATTCCCTAATGGTGAAAGAATATGCTCAGCCTTGTTTTTCTAACAATGAAATCGGTTGAAGAATATCCATGCATTTGTTTCAAATAATGTGTCTACTTGTGAGATCATGTTGGTCTACTTACCTTTGCCTGGTGCCAAATTAGCGTTGACCTTTGACACATAGGATAGGTTCCCTTCCTGTGGGAGGAAAAATTATTAATAATGTGCATTAAATAAATAAATCATTGTCTTTATTCAAAGCCAAACATGCATTTGAATGAGTATGCTTCTGCTCAGAGCCATGTATAGATATAATGTATTGCTCCGCTTCTGATCATTATATGGAAGAGTTGTGGTCAACCTGTGATTATTCTCAGTTATCATCTCAGAGTCGGAGAGGAAAGGAAAAAACATTTCCAGTTATAAGGTGATGTGGTCATATGTGTTAACATCATGTGTGACATGAGAAGATGGAAGTTTCTGAATTTGTACCTTTTCAAAGGTGAGATTCAGATAGCCTCCCTCTCCTACAATAGCCAGGGAGAGAACTGCCTCTTTTTCACCACATCTACCCGTAGCGAGGGTGGTGGTAGGGTCTAAGTTGAAATAGGAAGCTTTCTGAAAAAATAAGGATCAACATACCATTGGATTGGAAAAGGACAAAAACAATAGCAAACAAGTGATGATGTAGGAACAAGTGATAACTTAATTATTGTTATAGATTTAGAGCTACTTAATAATATACAGTGGCTTGCGAAGTATTCACCCCCCTTGGCATTTGTCCTATTTGGTTGCCGTACAACCTGGAATTAAAATGGATTTTTTGGGGGTTTGTATCATTTGATATACACAACTGGGCTACCACTTTGAAGATGCAAAAAAATAATTATTGTGAAACAAACAAGAAATAAGACAAAAAAAACAGATCATTTGACACTTAGATTGCACACAGGTGGACTTTATTTAATTCATTATGTGACTTCTGAAGGTAATTGGTTGCACCAGGTCTTATTTAGGGGCTTCATAGCAAAGGGGTGAAAACATATGCACGCACCACTTTTCCGTTATTTATTTTGTAGAATTCTTTGAAACAAGTTATTTTTTTAATTTCACTTCACCAATTTGGACTATTCTGTGTATGTCCATTGCATGAAATCCAAATAAAAATCAATTTAAATTACAGGTTGTAATGCAACAAAGTAGGAAAAAAGCGAAGGGGGATGAATACTTTTGCAAGGCACTGTAGTATCATAATGATTGTATGGTCGATCTCATGACCAAACATAGTAATGTGTATGAGAATGGCCATTGTCTGTTTTTCACAGTTTAGGTGGCAAACCACATGAGATCTCACCCCTGATAGTGAAGTGCTAAAACACACAAACAGAAAGTGCTGAGAAAGTGACTGTCCCTACCTTCTTCTCAATAACTATGTACTCCACTCCCATGGAGACCTTGATGCATGGCTTGCCTGCAGTGTTATTCACCACATAGTTTCCAGTGACAGGAACAGTCTCTTTGGGCTGAAGGACAGGCTTCTGTGGTAGGAATGATTGCTCAGTGGGCTCAGGGTTGTTTAGGCCAGGCTCATCTGTGGTGATGATGGTGGGGTCCAATGCAGCAGTCATAAGGCTGTTTCCTTTAAAGCGGTATAGTGACGTGTGAAGTGAAACCGTTTACAGAAACCATCAACCCAGGGCAACATTCACATGCACAATTACAGATCCCCTTAGGTTAATCTTATTTTTACAATGAACTTAAATAAATCATTGTAAAAATGTGTTTGTAACAATTTGTTGAAGTAGCCATGATTATGTCTGTAACATGTTTTTACCTGCAATGATTTAGACTTTTTAAGAGTACACTTCCACTTTTTTCTAATATTATCTCAGAATCAAATTCAGATTAAAATGGCCTGCATTTATTCTGATTGCAGATTATATTACATGTTGCATGGTTAACTGCCTTGCTGCCTTGTACAGTATCAATTTATATCAGACTACCACTACCACTGAATAGATTAGACATTATTAGATAGAGGTGCATGCAACTCACCCATTATGATCGCAACCAGTAGAAAAAGTATTGTTTCACGATGCATGTTGTTTTTGAGTTTGGCAGTCATCTTGTGTGTTCAGTTGGGCGTTTGTGTTGTGACCAAATGTATGAGATGTGATGTGGTGAGTTCATCTCCAGAAGACCAAAACGCCTTGTTCAAGTGATGAGCGCCTTCAAGGGGAGGGGCAAAGAGGTAAAAAAAAAAAAAAAGATTCATGAGCTATCTTTAAATGGCTGATATACAGGATATGATGTAACTAACTTTACCTTGTGCTGTTGCAGGTTAGATATCTTGTTATTTGTGTCTACTCAACTCTTTATCTAAAAAGATAGCATTAAAGCAGGTTGGTTCAAAGGACATGTTGATTGAGCAGTTTCTATGACAATTACTTGTTTGAATTAACCAGGAGTTACAGGCTTTAGACTCTAAATTGAAAATATGAGGAAAATGTTTATCAAAGATTGTATTTGTATCATACCTGGACCATGATACCTATATACATTGATTATATGATTGGTTCATGTTTATTGCACCGGAGCTGTGGTTGGATTCTGGTAATGGCTGTGCTGCTGGGGAAATCAAACTGTGCATTAGCAGGCATTGGAGGAAATCGGGGTCAAAGGTAGAGAGGGACAAAGTATCTCCTAAAATACACAGTACTGCAGCAATGTGTCAATGCACGTCAGGATTAACTTTGGATTGACAAACTGACAAGCATTTTTGGAAAGGGTCATGTTTACCCATCCAAGTATTTTATAATGGGAGAGCGGTTGTCCCATGGCCTTCCATTTACATCTTAATAACATGGACCTCTGCTATTGTATTACCCTCTGACACACACTAATACTAAACTAATATTTATGTTTACTTTAGGGATAGAACATTTGTTTTCATTAGACCAAAGGTTTTGATAAAGTCATTGCATGGCATGAAGTGGCTATTACAGGTAATTCATTTGTGATAATGTGTCATTTGACCAGCACAGTTATAGCACATTCACAGAGGTTTTATTCCATAAATTATAGAGGAGACATGACAATAAACCCTCCTCAGGCACTTGACTCCTACATAGTTTTCTATCATGCCTGGATTTTTTTACATGGGTAAAAAACAACAACTGGTATCACAACAAGTGACTGTAGGAGGATAATATGTTCTTAAACATGTCCATTTTTCTTGCATGCCAAAAACTCTCCACAACTCAAAGACAGGTATTGATTTTCGAAGAATGCAGGCATGGTGGTGACAGCAGATAAGTAAACATTTACTCTGCTGTCACTGGGACTGCCTGGATGCCTTTCTGCTTGTGCACTGTCTCATTTTATTTGAACAGGTCTGTGTAGGCGAATAGACTACAGTCAATCATTTCAGAAGTAGGAGTCCAGTAAGGAAAGAGATCTGGTCTCACATTTCCTTCTCTCCGGACCTGGGACATACATGTCTTTGTTATGAAACTGGGAGTGAGACTATGTGTGCTAGTAGTGCTCTCTCTCCAATTTTGGGCTCCAGGACAGGGGCAGGATCTGGAGCCAGAGCAGGTCCTTGTGTTCTGTGATGACAAAGACGTGGAGACAGCTGTGGACTTGGCCCTTGTCAAGTATAATGAGAAGCGTCCTTATGGAAATCAACTAGCACTCTACCAGATTCTGGAGGCCTCAACGGTAGGTGACATACTGAGAACATTGTTATTTATATTTATTTATTTATCCTGTCCTTTTTGCATACATCTTGATGAATGATGTGTTGATTGTGTTGATGAAGAGAGAATACGAACATTCCTACACCGAGTCACAGTATTGCGTTCCTCTCTTGTAGTCTCAGAATGACTCAGGCACTCAGTACTTTGTGGAATTCAATGGCAGGGTCACTGACTGTCCAGCAGGGGGAAACAAAGTCTGGAAAGACTGTGACTACCTCCCCACTGGGAACAAGGTAATGCTTTGTTATTAGATTACATCTCTGGGTAATCTGTTTTTTAAATAATAATAATAATAAAACATTTGTTCTGTTTATTTATCAGGTGCCAAGCCCTTGTAATGCAACGGTCCACATGTCAGAGACCGATAAAGAGGTCCTGGCAGTTTTCTGTGACCCAGTTGGTTAGTTTTTCACTTCACACCAAGTAGACCAAGCCATAGATCACATACAAGTCTATTTATACTTATAGTTTTTCCAGACAACCAGATAAATGTTAACCAAAGATTGACTCATGTAGCAGAACATTTATTTTAGTTGATTTAGATTAGAATCACCAAAAATATGTGGTTAATTTTCTATACTGACAACCCTCTCGTTTTCAGTGGAGGCCCCTGTTGTTGCTGAACGCTCCACATGTCTGGGGTGTCCTAGGGAGATTGACGTGGACAGTGAGGACCTAAAGGCTCCCGTGACATACTCCATCACCAGGTTCAATGCTGATTCTGACTCCAGCCATCACTTTGTCCTGAACAGTGTTGGTTTCGCTACGAGACAGGTAAATCAGTTGCAAATCTCACTGGGAGTTATTGAATGTTACAAAGGCTAGTTGACTACGCCACCTGGTGGACTCTAAACACCTAGTTCAATTCAAAACTGATTCACACTGTAGGGCCAAACCGAGCCAAACTGAGCTGAACTAGGCCAGGGCTGGCCTGGTTACACATCTACCATAGCTGCTGGAACCATGCTGGAAATGACCATGTGAAAAGAAAAGATCAGAGCCAGTACGGTACGGTTCGAGCCCTATAGTGCGAATCAGGTAACAGAGTGACCAGTTGGGATCAGGGGTATTGGGTCCTACAACAATTACCAACAACACAAATATTTTTTAAAGATATCTACTTTTGTAAAAATATAATTTAAGTTAAGTATCTTTGCTCATCCCTTCCAATGGAAATATGCCAAACCTTCTCCTTGGCTCTGGCATTAGTAGGTGTGGTGTGGCTATATTTACCTCTATGGGTGTGACCCTTGGACTGTAATGTACTTGTTGGAGTTAGGAGTGTCATTCCAGAATCCGTTGGGGGGAAGGGCGGCTCAAACGAATGTCTTTGAATAACTTATTTATTTCACATGCTCCTCTTAGGTGGTTGCTGGATTCAGGTATAGACTGATGTTCGATATGAGGAAAAGCAATTGCTCCAAAGCGGACCACAAAGAGCTGAACGATGAATGTCATCCAGATCCTGAAGATGTGGTAAACCACAATGGAGCTCATAGTATTTTTTGAATAGGCTACAGTATATTTAATATATGATTCTGCTGTTGTAATACTTCTGTATGTAAATGAAATGTATCATGAATGCTTGTCCCTGCCATCTCTGACATCCTGTATCTCTAGGAACTTGCTCACTGCAATTCTACAGTAGATGTGGCACCTTGGAGGCATGAGACTGCAGAAGCAAATGTGGAATGTGCACCAGGTCCCCTTCAGAATTTTGTGAGACATTCTGCAAACTTTACTACTATAGCATATTAATGATGCTCTGAAAATCAGATAAAGTAATAGCGTCATGATGTGTAGGTATGTATGTATGTTTTGGGAATTTGTGCTAAATGGATGATTATGACAAGGAACATTTTTCCATTCACAGGAAGTCTTTAGAAGAAGGCCTCCTGGATGGTCTCCCTTGAGGAACTTCAACAATTTTGCTGAAGCAACCCCAGCCTCAACTGCTTCAGCTAAAGAGGAGTCTTTAGAGGAGTCTCAGGAGCTCAGCCCGACTGCTGTCACCACGGCTAGCAGAGACCCAGAGCCAGCCCTGCCCCCCACAACTACTGCAGAGAGCCCTTTCCACTGCCCCTCCAAGCCCTGGAAGCAGTTTGTCCCCCCAACAACCCCCAGCTCTGAACAGGAGAAACGCACAACACCTTTGCCAGTGATAGAGGAGGGCTTAAGTGATTTAGACTTGCTGGGAAAAAAACAAGTGAATGCTATATAATGCATTTGTATCATAAGCATACCTGCTGATTTGAAATAAAAAGAATAATCATTTTATTCTCTTTTTGACAATGCAATTCAATCTTACTTTTTCATTCCCTCAAAGTGCATCTTGACTGTTTGGCCATTTGATACTAAAAATAAATAACTAAATGTATTCAATTGTGCTGGGTGCTGTGTCATTGTGTAAAGCAACATACTATCCACAAAAGCAAGTACTTAACTGAGAAGTTTATTTGAACATTGTCACGTAACACTCAAAGAATTGTAGTCAGTCTGGATACAATGCAAGTATTTAACTTAGAAACAAACTGAAACAAAGTATACTGTATTGGATAATGCAGGTATGTCATTCGTTAGAGGTTGGATTATTATTAGTTGTTCCTATAGCGCCAAACTTTCTTTATAGCTGCTTAGCAGAATGAATAAAATATTATTTTAACCAACTCTCATGCAGGATGGCTGTGTAATAATACAATCATAGTAGCGTTGTTGATAGTAATAACAAAATATATGAAAAATATAATTCAATGTCTATAAACCTGTATTAATTGAAGAGATGTAACCACTCCAGATGTTTCCGTCTAACAAAGATTACTCTTGAACCTTGTTCTTATATAACAAATTGTTTACACCATTTACACATAAAAATTGTTATTTCCTTTTACACCATCGTATGGCCCAAGTCAACACATATTATAGAATCTCCAATTGTAGAGAGACTTGCAAGATGACCAAATTATTTTAACATTCACAATCGGTATGGATTTGCCTGTGCTAACCCTCAGTGCTATATACCACATGGCTATGACAGCTTTGTTTTCAACATACAAACATGGTTCAGAACAATTACATTTCAAGTAAAACTTTTGAAGCTGAAATATGAAAAGTTCTATTTTCTTACAAATCATGTTTCAAGTACAGCATCACACTATCTTCCCTGGTGCTGTTCAGCAAGTGGAAAAGGTTAACAAAGCATATACCACACTCACTGAATTACATTGACATTATGAATGGGCTTTTAAATGGGTCCAGCCCAAGAAAATCTATAACCTGTACAGATCCATATTAATGCACACACACACACACACACACACACACAACACAACACAAGCACAAGTTAATACATCCATGCAATGAATGGCATTTGAAGAGCTAACAAAAGGCTGGTGACTACTATAAGCATCTAATGCATCTGACAAATCTCAGATAGAAAGGGATACTATTGCTTATGCTTAAAAAAGACCTGCACTCAAACTACTGTTGGACCGAAGGCGTTAAAAAAAAGTGCAAGATCCACCTGCACCAGCAACTGTCCATCTCTATACCAGTTGATTGGTTTACTGCATATGGGAACAACATGTTTTCAAAACAAGACACCTCCCACATCATGAATGCATATGAAGTCTGGAATACCACCACAATAGTATACTCATTCCCAGGCTATAGCTTCAGGAGGAAGGGTCTACTTTTGAGACAACACTTGCAAACATAGGCATTTATAATGCAGTCTGAAGCCATGTCAAGCACATTACCTCTCGGGTATTAGAAATACTAATTGTGATATGTTGTATTTGAGAGTTAGAATTCTGAACTACGGAGCAGGGGCATGTGTTGCAATTTTTTTCTGGTGGTTTAAAAACACAGTTTACAATCTAAACACCAATATCCTATGACCTCTGGTCACAACACTTGTTCAATACATGCCCTTTTCCTCATAACATAACTGATACCTATAGAGGCAAATATATGCATGCGTTAGTCCTTAGGCTTTCTATGGTAATGCAGATACAACCATTGAGCGATTCACGTAACATTTGAACAATGGAGACTTAAAACTTTGGCTTTCATTGAATCAACAAAAAATGTTGGAAAATGGAAAAAAACTAAAGTGCGTCTTTTTTCTTGATCAGTTTCTGAGAAATCTGTTCTGGTTGGGGGAAAATCTTCCATAAAGAGACAATTCTTTAAATGGCACCTTATTTCTCACCAGCATATATCACAGAGTTATGCTTGAGAACATGATTGAGAATGAGAATACAGGGTTTTTACCCCAAAATGAATGTCCTTCATTTGAAAAGGGTTTTGGACTTTGAGAAGCCATTATGGAATGGAAACCTTTCCCACAGCTCCTATTCAGAGTTGACTAGGTCCAACTATTATCAAAAGGTTTACACCGAGAACACAATAGTAAACAGGGGACGCATCATAATAACATAATAAAGGATAAACAGAGGGGGTCCACTCCACACAGAGAGAGGGAGGGGTGCACACATAAACAATAATGACTAGCTGCCTTGGGACAGCCTTTAAATATCTCAAAATTACTGATCAGACTTCATCCACTTCCCAACGTGTACAAATAGTCTTATGTTCACATACCGTACTGAGGTTTTCTCCCCATGCCAACCCATAGCACTGTAACATTTGTATAGTTCACAATCCAACTGCACTATTGACATGCATGATGAAAGCATCAGTTACAAGAGGTGACTATGTCTGTCTAGCTTAATGCACTTCTCAACAGTCATTATGATGACATCTCACTGAGCAACAGAGGTATTTTACCATTGACCTCCAAGACACAAGAGGGAGAAATCCAGCCCTTGCTCATTGTAGGTCAACTACATTAAGGCTTCATTTTTACACTGCAAGGTTTTCTTGACAGCACATTCATTACTTTACCATAGTATCACAGGCTGGGCCCACAGTGTGTGTTTATACACACATGTAGAGGTATACATGTATAGATTGTAAAAAATATACAGTATATATAATCTGCTCTAACTGCCAAATATGATGCCAAGAGGAAGGAGTATAACAATGATTTAAAAACTGTGGTGCCAGAAATGACCAGCCATTAGAGCCATTGGGCCACAATGTAACACTTCAAGGTGCTGCCTTTCAGTGGGGTTTATTTTTTTGGGACAGGGGGAGTCGGCTGCACATCTAAAAATGACTGAATTCATACCGTTTTTTCTGGGATGTTCCGTGCATATTCAAAAGGCATTTACATTACAGGAAGACATCTATACCCCGTGACCCTGTAAAAGGGACGGCAATCACTTCTCTTTTACAAAAAGGAAAGGAACAAGAAGAATAAATACCCAGGGAAGATTTCTATTAGAAGAGAAAAGCACATCCAAAAGGTTAAAAAATTAAAAGAAATGGACAAAACATTACAGGCAAAAAAACAAATGTTTTAGACAAGGCAAGTTAGTTGGTAAGCTGCTGCAGGAAACAAATTCAGTAAAAAAACAAAATTCACTCTGGATTGTTAAGCGCTCAATAGGATAGTCGGACATCACCCATTAGTTCATGAGGTTTGGATGTTCCACTCACAGCTGGCTGGTGTGTCTGGCCGGGCAGGGCTGGCGGATGTCCTGCCTGGACTTAGTTAAGCGCGTGCTGGCGGATGGTGTGGAAAATCCAGTCCATCTTGGTGGTCCAGCCGCCATGGTGGGCGTCATTCATCTGCTTCATGAAGTAGTCCAGGGCCTCCTGCTCAGTCTTGTCCAGGGCCAGCGTTTTACGGATGTAGGCAATGTCATCGAAGGACTGCAGCTCGGGCATCCCGGAGCCCAGCATCATGGAGAACAGGTTGATGAAGAGGTTGGCATGCTGACGAATGGCCAAGTAGGCCTTATAACACATCTCCTGAAATCTGAGACAAACAGAATAGGAGAAGGGAAAAGGCATAAGAATCAGTATATACCATTCCCCTTGTTCCCTCAATTCTCTATAGCCTCAAAATAAGCCTTTGAAAGCATACATTGAAATATATAGTCTCTGCTGGACATGGTCGATTTAGCAGTAGATAGCAGTACATTTGTTAAAGCAGAAGTAAGGGAGAGGGTCTGGAAAATTGGCAGACAGTAGCCTATCAGACACCCAGGGAGACAGAGCACACATTGTTATTTAATAGCTGCCTACTGTGTAGACACTAGCGGTCTGCCAACTCCACAACCTTTACATTCAAGCACTAGACAGACATCCACAGATGTGTCCTTTCACACAAGAAGGAGAAAACGAAGACGGCTACCTCTCAAACTCTCTGGTCTTAGTGCACTCCTGGGTCCCTTTGCTGATCACAATCAAGAAATCTTGAGTTAGGACAAACGGAACTCGCTCTCGCTTGTAGCCAAATTTCTTTTTCTTGTGATCCAGGAAATGGCCAAAATCTATGTGGAACAGCTGCAAAACATCCCAGATTAGCATAGAAAAGATAATACATAGCGTTTGCAAAAAAAGATGTATCAAGACAATATCTTGTTGATAACTCAGGTCCTACCTGCCCATCATCCTTCACCATTATGTTACTGTTGTGTCTGTCACCGATGCCTAGGATGAAGGTGGCCACGCAATACCCAGCACAGGATCGCGTAAACAAGTCAACGGCCAGGTCATACCTACAGACAGAGTTACAACGTCAAATCTGAGCCGTGAAATACTACGATTTACAATTTTCAAACCAAAGAAAATCGGGAAGGAAAGCGCCCACACAACATATCGTTTCCTCACATCTCTCCCTTATTCTTGTCTTTGAGCCACTGGTGTAGTGTTGAGCTGTTGAACTGTAGCGCCCCCTTCAGGCCACCTTTACACTGGATCTGCATGATGGTGTGAGAGCTCCGCACCACCTCGATCAGCCCCACACAGTCACCTAAAGACATGCAGCCATACGGCAACATCCTGAGGTCTAGACCCTGGTTCTGCCAAATGTTCTCCATGATTCTGATGATCTGAAGTGTTAGCATGTCCTGTCGCAGGTCTGAAACAAACAAGTCATATTCAGTGTTCCATGGCAGAATTTAAATACATTCCATCTATCCAAACTAATAGAGTACAACATTACAAGGTAAAACTATTATTTAGAAAGCAGTTTGACTATAAAACTTAACGCAGACTCACCGTCTCCGTTTTTGAATATGATCTCATTGTTCTGGAAGAGGAGCTCGGACATGATGTCAGGGTTTTCCCAGTTGAGCCACAGTGGCCTTTTGGCAGATGACATGATTCTGCACTCCTCAAGCCTGGGCATTTCACCATGAGGAATACATGCCAACAATGGGAGTCATCACAAGAGGCAAGCTACACAGGCAGCTACATTAGTTTTATTGATCAATTGCATGAAAAGTGTTAGAGTGCAAGTGGTCTGCACTGAGGGGCCCAGTGGCTGAGCACATTAGTTGACAATCGGTTTACGATAACATTTCACATTTTCATACATGAGCAGAACTTTATGATGGGGAACTAGAATGCTTACTACAGGTTACCTTCTCTCTCTTAGATCAAATGAATGTAACATTACCACTAGGGCCACTAAAGAGTGATTGCTGGCCTTTGTAGCCATTGAAACAGTGTCCCATCTACAGTTTCAATAGTGTCTTTTCAGGCATTGGGTGAGTAAGGCATAGGAGTGCCAGTGTGGTGTGCCCACCGTATGTTTCCCAGCTGGTGTGCAGGGTTGAGGGGGGAGGTGAAGTTCTGCAAGGCGTCCATGTAGTCTGGCCTCCTCATCTGCTCCACCAGAAACTTCATCTGCACCTGCAGGACCACACAGAGCAGGCTGTAATGAAGATAGAGCCTCCAAAGGAAATGTGAAGCCCGGTTCTCTCGAAATTAGGTAAACGGAGCCACTGATGTAAGTTTCGTAAGTGAAACAGAAACGTGGAACAGTAAGCTGAAACAGCAGAGATTCTCTAACAGATCATCATGTTGCACAATAAGCATGGGTGTATTGGAGAGAGAGGGAGTGCTGGGTTACCTTCTGAGTCTCGTCCTTCTTCTCCTGTTTGAGGATGTCGGTGAGGTTGATGAGTTTCTCCATGGCCTCCACTTGTCTGCTCAGGTGCTTCAGGTACATGCCACAGGCCCGGCAGTAGGACTCAAGCAGCAGGCCGAACCGCTGGCTCACTGTCTTATTGTGCATCTCAGACCTAGGGCACAGTGGACAGTGAAAGTGGATGAGTTAAAGGGCATTAGCACTCAGTCAGTCTACTCTGTGAAAGGAATGGAATTTACTCAGTAAAGTAACTCTAAGTCACTCACTTTAAGTGCCAGAAAAAGAAGTGTCCTATCCTTTGGTTAGTCAAGGCCTTTTTCAGCAGAAATCGTACCAGTGGGTTATCAAGGTACTGCTCGTATTTCAGAACCTGACAAGAGAGTATTACATTTACATTTTAGTCATTTTGCAGACGCTCTTATCCAGAGCGACTTACAGTTAGTGAGTGCATACATTTTCATACTGTATGGAGATGAGCCAGTAAATTATGACATTTTATATTTGACAACAGTCCAAACAATCAAAGAAATGTGAGAGGAAGTCAATCTCTGGACGCCAAAGCCAAATAAATCCTACCTGGACCAACTGAATGAGGTACTGAGAGAGTTTGTCATCGGTCAAATACTTCTCAAGGCACCGAACCGCAAAGTCACGGATCATTGGGTCTGGATAGTTACAATCCAGCAGCTCCATGGCTTGCTCTGGTTTTATTGCTGGCCAATCCTTCAGAAGGCAATACATCTAAGAGAAAGAAAAACAAGTCACTTCACCACAGCAGCAGTGCTGCAGCAGAAAATGATACAATTCCCACAAGAGTGCCCAGAAAAGTGTTTCAGGATATATTTATTATATTATTTATTTAAAAAAATCTCAGTAATTAAAAAACAAATATGTCACCTGTGCTACTTCATCTCTGGAGTTCCACTTCACAGCCAATAGGATCTTGGGCAGGATTTCAGGTATATTTACACAGTAGTGCCTGATGAGTAAGAGACAGTAGACATGTTAGTCAAGGCCTCTAGAAGTTTATGTATGGTGGTGACAGAGCTAGTTATGACTGTACCTGTGCCTCCAGAGGAAGTCCTTCTCCTGCTCTGTGATCTCAGAGAGGGGGTCTCGGTTGCACACCTGTCTCAGCTGCTCGTTATCACTGTCCGTTAAGGCGTGGTCTCGCGCCACTCTGTTACTCTGCAGGGAATCAGACATCACATCAGCAACCATATATGGAGTCATCATTTAGCACGGAAACCTTAGACAGTCTTAATAAATGGTTTGTAATGACTTGAGTTACAACTGTATGACAGATCAGGTCCATTTATATCCATGTATGCTATTACCTGGCCTGACTGGCAGTAGTTGAAGCCAAGCTCCCTGGATATGGTCCAGTTAGCATGTCCCTCCACGGTGGTCATGTCTGGGAACTTAACAGGACTGCTGAAGTAGTCAAACTCCAGCTCTAGACAGGGCGTTTCCTGTGTGTGGGAGAGAGACATTATACTGTAAACCCTGATGATAAGGATCACAGAAACATAGACTGGTCATGTTAACATGCTAACTAACATGTTTACCTTGTTGGGGTTGGAGCCTGTGACTCCGATGGGGTTGAGTAGGTCCTCCAGGCCGTGGGGTACAGGCCACAGGTTCAGAGCCATTTTACCAGAGACCAGGGTGTGAGTGTAGTCAAACAGGTTGACGTTCCCCCACGCCAGTGGACAGTGCTCCTGAGGAGAGGATCACGGTCAAAGGGTGGCTTCGGTTATTTACACACAAATTGTGAATGGCCATCCTTCCACAGACAATAGTGAATACAGGCTTGAGTGAATGTTATATGGGGTACTTGTGTAACTAACAACACAAACATCCTAATTGCCCCTTGGGGATTAAAAGTCGTATTGAATTGAAAATAATAGTAGGCAAGCAAACTCACTATGTTTTAGTTCAAGTTAATTGGCTTCAAGCTGTACAGTAGGTTGCTCACAAAGGACGGCCTTTAGAGGCATTTATCTCTAATTCATCATGGGCACGAAAACCCATCTCCCCGACCTTTAGGTGACATCACTCAGCCCAGGAGTCGGTTACAGTCTTCATGCCTAGGTTACACAGCCACGATCACTCCATGCCACAAGTCGATAAGTAATTCAACATCCACATAGAGGACACCTCGGGCCATTGAGGTAAGACCATTTAACACTGTTCTAGGCAGTGGGTATCATTTATATCATTAAAGGTCTGGGGTGTCCGATTAAATTGAATGCTTACCTCCTTCGCCCCTTTCCTGCCTTTCACAGAGCAGATGGAGAGACAGAGGCGGGCCGCCCGGGGGATGTCGGGAATGTACATGTCGTAGGTCAGCCACTCGTTCCACCTGGGAGACAAGCACAGCCACAGTGAATCACCTTGAACCCATTACAAGTGTTAATATCACAGATCTATACACACCCTCCTCCTCCATTACCATGGGATAAATAGTAACAATATGGTGATGTCTCTTGATGAGTGAGATACTGTCTGTGACACCATGTGTGTTGTGTGTCTGTGTCCTACCTGGGATTAGAGCATGGCACACGCTGCGTGTTCACATTGTCACACATCTGCTCCCCTCCATGGTAGATGCCGGTTCGCACATAAATCTACATGGACAACAGGAAGAATAGACACAAAAAACCCTGAAAACCACCAGCAGTAGCAGCATGACATTCACGCCAAGGAGTCTTACAGAAAAAATGAATTACTGAAAAGTGGCTATAAGAGGAGTTGAGGGCTAGCCAAGTATAGAAACAGAAAACAAATGAGAAAAAGGTGATCTAAAACAATAACCAATGGAGTACCTTATCTATATCCCGAATGTTCACATTGACGTATGTGGCACAGAGGACTCGTATCCGCAGGGTGCCGTTGATGGTCCACAGAGACTTGGTGGAGGACTCTCCGTTCATGTAGGGGGTGGCGGTGGAGATGCGCCTGGCGTAGGAGGGCATGGTGAAGTTGTCCATGGGTAACTGAGAGTAAAGGCTATCCTTCGCCATCAGCATGAGGTTGGGCATCCTGCCAAGCATGATGCAACTTCTCACATACTGAAAGGGAAAAGGAATAGGATTAAAATTAAGATACATGATTAAGCAATATAGACCCTAATCTGACCTATTGTTAGGCTTCAATGTGTGCACAGTAGGGCCCAACAAACCTTATATTGACTCAGGGGGCATTTCTCCAGGAGGTACTCGTCACAGCCACACACCTTGAGGATGTACTTGCCCTGGTACTCCTGCACACACATCTTGAGTTGTTCAGGGGACAACAGCATGCTCCTGGTCTTCTTCCTGATGGCCTCGGCTATCACCTGTTCTGGCACACAATCATGGTTGATCTTCAGGGTGTATTTCTGCTTGTCATTGTTGGGAGAGACAATAACCCAGATCACTACAATGATTTGACCTATAAAATAAGCAACAGAAAAGAGAATAATTAGAACATTACTCCACACAGGCTGAGAACAACCTTGAAATAGATTATCATGAAAAGGAATAAGGATAATTTTGTTTGTTGCTTATTAATGTGTCAGCCTATGGGTTGACAAAGTAGCAAAGATCAACAAAGTAGAAAAGGTAGTTGTTTGACACCCACTAAATTTGCCTTAGACATTTTGACATTACATTTCTTGATTTTTATTAATACAAGAATGCCTACCTTTGTCCAGTTTGCCATGGATGTGCTTTGGAAGTTCTTGTGTCGATTCAACGTTGGGGGGGTAAACATATAAAGCCCGACTATGGGGTCCATTGGCATCTCGGAGTTCTACTGAATCCTTACAGACGTTAAGAATATTCCTCCTGAAGTCCTGCACCTCAGGGTCCTTTACTAAGTCAAACTCACACACAGGCATACCAATTGCGAATCCTGAAACAAAAGAAACTCACTTACTGATACTGTATGCTTTAGAAGATATCTAAGATAAATTTAAGCCTGTTTTTACAGTTTTTTTACTCTTTACAAAGAGGAGGGTAGTAAGTAAGTCTTACCAATTTCTCGGTTCAGAATTTTCTCCTCTCGGTTGCCAACCGGTTCGATGACCTTCAGAAAAGGCTGAAAGAGCCTGAGATCACATAGTCTCCTAGTTTCATCGTAGAACTCCTCTCGTTCTGCCTCCTGCGTAACACTGACAAAGATGTAAGAGTTCTCCTCCTGTAGTAGGTGATGCAGGGGGTACTTCCTGGCCTCCTTGAACAGTTCATGTTTGATGGTGATGAGCGTGGCCTCACGGAGGCACTCGAGGATCAGGATCATCCCGTTTGGCAACAAGCAGTCCACAAAGATCCTGGGGGGCATCAAATGGATGCCCCATAATTCACCAGAAGAAGGCCTAGGAGGCATTTATGTAGTCCTCACACACACAAAGTTAATAGAAAATAGTTCCTTATCTCCTGAAGTGGAAAAAAAGAGGAACAGCGCATTAGAATGATATGAAAACAAACATCATACAGTAGACTATATCCAGACCCACCTCTTGTTGTAGTGTGACTGTAGAGTTATTATAATTATTATAAATCATTAATAATAATAATAATAATTTGGTGGGAGCTTATATTCGTCCTATTTCACACATGTACAAGTGTGTATTAATACATGTGTGAGTTAGATTTTTTAAATTGCATATCCCACTCCACCCCCCCAGAAAGTCAAGTTATTTCTCCGCCACATACAGCGAGCGCCAATGACATTTGTGACCAAATAACAGAGTTCTCCCTTTCCCTTCCTTTCCCTGAGAGTGCAACAACATGTAGCCCTATGCTATACAAGGCATTTCACTTTTTCTGCTATCACTGTCTAACATCATCAATGTCACTAAACATGCAGCTAACAATAACAACTAGGAAAACAGTCGTGGTCTGTTCAATATGAAAGGCATCCAGTCTTGTCATCAGGATGTAAGGCAAATGAGGAAGCTTCAAACACAGGATGTGGAGAAAGGAAACACTCAACCTAGTTTATTTTAATACAGAAACATGTATGGCTGAGGATATAGACAGAACATATAGAAACTCAGTACCAAACTTTATCTACCCTATGTGGACTCATGAACAAAGAAAAAAAAAAGATTAATACTTGATTGACAAATTGACAAATCAATGTTGCTTCTTACCTTAAAAGAGCTGGTCTTAACTTGTGTTAAAACCCTCACCCTTCATGTTTCAGATCATCTGATCTCTAATGTTGTTGTTGTTGTTTTCTGCTGATTGGTAGGTAACCTCTCAGCACAGTGCCATTCTCTGAAGACAGAGAGAGAGGAAGCATGAGACTTGTTATCACAATAAGCCCAACAGTAAACCAAACTCTGTGATACAACCCCTTAACAAATGTAGTTAGCTAGCTCGAGCAAGAAAACCATGCAGCAAGGAGTGGGTGTGTGTAGTCAAAGGGGAGAAAAATAACACTCCAATCATTCATGTAGCAAATTTCACTAACGTCTCCCCTGGTGTTGGTTTCATGATGAGACTGATATTCTTGTGTAACAAACAAATGTATAGCATACCGTTACTTACAGCTGTGTAGCAAGCTATAGTTAGTTAGCTTCCATCATTTCATTTTTGTTAGCTAGCTAACGTTAGCTAGATAACAGTACTGTTATTGCTATAGTTATATTAGGATCACGACTGTAATTACAGTATGACTATTAACCATACCAGCTAGCTAACGTTAGATCATATAGAAAAATAACGTTAACGTTAGCTAAGCTTTAACTCCAGTGTCCATATTGTCTGATTGTAAAACGTCTATTATTTTTAGTCATAGATATAGCTAATATAGAAATGTAGTGAATTGACACAGAAGAAAAACTCGTTAGGTAACGTTATAGCTGTCTTCTAGCTTGTTGGCATTCACAACACATTACATTTCTTGCTGACGTTCCAAATCATGATCTGTTTTGATATTAACTAGCCAACAACATAACGTTAGCTAACGATAGCTAGCCTCCTGTCGGTCTGGTTATGGTCAGCCATTTACCATTTACATTTAAATATATCTAGCTATTTTACTAAGAATGTAGCTATTATTAGCTAAATGAGAGAACGCTTACCAAGACATGTCTACGATAGGACCTCGTTGGCTAAAAGCTCGCGCTAGCTAGCTTCCAACACCTTCTCATGCTGGGTTCCAGCGGGTGTTCCAGTGGGTGTTCCGCGGCGCAAACTGAGTTCATTCGATCATGCAGAGCCAGGCTTCAGGCTACCCACGACTTGACAGCAGATTTCGCCATACCAACCCTGATGAATATTCTGTTTTATTTTCAAACAGTCTACGATTTTACCATAGCTATCAGTTGCAATGAAATTGCATTATCAAAAATAATAAACAAACGCATGTAGCCTACCAATCATGTTTGGTTCAGATGGATTAGCTTTAATTATATGACGGCCAGACAGTAAACAATTTACATTTGTTGCCAGCTGCGACAACCATGCACTGGTGGGATTTTTGTAGAAAATTGATTTACAGGAGTAGTTGTCCCGCGAGTTTTGATGGGTTTGACGAGAGTAGGCTACAACCTCAAACCACAATATATAAAATAGCTAATAAAGTTATCTATGTTAATTATTAAAAACATAGATATGTTTTATTGCATGAACATTTGGTTTTGATAGAATTTTGCAGCTGCAAGTATGTGTTCAACTATATAAATATTAGGATGATGAGCCATTGAAATGAATCATGCGGTCAAGCTACCCGACTCTCGGAATTGAATGATCAAGCTAGCCGCGCCTGAATCCCGGACTGAATTTGTGCGCCGCACTACTCTTACCATGAATGTCGAAATGCACACATCAAATAGGCTAGACTAGTCGAGTTCACAATTTTAGTGGATTATTGAAGACCAAGGCCCATACTACCTTTATACTGAGTATAAAGCATTGTCAGTATGGCATTTCAATGACACCAAAACGTCATTCAAATGTATCCTCCAGATCCAATGTGTTCCGTGATGTCATATGGGTAAATCTAGTGTAGTGGCGCATAAAAATTCGGACGCGGATAGTTTGACCGTGGATTTCCGAGAGTCGCATTGCTTGAATGCAGTAAATGGACTGTACCAACAAGAGAAGATTACACCCACAAAGCATATTTTTCAAAGACTCACCTTTTCCCATATTTTTAAAATATGTTGTTACTAGTGTTTGGGGGTTTGATTATGATAGGCTTCAGGCTACTAAGATGTAGCCATTTTTTTTTTGCATAATGTATATCCCCACACCTCTGCTCTGCTCTTGACACTGAAAACACGCCCCTCCTCTTCTCTGGTGAAAGCAAGGTAGGCTGCTTGTTTCTCAGCTGGTTAGAGGTTGGCCAGGATGCAATGATGGCGTTACATGTCAACAATAGAGATGCTTATTATCAGAGTGCCGATTATTACAGAAATTCGCAGCCTTTGAACTATGGGGATAGCAGTCATTATTTTGCCCGGTTACCAGGTAAGAAAAGGGTCTCATTCATTGCTGTCAGGGACCGTGACACTGCGAATTGATGGATGCATATTTGCAGCCTCAGTTACAGTGTAACAACCAGTGCAATTTGCTGATTGAAGGGGGTTTATCCAACCTGCATCTTGGTATTATAGGTTGTAGTAGGCTATACAGATATAAAACATATTTAGTTGAGGTTGAGCCTACTCATTGATTTGAAGAGATTCGACCAACAACAGTCATGTTGAAATTAGATCTGAAATCAGAGGTATAATAGGTTTCTGATCAATTCAACCTAAAAGATATGTGAACCAAAGTTAGTTGATTTGTTAGTAATATCCACAGCACCCTCTGTGCTTCTTTCAGGGAAGGTGTGATGCGGTGGACAGGTGTTTCATGTAACATCAACTCAAGTGATAATGGTCAGATCAGTGGGTGTAGAATTACATGATGGTCTGCTTGTTTAGAGGGATGACTATGGTCTTTTTTGACAGTCTCTGTTCCCAACTCTTGAAATGGATTTCTGTCTACTCTTGTAATGGCACAAGCTCCCTGACACAACATGCTGGGGGGGGGGGGGGGGTGATGGAAGCGTGGAGTGATGGAAGTGGGGAGAACAGGCCCTGGCTCAGGTGGCTGAGGTCCTTGATGATCTTCTTGGCCGTCCTGGAGGGCAGGCAGTGTGCACCCAATGGTGCGTTCGGCTGAGCGTACCACCCTCTGTAGTGCCTTGTGGTCAGTGGCGGTGGAGTTGCCGTACCAGGCTGTGATGCAGCACGACAGTATGCTCTCGATGATGCTCCTTTAGAACACTGTGTAGGCCCTCGGGGACAGGCCAAATTTCTTCAGCCTCCTGGTGCCTTCTTCACCACAGTGTCTGTGTGGTTTGACCATTTCAGCTCCTCTGAGATGTGTATGCCGAGAAACTTGACGCGGTTGCCTGCGTCCGTTGATGAGGATGGGTGCATGCCCAGCCTGGTTCCTCCTGAAGTCCACAATCAGCTCCTCAGTTTTGCTGACATTGAGGGAGAGGTTGTTTACCTGGTACCACACCGTCAGAGTGCCTACCTCCTCTCTGTAGGCCGTCTCATCGTTGTTGGTAATCAGGCCTACTACTGTCGTGTCGTCTGCGAACTTGATGATGGAGTTGATGGTGATAATAATTATGATGAATAACAGCTTGGGTCTGGACTTGAGTTTACCTTGTTATCCAGCAATGTTGTCTTAAGTTGTTAAACCTGTTATAGATGGCATACTCTCTCTGTTGTAATCAGATAAAATGGCAATGTCCACTGAAATAGGTTGAGAGATCTATACATGCTTAATAAGCAACCTCATTGTGTGCTTTACCCTGACTTCCTGTAGCTTTATTGGTAAAAATATATATATTGATAGATTGATAATTTAGTGTTTTCTATTGATAGCCTCCAAGCTGCTCCCCCCCACTAATCTTAGCCTGTATCCAGGGTCCCCAATTACATTCAGCCCATATGCCTCTCTATTTATGTGTGGGAATACTTGGGAACAGATTTCCTAAATTGAAATCACTTTGAGCTCATTTCCTGGTGATTTTACAATATTTTATGTCTGAGAACAAGTATATACAATATATATATATTTTCTCAGAAAACTTGGGGGGCCAAATAAAATAAATTTGGCCCGCGGGCCGCCTATTGGGGAACCATGCGTATAGTCTAATTATCAACCATCCCTCTCTTGATCTGGCAATAATGAGTCCTTTCAGATGGCTAGCTGTCAATAGCCTAACTGCTATGTTGCCATTTCTAACTAGGCTAACTAATGGGTACATATTTAAGCCTCAATTAATCTGTTTTATCTGCATGACTGAGTGTCTCTATGTTGTGTCCCTGCAAGACATTGAACATTGCAGAATAAGAGGACTGTAATTCTCATATTAAAATATGAAGTCTTTATGAGTTCCCTTCAAGCTTTCTCCATTCAAAGACTAGTCATGCACATTCCAGTGCATGAGGCATACACTCTTCCCTCCATAATTGATGTGGCAGAGGAACATAGTGTAAAATACATGAAATAACTATAAGTATGTGAAGGGCTATTCAACTTTTGAAGGTTCTTTGTTATTTTTTTCTTCTGCACACATACCAAATGCCAAATGATAGAATTAGAACCCTCCACTTTAAGACCCTAGAATACCTTTCCTTAAGCTACTTTTCTCTAACTCAGAGACCCAAGGCCATCCCTCTTGATACATGGCCAATGACTACTCATTAATTTTCCAAGGACTTGCATTTTACGTGAAATCCCAGTGTTAAGCCTCAGGAGGAGTGTTATGTACCCAAGATGAGAAAAGAGGACTTCGACTCTGACCTTGGGCTATGACAATGTAGGTTCCTGGGACTATTTTGGGGATTAGGCTATATTCTCCAATGAACATGTGACTCAGGTTTGTCTCCTCATTACTCTGCAAGAGGAAATAAAGCAGTTATACAGTATCCTGTGCTTCAAGGCTAAGCAGATTAGCGTTTGTTTTTCTACTTTATTGCAAGACCCAGAAAAAATATTTAGAAAGTAAGCAATTTCCTTGAATTATTTTATTCACACTCATTTTGGAGCATTTTCAGTTGTTTAGGCTACATTATGACATTTATCAGAATAACATTGATGCACACGTTGTGGGCCTAGAATTGCCGGAGCATCCTTTAGTTTGTTGTTATCAGAAAGTTCCATTTCAAGCATGCCATTCACTTGGGGTCACTGCATGGCTGCTGGAATCCAAAACATCCCACACTCTTATTTTAGGTCTGTGAATCATTGTTGTTGGGTCTCCAATCTGAGTTGATACAGTGGAAACATCAGACAGGATCGCAGCTGCTGACCCAACCCCCACTTCAACCCTTATATGCAGAAAAAATGTGGCCACACATGAGTGCCTGAAATGTACCCAGTCAAGTAGGCAATGGTCTGTTTGAATCAGCGGCAGATCAAGAAATGCTTGAGGAACTTATTGTCGCAAGGAGCTGAGCTGTGAAACCCACTATTGTTTTATTTGTTAGTGTCTGTTTCCCCAGGGAGAAATGAACACAGTTGATGACTATAGTTCTTGCTTCCTCCTAATGTTATATAACCGTTACATGCCTATCCATGTATTTAAAGTATATGATTCATTCTAATGCTTTGCAATCATTGCATTTGCCCTCAGGACCAGAGTCTATGCTGAAGCCTTCACTGAGCCTATTTGGCCAGCAACAGCCACTGTTCCAGCCAATGCCTCCTACACATACCCTTGGACCCCCTCCACAGACCCTTGGACCCCCTCCACAGACCCTTGGACCCCCTCCACAGACCCTTGGACCCCCTCCACAGACCCTTGGACCCCCTCCACAGACCCTTGGACCCCCTCCACAGACCCTCGGACCCCCTCCACAGACCCTCGGACCCCCTCCACCAGTGGTAGTGACCCCGGACCCCCTCCGTTTACCCCTCTCCAGTCCTCTGTCTGCCAAACTTCCCACTCACCTCCAGCTGGTGCAGGGGCCCCCCTGCCCTGTCCCACCTCTCACTGCCCAGTCGACCCTCAGCAGCAGGCCCCAGGAGGAAGATGCTCAGATTGGGGGCACAGACCAGGACGCTACCTTGGAGGAGCTGTGTAAGCCTCTGTACTGCAAACTGTGCAACGTCACCCTCAACTCTGCTCAGCAGGCACAGGCACACTACCAGGTGAGCTGGTTTACTGTACATGTAGCTTGTAGCCTAATCTCATCCACCAGCAGGCTCTCTCTGTCTATATGTGGTAGCAATTGAGCCTGGGGACAAGCTTACTTGTAGGCCTACCCCAACACATATGTTATGATGGCAGCAAATGCTTCTCATCATGCATCAACTACATTGTGTCAAACATGAAATGTCAATGTTTGTTTATTTGGCATATCAGCCATCACTGGTATCCCCTCATGAATGTAAGTGGAAAATGTAATCCCTAACAGTTGCGTACACTGATGATGGTGATGATGCTCATTATTCGCAATATGACACTATGGCGATGACAGTGCAATGAGTGGACTGAATTGAATCATGCGTCTCTTATCCAGGGAAAAAACCACAGTAAGAAGCTGAGAAATTTCTATGCAGGCAGCCAGCAGCCGCCTGCCATCAGGATTCCGGAAGTAATAGAGCCTGTTTCCCAGCAACCCCTCACAACTCCACCAACTGACAGTGCAACTCCCAAACAGGTAAAGCTTGGCGTTGGCACACAATGAATGTGTTATTGTTCAGGAAACTATAATACTGTATGAACAAGTCCAAGTTCTTTGAATTTTCAGCACATTCACTGTTTGGATCTCTGTTGTTGATCTGGAGAACTGCAATCAAATAGAATCGGCTCATAAGAAACAACATGATGGTTTGTAGAAAACTGTCAGCACTGTATGTTTTAACTCTTTTGATATGTAGCTTTGAACTGGCAGGAGTATCATTTAGGCTGGTGAAAAAATAACCCTTTTTAAAAACTCACTCTTTATTTTTTGTTCAGCCGGTGTCATTCATGGGTGCCAGCAGGGTGATCTTAGCCACGGAGAACGACTACTGCAAGCTGTGTGACGCCTCGTTCAGCTCCCCTGCCGTGGCTCAGGCGCACTACCAGGGCAAGAACCATGCCAAGAGACTGCGGCTGGCTGAGGCCCAGCAGAGCAGCAGCATCCTGTGAGTCTGTGGTGTCACTACTGCCTCCCCACCCAACACCAGGAAGACAAACAACAGATGCAACACGCACATGGCTAATAAAACCATATTCAAACATAGAAATCCTGCCCATTCAGCCATTGGCCTGTTTTATGAAATTTAAACCAGATATGTTTCAATGCTTCCGTTTAAAGAGAAAATGACATGTGATAGATGCATTCCATTATTTTGTCCATCAAAGTAACTATTATTGTTAGGTTGGCTGTTTGATTGTTAGATTAAAAACTGAATATGGGAGACTTCGCTCTCAGTAACGTGATCCATCATTTTTCAGAGAGTCGACTGAGTGTGTCCAGAGGCGTCCGAGGAAAGAGGGGAGCGAGTACAGGTTGATCAAGAACCGTAGGACCCCACAGGTGCCTCTTGCCATGCCAGGTACAGTACACTGAACCAAAGACATACTGGTAATAAAGTATGACCAAACAGCAAATAACTTTACAGGGGAAAACGTGTTGTAATTCCACAATTTTTTTGTAAAGATCAGATGTAAGTAAAGTAAGTAAGCCTTGGACAAGTAAGACTTGACCGAGCCAGAACGGCCCATAAAGATCAGATGATTCAGGGATATTCCTATTCTTGAGAATGTATACTGTACTGTATGTTTGAGAGCAGAGGTGGTTGGCCATTTCCTTTTTATTGATACCAATGAAGCCTTTGACAGGTAGTGAATGAGACCAGACAGCCAGCAGGTGGAGGCTATTGTTTTCTGCTCCATGTTCATAGCAGCAGTGAACAGCCGTCTCTCATCACCACCTTTGCAGGGGAAATGCTGTGTAAGAAAGTTAAGGGGGTGGCCGAGGCTGAGGCTGGTCAGTCAGTGTGAACTCACTAAGCACAGGCCCGGCGCCAGGGCTTTGGATATGTAAACTGATACAGCAACCCACGTCAGCTCTGCTGCCCCACAGACGTCACACAGCCTGCTCAGGTGGCGGGAGTCCATTAGACAGACCCTTCACTGTCTATTGTCCAGCCCAGTATCCACTTCCAATCCCCCACTCCACATATCTTCCACTGTGGCCTGCTCCCTCTGGATGAATCATAGGACACAACTGCACCCCTTCCCCTCCCTTCCCTTGCCTCTCCTCAGGGCTCAGAGACTTTGCTGATTTAATCATGTCCTTTATGGACAATTCCAGAAATAGAGCTGTGTAAAACTCTCTCAGAGAGAAAATGTGGTTTGTCTGTCGGAGTTACTCTGCAAAGGCCCGTGATGGTTGCCTCCAGACATACACGTAGATACAGCAAAGCATTTATTCTCTATCCAACATACATCTCCCTTCTCCTAATAGAGCACCACAGTGGATGTGTCATAATACCCCAAAAACCTAGTTGTCAAACAGGGAAATGGTTCCAATCGTTTTTCCACCATTCATTTTTCCCATAGGGGTTTTTAGAAACACTTAAAATAAGGGCTGTGTTTTGTGTAGGTTTACCCTGGCGTGACGTTTTGATAACCATGTAAATCTCTCTCGGACAAGGTGACATTTATGAATATATTCGGCTCTATTTACTCTCAGATTCGAAGTGGCTAATTAGCATCAAAGTAGACATCATGTAAAACTACAAATCCCTGCAAGCTCCTGCACGTCATCTCTAGCTGATACCTTTGCTAACAGGTATTGTGTCAATTTAAAACTTGCACAAGACAGTTCACAGAATTGTCCATTTAAAGAAATGCAGCCTATTTATTAATTAATACATTTAACTAACATTAGATAGTTCATCCAGAGATTCTTACCTTTGCCTCAATTTGGCATTCTCGTCCAGGTCATCATGACATTTGTAGTTCTTTATGATAGCCATCTTAGCAGCTAATTATCATTTCATTTTTGGGGGGTAAATACAGGAAAGTATATTGATAAAAGTTACCTTGTCCTTGAGAGATTTACACGTTATCAAAATGTCACGCCAGGGTAAGCCTACACGAAACACAGCTCTTATTTTAAGTGTTTCTAAAATCCCCTATGAGAAAAATGAATGGTGGAAAAATTAATAGAACCATTTCCTTGTTTGACCGCTAGGTTTTATGGGTGTTATGACTCATACTGTGGTACTCTATGAGGGACACATTTGTATTTCTTCTTGTAACATTCATATGGCCATGGCAGTGGAAAGCTCCTCCTATTTATGCGCAGCCAGCCTTGCATCCCCTGTAGCACCTGGCATCCATCTGCCACTCCCATCTTCTGGTACTGTGTTCACTGGTGAGCAGCAGCTCAACACTCAGTCCCTCACTCACTCCCCATCATTTTAATGAGGTTATCCTCTCCTCTGATGGTTTGTGTCCCAGGCCCCTACTACAACCCCCGGCCCAGGCAGAGGATCCCCAGGGACCTGGCCATGTGTGTGACACCCAGCGGCCAGTTCTACTGCTCCATGTGCAACTCTGGGGCCAGCGAGGAGGCCGACTTTCGCCTTCACCTGGAGAGCAAGCAGCACAAGAGCAAGGTGTCGGAGCAGCGCTACCGCAGCGAGATGGAGAATCTGGGCTACACTTAGGAGGGCAGCGCCACAGCACGGGGGAGGAGAGGGGATGCAGGGTGGGGCAGGGGCAGGGGGGAGGGGGGAGACAACGACTATCTTCATCATGCACTGTACGCTAGAGGCCAGTAGAATGGGTAGAGACTATGTTCTGCAGCAAACTAAAATGTGTGGAAGAGGAGGGTACATTTATGTAGATGATATACATAAACCACTCTTCTGCTCTTTTCCTTAATGTGTATAAGTTATTGATCTTCTGTTCCTGTTTTTGTTTGTTAATGTACTGTACGTATTTGAAGGACATTTCTGGAAAACTTTTAAGGTGTGCACAGAATGTCCACCTGCTGGTACAATTGTGGATGTTTCACTCTTGGTTGATTCTGTATGCCTGTACTGACCTGAGCCTGTGTGTGATTACCATGCATTTTGCACCTCAGATGAAACCAGGGATTTGTCCATATTTCACGCTGAATTTTACCCATAGTAGGCCTACATGAAGAACCCACCATTGGTTTTCTTTCACCGGTTTAAACCTTGTTATGACTAGGGCCGGGGACGATACCAGTATCGCGATACTTGTTAATAGCTTGGCAAGGAAACAAAACATGAAGTGGATTAAACTTCTTTAGGAAAACAGCCCTAATGTTGGAAACAAACATCATTATGTTGTCATCCAGAGTCACATTTATTTATTTCCAAGCTATAACACATAATATTTTACATACGGCAGGTTTTTAAAGGACCAAAGCGTTTGGTCTGCTTTGTGTTTTCATGTTTGCCACAGAAAAAATACCGCTATACTGGTACTGTCACAGCCCTAGTTATTACCTGAGTTTGAGTAGCTGGACATTGCTAGACTATATATACAAAAGTATGTGGACACCCCTTCAAATTAGTGGATTCGGCTATTTCAGCCACACCCATTGCTGACAGGTGTATAAAATCGAGCACACAGCCATGCAATCTCCATAGAAAAAATTGGGGCTGTTTATCATGGTTCGGGCTAGGCCCCTTAGTTCCAGTTAAGGGAAATCTTATCACTACAGCATACAATGACGTTCTAGACGATTCTGTGCTTCCAACTTTGTGGCAACAGTTTGGGGAAGGCCCTTTTTTGTTTCAGCATGACAAGGCTCCCGTGCACAAAGCGAGGTCCATACAGAAATGGTTTGTCGAGATCGATGTGGAAGAACTTGACTGGCCTGCACAGAGCCCTGACCTCAACCACATCGAACACCTTTGGGATGAATTGGAACGCCGACTGCGAGCCAGGCCTAATCGCCGAACATCCTTGCCCGACCTCATTAATACTCTTGTGGCTGAATGGAAGCAAATCCCCTCAGCAATGCTCCAACATCTAGTGGAAAGCCTTCCCAGAATAGTGGAAGCTGTTATAGCAGCAAAGGGGGGACCAACTCCATATTGATGCCCATGATTTTTATATGAGATGTTCGATGAGCAGGTGTCCACATACTTTTGGTCGTGTAGTGCATGTGTAGTAGAGGAAAGCAAAGTTCTATTCCAGACTTCTACTAGACCATGAGCCAGTTTCCCAAAAGCATATTGTTGTCTATAGTTTATAGAGAACTACGGGGATGTGACTATAGTAGGATCCTATGGTTCTAACGATGAACTTAGCCTTAAGATGCTTTTGGGAAACCGGGCCCAGGTGAATGTACTGTGATTGCGATGACAATTATTTCCCCCAGCAGGCTTTGCACAAACAAACTATGGATATTTTTTCAATTTACAAAATCGGACTGACTGTTCCCTTTCCTTATGCATGTTTACATGGGTTTGGTACGATCCCAAGCATCCTGAGCATCCCAGTAAACTCAGCCTGTTGTGCTGGTCCCTTATTATTCTTGGATGCTGTAAAAGCCAGCTGCTGTAAGCTCCTGACTTCCCTATGGGAGGTCTGCTCTCCGAGAGCAGAGTACCTCAGGAGAATACAGAGCAGGACTATTTTTAATTGGGTGGCTTAGGGTTATTTCCACAAGGCCTCTACTCTCTCATTTAGAGCAAAGGGAGTTTAGGCTTTTATACAAGCCCAATTTGTTCAGAGGAGAACCACAACCAAAGCTTGAGTTCATATTCCTGTATATCTGCCCCTTAAAGGGGCAATCAGCAGTTGCTACGTCAATTTTTAGACTTATAAATAATGATATGTACCCATTGGTTCTTGAAGAATATAACTTAGCTTCATGAGCTTAGTTTAACGGTCGTACTCCATCAGAACCCAAAATATAAGCTTGTTTTACTCCAATGTTGGTAAACAACGTAAATGTAAACAAACACTGTTTAGCCTCAAAACATTGTTGAAACTATAATTTTGATATCATGGATGGTCAGTCCTTTACATCCATGAATTTGAGAGTGATTACATTTCTTTAGCCCCATTCCTCAGTGTTTTACCGAAACAGTGGCAGGGAAAACACTTTGTTATTGTTTCAACACCTTTAACAATCCAATGCATGTGTACAAATATATCGAGGCATTCATTGTTGGGTTCGTTTTTAATTCACTCTGGGCCTCTGATGATTTGCTTTTCTGTATCATAAATACCCTTGTAAACTATTTTAATATAGCCTTTTTTGTTGCTCTTGAACATTAGTTTATTTGTTTTAATTTAAGTTTATTTGTATTATTATTATATATTTTTTTAAATGGTTTATATGATTTATATCGTTTTCTATTTATGAGTGTTTGTTTTTACAGACAATTATCTGGATAAAAATATACTATTATATAATGTAGTTGAGCTTCATGTGCAACATCACTTTATTTGTACACAAATTATTATGTTATATAATATTTCACTGTATAAATGATGTTTGTGAAATTTACATTTGTGCATGATATTATTAGAATATAAATATATTTAATTATTCTGAATATCCTACTAATGGGAGTGGAGGAACTAGGCCAGTTTGCCAGAGATAGAGACGGGACCATTATATTGGACACAAAGTACTGTATGGGAATGAGTCACAAGCATTGCACTTGTTGTTATAGAGGAGATGGTGGAGTTTTATACTGATTTGCTTTGATTCATGTTATTTGTTGAAGTTCTATTGATGCGTCTCGATCTGATTTGAATCAAATGTTTACAGAGAGTGGTCTAAAGGGAAGTCGATCACATTTAATGTTGGATCCATCCAGGACCCGCTCTAGCCCGCTCTAGGGGCCCTAAGCCCCCCCCCACCCACCTCATGCTAAAACATTTTAGTGGCCCCCCCTCTTGAGGGTGGAGAAAAAAAGTGTTAAAGTTCATTTCCTGCTATTCTACACATTTTGCCATGGGGTGTAAAGAAAATGTTGCAGTTTTAAGGCAAGTTTTCTGCAATTCTACTCATTTTGCCATGGGGCAGAGCTACTTTAAATCAGTTTGACAGCTAATTTCATGCAATTCTACCCCTTTTGCCATGGGGTGGAGAGAATGTTTTGCTGTTTTAAAGCTAATTTCCTGCAATTCTACACATTTTGCAATGACTTGTGCCATGTTAATATATATCTCAGTGATAATGACTAACAAAATCAATGGGGGCCCCTTGGAGGTCAGGGCCCCTGGGCACGTGCCCTGCGTCCCGGTCGGTATTCGGCCATGATTACTACAAGTTTAGATAGCTGGCTAGACTAACTACCAATGTAAAAACTGTTAGCTAACATCTCTATTTGAGTGACTGACATCAAAAGAGAAACACTGCTGATGCACAACCACATTTCTAAATTGCACCTGGTTTATTCTACTATTCTTACTCTTCAAATCAAATTTCACATGCTTCGTAAACAACAGTGAAATACTTACGGGTCCTTTTCCAACAATGCAGAATAATCTTCTTCCAGTAATCTTTAAATCCACTTTTTTCAAACGCTGCTTTAATACATATTCAGTGCCTCTGAACATGACTTTTGTGAGGGACTGCAGCCAGGGCTGTGTAATTAAATGGGCTGCATTGATCATGTTACACATGAAGTGATCTACTTCATCTGGTTCATCGCTCAGTTTAACCACCCAGAGCAAGGAAGCCTTTCTGTTTGGAACTAGCACAGCAGCTGAATTAACCACTTTCATAATGATACCTTTGAAGTCATAATATTATGCTAGTTTGCAATTATGTAACATGCCACTTAAAATGGGAGTGTGTATCTCACAAAGAAAACTTAATGGAAGTTCCTCAGAGTATACATCGTGGGTCTGAGTGCAATTCATTAGTCCAATGTGAGTTGTCATATCTCATTCGATGCCCTATTTCTGTTTTAGTAAGTGGAGTTGTGTTTGACTGCTGCTACACATCCATCCATGCTAGGCTGTGCAGGCTGTGTTGGCTGTGCAGGCTATGCTAGTAGCTGTAGCTGTGCAGGCTGTGCTCTATCCTCTGTGGCGTAAGGCAGGAGCCATTCCTTGCTGGGCGTAGTGTAGTGCTGCAGTAGCACATCTGTTTGCCGCTCTATCAGGAAGTGGTGACCCAGGCATCGGAACTTACCACAGGGAGATCCACACAGGCACAACAAACACTCTCCAAATGGGGCTCTGTGTACTCAGGCCATTATGGATATCCTCCTCAACTCCACTAAGATATCATTGTCAGCTACGTATGGCTGGCTCTGAGTTTGGCTCTCTATCTGCTGTTCAGAAATATAATCTCTCTAAGATAGAAGGTTTTATAAATGTCAGAGGAAGTAAACTATATATAGAGATAATGGAAGAAAATAAGGGTTAGCTGCAGTGCCTTTCGAATGCCACGCAATCTCACATCATGGCTGCCTTGGGCACAAACATGATTCTCAAGAACAATCAACTTCATTTCCATTGGAGGCAGAAATATTGCTGCTGGTGCAATATGGCAAATGGGTGATCCTAAGGCACCAATTCATTTGGATTGACTTCCCTTTAGAGAAAATAATTGTATAACGTCTTGAATGTATGTATATTTGAAGAATAACAGAATGACAACAGTTGTTTTAGAAACTATTGGAACACTTATTTTAGTCACTGTATAATATTGGCTAACTATTTAATAAATCAAATGTTATACTTGTTATTTGCATGGATTTATTTAGT